ACAGAACAGTAAAATAAGTACACAAGGGCGCCATCTAGAGACAACATTTAACAGGGGGAAAACTCCTGAATTGGATGAAGTGAGCCACTACCGCGTTAACTCTTCTTCTGTGGTTGTTTTAGCGAAATCAGACAACTCTGTGCATGTCCAAATGCTTCTAATCTGAATAAAACTTGTGCACGTATACGCACGTCATGATCGGATTATTTGATTTTGCACCCACATTAACAGAGGATTCAGATTTTCCGATCCCTCAAATTTTTAATCTGATCAAGAATTTTGCATGTGTAAACACGGCTACTGTCTCCTGATTGTTAGAGTGATATCAAAGTACCTCCCACCAAAAATCTACACTTCATACTGCTTTTCAAAGTAGAGAAATCGACGTGTCTGGTCAGCTAGATTTGCCGCATGGTTTCCGAAAACTAAGCGTTTCCATCATTAACCAGAACTTCTTGGCTTCAAGGCTGCCTGCTGCAGCAAATTATCAAGAGCAGCGTGACTACATGAGACATTAGATTAGTTTTTAGGGCTTTAATAGAAAGAAGATTTAAAAGAAACTAAAAAAAAGGATTTCTGTCCCCAGCAGCATTAATCTATATGCATTCCACAGCAGTGTGATTCAACGCTACCCTTGAAAAAATATCGATTTTGCAGGTTTAATTTTGGATAATATTCCCAAGACAGCAGAGGATGCATCTAAATTCCGAATACCAACTCTTCTGGTTCCTCCCTCCTGTGTAAAACAATTCAGACGATACACAACAGCTCTGCAAACACGAAACACAACAACCAGCCTGCAGAAAGAAAAGAAAAAAAGGCGCGGGCAAAGGGAGGGGAGGGGAGGGGAGTGACAAATTACCTCTCCTCACAATGCCCTGCCACAATAGCAAAGCCTGAGAACAAATAATGAATAAATAAAGTTCTCTGGGATTGAATGAGGAGAGCAATTTGTGAAGCTGTGGCTTTTGTGCGCGTATGAACGGAACGGCCTTCTGCTTGTCTCACAGACGAAATGACGAACCCAACTGAGCTCCGTGCACAAAGCAACTCCATTGACATGTCCGTCCACAGAGAACATCAATTTCACATAAAAGGAGCACCTGAAAAGGGCAAGAAGAGACACGAGACATGACAAGCCCAGAGTGGTGGTGACATCTTAGAACCATTTCGCCTAAAAATATAAATTCATTCACACCTCAAGGCGACCGGAGGTGAGTCTTTCCGTTCTCGCAGGGCCGTATTCACCACTTTCATGGCTATCTCCATGTGATGAAGAGGTGGGAAATAACCCAGAGAACAAGGGTAATGGAAGTAACAGCTTGAGGTCATAGTGAATTTCAACAGACTGGGAATTAGGGATTGAGGTGTGAGAGTGAGGCGCTGATTGGCATTGTAAGTGCATGTATGCCGCTTAATAAGACTTTGAAATCCCTTCTCTTCCTGGATGGTTCTTGAAAATGTGCTTTTCCCTCTTTTTTCTCTTTTTTCCCCGAGGCTATTTTCCGCAGCTTCTCCCTGGCAACAACCTTATGTAAGAGTTCAAACATGGGGCGAATGGATGGCTTCGCCGCGGGCCCTGGGCTCAAACCGTCTAACGGTCTCACCGATACATTAAATCTCACCTTCAAAGATGCCTGAAAATTTCTTTCACTTTGGCACGTCATAACTCATGTTGCATCGCTTTCAGGGTGTCTAGACTCAAACAACATTTATCATGTACCTTTAAATTCGACGCCGCAATGCAGAAAATGTAAGTTTCATTGTAGTTACTGGCTGCTTGGGGAGAACAAGGGGATGTGGGAGGCTTGAAAGAGGGAAAATTAATGTCCCTAAAATGAAAGAGAATCAATATGGTCGCCTGAGGACGTGAAAAGGTGGAATGAGAATGAGAGCAGGAGAGGGGAGGAGGGAGTTGAAATAGAGTTGGAGCGAGATTAATGGGAGTTTAAAAAGGAACAGTATTCATCAGTAGTCAGCTTCAGGTGCAGAACGGCGTCAGCGTCGGCGCTGGTGTGCATGTGCGTGTGTGCATGTGTGTGTGTGTGTGGTGGAAGTTCACTCCGAAGCAAGTTTTACACTCTGTCTTGAACTTTTCAGTCTGACTCTTTCAATAAATGACCGCTCCGACATAATACTGATTAGTTTTTATTAGTTTGCAAATGAAAGCGAGGCTGGAGTTGTTCTCTTCATTTATAGCCTCTGAGCTTTTGCACTGAGACTCACTCACTCACACTCATGCGTGCAGACAGAGTGAAAGAGGAGGTGAAACAACAGCACCACCTACAGGTCTGAGCGTTTTGAGATGGGAAATTACTTTGATAAACTTCTCATTACTTAGTTTGTGCATCCTAGATCCTTTCCTTGCCTTGTTTCCTTCAAGTCTTAGTCCCTTCTAGCTGAAATGGAAGCAGAGGACACACACCAAATACCATGTTTGTGACTAACATTAAGTACATGCCTTATAAAGTTCCCCAACAGCCAAATATAGGGTGGTTTCCCACTTTACACTAAATCATAGAGATAGAAAGCAAGGTCAAAGATTATGACAATACTGCATCTCAAGAGGTCACATGATGTGGGAGCTATCTAGGAGATCTGGGTCATGTTAAAGCCGTCTACTGTTTTATAACATCCCTGTCGGATTAGATTTAAAGCGTTTGTAACCACTCAAATGCCTCGATTACAGAACTCAGTCACAGCGAAGCTTTCCCGGCACAGTGATGGAGGAGAGAGGAGTCGGAGAAAAGAGCCGGGCAGCATTAGAAAACAGAAAAATAAAAGCAGCTCCCCATCGCCCCAGGCCCTTTTACTGCTGTCAACGTCTGCACGATAAATTGCAGTTTTATCATATTGGACTTGGAGAATTCGCAGTGAACATTTTCAATGAATAAGAAAAGTATTTTGTGAACATGCAGTGACTTCTAAACCACTTGGACCGCGCTTTCTTAACATTTCAGAGCTGTCAGATGAAGCTCAAACATCAGATCGATTTATGCCAATTTAGAGGGAAACATACTGAGAAGAAAATGTGTAAAATTGGAATTGTTTAACGGAGCTCTATCAACACTCATTTGCATTTTTCATTATGATGATCTGGGACACCTGTAGAGGAGTTTTGCATGACTTGTCTCTCAAAAATCTTCATATTTATCTCAAACTTGTGCCCATGGAAATTTTCACGTCTAACTGAAACACTTAATTCTGTCTGCTTTTTGAGTGATATAGCCGATGCAGCTAAACACAGCTTGTGGGTGTTACTTTTCACACAGCTTTTAGTCATGACACAACAAGAAAGTTGTACTCTCACAGAAAATATAAAGACCAGCTGTTAGCAGTCAGTCATTGTTACATTAGCCCAATTTCACCCACTAAGGATATTTTGGTCTTAAAGAGGTCTGATAGACGTCTAAATGTAGCCCAGACGGCTGGTCTAAAATCAGGCTACCACAGGTCTAAAAAAGACATTTTTTTTAGACGTCTAAATTTAGACCAAGATTAGACTAAATCTAAATCTGGGCTATCTCTATACTACACTGTATATTGCTCAACGGCTCTCATAATTATTTTGGTTAAGTACTTGGATATCAGTTATGCAACTCACAGTTACTTTTTGAAATAAATAGTTATTGAAAAAGGGTTGAAGTGCAACTTCTAAATTTCATCTAGAAATATACAGAATCTAGACGGTTGAAATTAGGTCTAAAAACTAACTAGCGAATAATAGCCATCTTTTGCTCAATGGGACTTGCACCCATGGAAATTCTCTCGTCTAACTGAAACACTAAATTCTGGCTAAACACAGCTTGTGGGTGTTACTTTTCACACAGTTTTTAGTCATGACACAACAAGAAAGTTGTACCCTTACAGGGAATATACAGACCAGCTGTTAGCAGTCAGTCATTGTTACATCAGCTGATTGGTTTTCGAACCTGTATGAAAGGTCTTTATAGATGGAAAAACCCCGTTTTTAGAGTCAGCTGAGATGCAAATCCAGCTCAAACTGGCATTTATTTACAAAACGAGTCATTGGTGGAGTTGTTGTGGTTGTTGTTGGCCTGAAAACATAAAAACTTCCCACTGTTTTCCAACACCCACGTCTTTGCTGAGACTTTCCTTCACAACCGAAAAAAAACTCCCAGAAGCAACTTTTAGACTTTTAGAGACATACTGAATCAACAAAGTGCAGAGCAGAGGAATCAAATAAATGGTGTAGTGGACTTTCCAGAATCTGGGTGGGTGTTTCCTTGAGCATTACAGCACAACTCAATGTCAGACTCAGACCAAGTGTCTCAAAGTTATTGAAACAAGCTGTTTAGAGAAGCTAGAGAAAACCTCCGGGGATCACAGTGTACCTCATGTGATGAAAGTTTAGTTTAGGGTTTAGTACGGACATCAACATTGTGACTTTACATGTACATATTTAAAGTTGTACTTTAAAGCTCCTATAAAGAGTTCTTAAGTTTATGCAAAAGAAAGGAAGAGTAGCTTTAAGTCATAGCTAATCTGGACTCTTTAATATTTTAGTAAGTACATGCCGTATTGTGATGTTGACGGATGTTTTTGCACGTTGTACATTTTCTCATAAAGAACATACTCTCCGTCTTCACCAGCTCCATCTTGTTTTTCTCCTCCTGTGTCCATTAGTCTCCTCCAGCTCTTTTGGTGGTCTGCCTTGTTTACTTCTCCCTTAAAACTTTCATGTTAGACCTTGTTAGAGCTTGTTACATCAGCCTGGTTGCACTGGTAATTGGCTTCCATGGATTTGTCTGATACAAATAGAGTTACTTTTCCTCCCTGGGGTGTCTGTTCCCCTTGTTTTTCCCCAAAGAGGTTTTCATTTTTGTTGTTGTTGTTTGACAAGTTGGTCTCAAAATTTTTGAAACTCTAGCCCTTCGTTGTTGGAAAACCATGTCGTTCTTGTTTCTGCACAAGTATTGATACTGAATTGCATCTTTGCTTTTAGGTCTTATGCCATCAACTCCCCAAAAAAGCACACATAAAATGAGAAGTTTTGATTTATTCATGTCAAAAGTCTTCAGGAACATATTCAGCCTTCTTGTGTAAAAAATAATATTGCTCATATGTAAGTCTTGTTTAAAAAATCTTCTTTCCTAAAGGTAGCAAACAAAGTGAGAGTTCCCAATAAATAATCAGAACATGTCAAAGGAAAAAACTGCAGGGCTACGGGACACATCCTCATGGTCACATTCACACAAACACACCGTACACCTCTCTGTCACTTGCACTTGTATGTGAGCTGTTTGCGGTGATAGTGGATCCACGCAGGAGCTGCGACAAGCCCGGTCAGGAAACCAATCATTGCACCCAGACTGCAGGAGACGGGCCAAACCTACGAGAGGACAGACAGGTGAGGCTGACCTTAACATCACGCAGACAGATCACGACAAGACAGACCAATCCCATGTGAGTCTTCATGTCTCCACTTCGGATTTTCACAGAGTAACTATTGTTTTATCTTTTTTTGTCTGCAAAAAGCGGTTAATATACTGAGTAATGATTTCATACTTGTAGAGGATGGGCATAATTCTTTATAATGATGAATGGAAACAACTTGTTTCTCCTTATTAAAGAAACAGAGGAGGAAAAAACTGTGTGCCAGGGAAGGGAAAGCCAGATGATGATGGTAAAATATTGCAGAGGAATGCCTCTATTATTGTTAAATGTTGTGCAGAAACTCGATATGTTTGACGTGTTGTCTTTGAGGCCAAAAGAGGTGCAACTTTACATGAATTCATCATCAAGAAAATTTTTAAATCAAGCAAAAACTACTTGTTGGAGCAGATTAGTTCTTGTTCTAAAGCTAATCTGATATTTTAATGAATTAATCTGATTGAATATGGCGTTTTAAAGCTGAGAGGGCAAAATTAAGTTCAGGATTAAGGCTGATAATCAAAACATGGTGCAAAAATCATTCTACGACACATTGTGAGGGGGGTTTTCAATGTGTGCCGACCTGCCAGGGCCTGTCCCAGTCCAGAGGTAACGGAAACGCTCCGATCCATGCTCCTACCAGTGTGCAGGCCACAGTGATCTGTAGACAGGTGTCCCACACAGACATGGCTCTGGAGAGGAAGATGTACCAAAATAAGGATAGTTATAACGTATGTTCAAGATGAAATGAGACACAACAAGAAGATTAAAAAGAAGGAAAGCGAGGATTACCCATGCCGGCTGAATACTCGTATCCAGGCTTGGACGTTAGGGCCGAGGACGCAGAGACACCTCAGAGTGGTCAGAGAGGTCAGCAACACAGCAAAGGAGAATGTCTCCAAGGCTGAACTGAAACACAAAAGAGACACCAGAGGCTCAGAGTAGAGTATCGTAAATGTGCATTTTTTACCTTTGTGAGTAGGAGGTTACTGTATTCTCCTCTAGAACATCAATGTCAGCATCTACTCACTCGATTAGTGGAGCTCCATAGAGAACCACCACAGTGTGGAAGAATATGCACGACAGAAGGAAGTACAGGCAGGAACGAAACAACCTGGACAGCTGCAGAGAGACACAGAAGTTAAACCAACAACAACAAATTAGAGTAGAAAAATTAGCTTTTAGGGCTGAAAGTTTAAATTGTCTCTGTTTTTGATTCAAATTCAACATAATCTGAATTTTAAATGAGCATTTTAACATCTAATTGAACTGACAAAGATTCGTTTTGCAAAAGTAGCTGGCTGAATTAAACCAAAGGTCACAACAAATTACACCTTATTGGATCACATTTGCAGCTGCTGTGCAATTAAAGCGTTATTTCGGCATTTCAGTTTCTTTAAAAGGCACTCAAACTGAATTCGCTAATCATATGTCAAAACACTGAATCAAATCAATTCAGATTACTTCACTGAATGTAAATATTATGCCCAACTCTGCAAATGCAGTAAAACCTTTCACTCTTGATACTGCATTGTGAGTATTCTCTGTCGCTCAATTGTAAGTAACTTTACTTTTATACGACTTTTCAAGAGCAAGGTCACAAGTGCTTCACAAGATAAGATTTAGAGGCAAAAAAGAGATTTCTAAAAGACTACTAGTAGGGGAGAGTAGGGTAATAGTCGTATTTTTCTGGACACGTTTGTTCATACTCTTAAAAACTAAACGAGGAAACATTTCCAAAAGTTCAATAAAGTTCTATCCAATCTGATCTAATCTAATATAATGATGGTTCAGTTCCAGACCATATTCCTTAAAGATGGATAGTCTACACCTAAGTTAACACATTTAATGCATTATTGGGCCATGGTAGCCACTGTATTATGTTATGGTCTCACATTAGGGGAGAGTGGGGTAAGTTGAGCCACCCCCTGTTGCTTGGAAATGGTCAAAGAAATTGATCATGTGACCAAATATTTAGGAGGTGGGCATCAATTCATGGAGGCTGTGAAGGTTAGAAGGACATGGGTGAAGGTGTTAGACATTAATTTCATAAAAAAACATTTTTCACTCTTTAAAATGAATTTACTCTGTCCTAATTTTATTAGAATTGTGTTCAGGACTAATAAAGTCATAATAGTAGTTCTGGGGTGAAGGAGTCTGATGAGAGGATCAGAGTTTTAGTTCAGATTATTGAAATGTTTTACTTTTTCTTCTCAAAAATTCAGCTGTGAATGTTCTGAATCACTTAAAGGCATTCTCATGTTAAAATGGCTTTTTACAAAACAGCTTTTTAGCAGTTATATGCAATAATAATAATAAAAAGAATTATTGTACCTGTTGAATAGTGTATGATAGATAAAAATACACATGAATGTGCAGAAGTGACTGTTATTTAGGGAGAGAGAAGGTGAGGGAGGGCTGGGGTGGAGAGTGTGGGGGTTAGTAGGGATACGGCTCAACTTACCCCCGCTCCTATGTCAACTTACCCCATACACGGGGTAAGTTGACCATAGGAGACCATTTATTTTGGCATGCTATATTATCAAGACAGTTATGTTTACACTCATTCTGTTGGTTTGCAGGGATGAACAACATCTTGAAATACATGCAGATACACTAGTTAGAGACAAAACTATGATTGCCTTAATGTAGTGATCCAAAATATGAAAAATGGCTCATCTTACCCCACTCTCCCCTATTCTCTGTCGCTCAATTGCTAGAGTTTCATGGTTTCAGCACATCTCTGAGACATGCTGGAGGTTGATGATACAATACTTGACATTAAATGACAAGAGTTTTAAACTAGATTCTGAGAAGGTCACAAAAGGTCATAACTACTAAAAACTAGACCAGCTGCAGCATTAAAATGCTTCTTGCACTTAAGTATACACCAGCCCCAAATCTTTCTGCGCCTGTATTTGAAACACTACAGTAATATTTCCACAGTTTTAATCACTTTCTCTGATTTATTTATACCTTGTATCCCACTGTGTGCTTCTTGGTGGGCGGTGTGATGCCGAGCAGCCAGAAGACGGCGACACTGACCGCTACAACCGTCCCGGACACGCAGTAGATCCACAGCAGGTGAGTCCCGTACACCGAGAAGCCCGGCACGAGCACCGCAGGTAGGACGGTCGCCATGAACACCGAGGCGGCGAGGATACAGTGAGTGGACGCCATAGCTCTGATTTCATGGTCCCACATTTTGAAAACTGGACCAAGTCACAATAAGGGACTAAAAATTAAATAAACTCAAGTTATAAACGTCAAATTTTTAAATATAACGGCGTGTGTGTCGAGTACATTGAATCCATGGATAATTCTTGACCTGTCTTCCGTAAACATGGAGTGAGGAAGACTTCCGCCTGGCCTTCAAAATAAAAGTTTAGCGCTATCTCACACAAGATGGTATCGTTCAATAACCAATCATTTTCTGCCTGACAGGACATTGTTTGAATGTTGAGTAGTATTTTAGACAAAATCTATTTTCTGCATCATATGAATATAGCTGTATGTTTTATTTAACAGATTTAATCATACGACTCATTTTAAAACCAAATGGACTGCCAGAAACATGAATTGGAAGTGTCTTGAATTAGAAAATAGCTCTTTAATTTCAGAGAAATTCCTGTGTCTTCTTTTAAGTAACTGGGGTTTTTACTGACTTAACGTCTCTTGCTCTTGCCCTTCTTACCTGTCTTTTATTATTTTGAAGAGTCGGTGGCGGATGCCTTTGCTGACGTCAAAAACACCCTCTAGCCAATCACAGAAAGCCTGTTAAGATTTACTGGGACACATCGTGACGAGCGGTTGTATCAGCCAATCATATTGAAGTTACTACCAAACTGACCAATCACCGCGGATGAGTGTGAGAGAACCGGAAGAAATAAACGGAAGTTTACAAAAACACAACGACTCAGCTAACACTTAGCGAGCATTTTTATTCTAATAAACCTCTGAAAGGCTTCGGTTGAATAACACGGAGGAAACATGGTTTGTGAGAAATGTACGTACAACACTGTTTAGATGCTGTCTAATCGTAAATGTGACTTTTAGAAAGAAAGAAGCGTTTTTAGGAAGCTAACGACGTGAGTGCTAACTAGCTCGGCTAACTGTTATTGTTGAACTCTTGATCTTTTGATCAACTCATGATCTCTACCTTCAATATTGTTTGTTATTTTTATTCCAGGTGAGAAGAAGCTCGGTAAAGTTATCACACCTGACACCTGGAAGGATGGAGCACGTAATACAACAGGTTAATACACGTTTGCTGTGAGATTTGACCATAATTACAATCGTTATATCAGGAATAACAGATTCTTCTGTTGGTTTACAGTAGCTGTAATTGTCTTTTCAGTAGTAAAATTCAACCCCCAGATTACTCTGAAACACTTTTGACTACATGTTTTTTTCTGGACGCATGTTTGTTCATACTCGTAAAAGCTAATACATGATGGAACATTACCAAATATTCCGACGTAAAATTAATTGAGGGTCAAACACACCGTGCACACGGGCTACAGCGGGGTGACGCAGCTCAAGGAAGAACATTTACTTAGTTCATTTAGTTCTTCTGTCTTAGCGTCTCAGTCTGATTGAAATTGAAATTAGGCCAAGTTAAAAAGATGTTTGGTGGCTAGTGCTATGACTGGGACCCTATATGTACTGTTGATGAAGTTAGGTGCTGTTCTGAGCATTATTTGTGGCTATAGAGTGGCATTTTGGTTGAGGTTTGTTTACGGCTCCTCAGACCGCTGTGTATTGCTATCGTGAGGTTGTTACTAAAGTTGGTATAACTAGAGAAGCAAGCGGTCGGCAACATTCATCTGTTGAGGGGGGTGTCTAACTCGGTGTTGCGGTGTGTTTGACTCTAAATCAATCTAACGCCGGAATATCCCTCGCTTTAATGCAATTATGACCACAATGAATAGTGTCTGCTTTCGTGGCCATGCATTATTGGGCCATGGTAGCCACTGTATTATGTCATGGTTTTACATTATGTACTTGTAGCCATAAAGTAATACTTCTTTACACAGTAAAACCTAGCAATAAGTTATAGTCATTGGAGGAACTCTATAGGTACCTGATCAAATATCTGGGAAAAAATTAAGGGTATTTGAGTCTAATCTCATTCCTGCTTTCACTCCGTTGTCTGTCAGACCTCTTTTGATTTCTGAAATATTATCTTACTGACATAAAAATGTTATATGGAGTTCATTCTGCTTCTTCCATTCAGAGGGAGGTGGACGCAAGCTCAATGAAAACAAGCTCCTGACTTCAAAGAAAGCCAGGTGAGCTGTCCAAACAAATTTCAAACTAAAGTACGATGTGCTGTTACTCATCTTAACTCATGGAACTTTTTTCTGGCCTCTTTTAGGTTTGACCCGTACAGCAAGACAGGCTTTGCAATCTGCAGGATCTGCAAGAGCTCAGTTCATCAGTCTGGATCACACTACTGTCAGGGCTGTGCATACAAGAAAGGTATGAACTTAGACTATATACCAGGCTAAACTTAGTTTATTATCTGGCCAATACTGGATAGGAGCATAACATTCAACATGTAAAATCCGCACACCTCATTGTGGTAAAAAGTGGCCATATAGGAAAAAAACAAGCTGTGTTTTCTGTGAGTTATCCTGAATAAAAAGGACTCTATACTGGGAAGAAGGCATTGCTATGTTTTAGTGTCCACATGGCTTGTGGACACTAAAGGTGAGTAAATATGTTATTTTACTCTTGAATGAACCAGCTCTTTATCATCAAAACAAACCACATGGGGAAAAAAGTAAACAAGAATAAAAGCAGAACAAATGGGCACGTACATGGTTCGATAAAATGTATAGATTTGTTTGAAGTTTGTTTGCTGAAACCGATAAATCCAAATAAATCGGTATCTAAAAACCTTGAAGTGGAGAGTTGCAGTCGGCGGCCAACAAACAGGCCAGATAAAGGGGCAATGGGTTCACAATAAAATGCATAAAAACAAGTGAAGGGCAGGTTCACATGTGGTACATAATGGCACCATGCCAGTTTATTCTACAAACATTACAATGACTTCAGTGAACTCCAACAAAGTGTCCTGAAATTGCCATCCAACAGGTGTCTTTTGGATTTAAAAACATGTTGTTGCCCAATTGCTAAGACTCTTCCTAACTGCTAATTCTTTTCACTTTTTTTTTTTTTCAAATTTGGAGTTACTTTTCCCACAAGGCACTTTTTCCCTTAAAATTGTTGACAACTATCAGCTCAGTGTTGAAACAAATCACGCAGCAAGTCAAGTTAATTTCTCATACAGTATCCCAGAATCAAAAACCCACTTCAGTTTGACGTTATTCAACAAAACACAATAATAACTTGGAGAGAAACCAAGGCAGGATGATGCTCTTTTGTCTCATCCTGAAGGGCATAATTGACCCCAGCAGCTGATTTCCTTTCAATCTCAATGTCTGTTGACATTTTCGTTTCCATTAACCAGTATTTAAACACTGCCATAGTCCATACCATGTTCTGTGTAATGTTTACTTTATGTCTGTCTTTTTAAAATTTTTGTCAATATCTCGGTCATACAGTTCCTTCACCTCCTGTGGGTTTGCTGTGCTGTTTTTCTTTCTTTTCCTCTCCACTTCATTTCTTTCCTTTTGGCCTCTGGTCCATCAGGTATTAAATGAACCGGATTACTTTTTTCAGATAAATTAGATAGAAGTAATTCTCCAGATTATGTGATCCACAATGACTTCAATGATCTGCTCATATATAATATCGGATTGTAAAATGACACGTTAGTCCAATGTCCAAGTTTTCAACAAAGCTGTGTCAAAAGTAGCAGCTGGGGTAGCTCCTGGGCTTCGCTCTCCTGCAGTGTTTCTCTGTCTCCTTATGGCTGGGACACCTTCACACAAAAGACTAAACAGATTTCCCACCTTAGATCATGTTCGGAACAGAGTCTGACTGGTTAACAGCAATGTGTGTCTGTGATGTAGCGCTCCCCCCACCTGGAGCGTTGGACTTGACGGCGTTATCAAATGAGCAGAGAGATTTTCATGCCGTGTAAAATGTGGATGTCTTTTCATTCCACCAATGTCACAGGAGCTAGTGATCATCTAATAAAAACAACATGCAAACTCACAGGGTTATCAGCTCCTTCCTCTCTTACATAAACTGTCCATCAATACTTTGTGAAATATTTAAGATCGTATTTATATACCTCCTATGATGCAAGCAGTATTTTAAGGTTGAATCAATATGTTTGTACTATGGGACTACATGAGTATCTGAGGCTGCATGTAGCAGGGCAGATTGCAAACCTTTTCATTATTTCAGCTTTCTGACACAGTATTTTGCCTCAGAAAGCTGCTTTTTTAAAAATCAAAAGTTTCTAAAAACTGTTGACCACTACTGCGAAGCATCAGAGATCAGACCACATTAGCCACCAACTTTTGGCTGCTAAAAAGACAATGCAAGAAATTGTTATTAATCAAAAACAGTGAAAACCAATAGTCACCTGCACAAAAAAATAAAAAAATAACAACAGTAATCAGTAGCATGCATTAAAATTGGATTTTTAAAAGTTACAGACATAATAGTCAAGGCTGCAGCATAATCCAAGACATGCCTGACATTGCGACTGTACAAACTGTTCTTTTCATTAATTTGTCGATCTGTTTGTCTTCCGTTTCTCTATCTCCTCAGGGATCTGTGCAATGTGTGGAAAGAAGGTTTTGGACACCAAGAACTACAAACAGACGTCAGTGTGACAACACCACAATCAGAGAGCGCTTCTATGCAGCAGTGAAGACAGGATGTGATGATGAGACAGACGTGTGTATTCACCAGGTTCTTATGTAGACACCTATAACTCTTTGACTTTTACTCCACCTACATGGAAGAGAGACTCATGGAGGTGTCGCCTTCTTATTAATTAATATTACCCACTGCCATTGTAATTAATACAGTGGCCATAACTGAGGAAGCACCAGGTTAACCCTTCGATTCATTTGTTTGCTTTTATATTTTTGCTTTTAATAACTGAGTGTAATTTATCATTTTTTGGGAGCGGGGGTGAATTAAAGCATTCACTATGAGCACATTAATTTGATTGTATTATTATTATTCATCTGCCCGCAGCTCTGGAGACGACAGTTTTAGCCTCCTACGCACAGTGCTCACATTTGTCCTGTACGCTGGTGATAATCGGTTTACGCTTACATAATCATATTTGGATAAAGCAGGCTTTCCCTCCATTTGGAAACCGCATGCTCTCCTTCCGTTGTTGTCAGAGACCGAGGTTACAGTTCACAGGCTGTTTGACGACAGCGATTTGGTATTTAAAGGCCTGTTTCTGCCTCGGGCCTTGAACCACACGTGCACACTCACTCCTCCTTCCTATTATTGATTTATATAAAACCAGTTACCGGTCTCAAGCTAGCACAGGTCAACACTGTGGATATTAGGTAAATGTAGTGTATCAGTCTAATTTTATAGTCTGTAAAGCAAAAGAAAAAACCATCCGAATGAAGATTACGATCTTAAAATCGCACAAAAAACACCCAGTTAACATCAGCGTCAATACTGGTTTACATAAGTCTGAATCCTGTAGTTTGTTATATCACTGCTCTTTGGCTCCTGTTGTTCTGCGATGCAGTGCATTCAGGGACATCACTTTAATGTCTCTGTTTGTACTTGTTACACAATCAACCATAGGGCTTTTAACGCTCAGGCGATGTAGCACTGACCTAAAAGTTTACAGAGGATTAACTGAATGTATATGACCATCAAATAGTACATAAATGCACCTTATGAAACGTTTATTTTTTAAGATTTTAGATTAAAGAAACCACGTTTGTTTGCCATTCGGTGCAGAGAATGAATAAATAGTTTACAAACTGACTTTTTATGGGTTTCTAGTTTGATCTGAAGGGACTCAAAGAACAACTTCTTACGAAAGCACTAAAATCCCTGTTTTATAATGAACTCCTCGTTTGTCCTCGCAGCAAGATTCATTACTTGGTTGGAAAATGGACAAAAGAAATTCGGACTAACAACTACACATATGCCATACAGGGTGACTTTCTTGGAGAATTATTGACCGGCTTATAAAGATATCTGAGAAACAGTTCAAACATGACAGTAGAAAGCACATATACAAAGCCAGTACACACAAAGGAGCAAATAAAAAATAAAACAATGACTTCTAGTCATATTAGATGATAGTGTAGCTTTCAAGTTAGCCCTATACATATGGATAATGTAAATTAGTCTCAACATGTGATTTTTCAGATACAGTATGTGCTGCTAAACATGAAAACACTGACTGCTCAAGGTCATCGTTTCTTTATGTCATGCCACTAAACTTTACAGTTAGTGCTCTGGTCTTGAATTGATTGTTGGCTTGGTTTAATAAATGTATAAAGTGACAGAAAGACAACCAAGAAAGTGTCACAGAAATCAAATTTCAGCCGTTTTGACATCAAATTTTGGTTGAATTCAACAATCAATTCAGCTCTTATCCAGTGGTGTCTCAGTAGTTAAACACAGTTTAAACATTTATTTTAGGATATAAACAGCAAACTCTTAAAAAGTGTCCGCTCATGAACTACTCACGGTACCCGTCTTGATCCAATGAAACTGGGTCTTGAACCCATGTTTACAGACCTGGAATAAAACACACACAGCCTGTTGACATTTGGATGTAAACACAGAGTTAATATCCAAGTAGAATCGTTGACCAATCAGAGGATAGTCATCAGTGGTTTGTCTTATTTTTAGCAGCAACAACTATGGCAGTATCATCAGCATACAGGTTCATTGGACCAGTGACTGGACGGTGTCACGCAGGTTATCAATCCACAAAAATCTAAAAAAAAAAGTGGACCTGATGTGGAAACCTGAGGTACACCGACATTAATGTCCACATCTGTGGCTTTTTGGGTGATGCAAACACATTTTTTTTGGAATGTTACATAATCTGATTCAGACCCTTGATCTTTACTTAAATCAGGTCAAACTTTTACTCGAGTTCATGATTAAGTCAAAAATGAACATGTTTAGTGTCACTTAACTGGCCTACTTTACAAAGATGGAGAAACTGTAAATATTGATTGGACTGTCGTTTTATGTCTTTTTGTGTTTTTATTCCATTTATATTGTCCAAAATGGGTAAAGGAGGAGGCCTACAGAGCAGATCACCCTGACACTGAGCTTCACATTTTCTCTTTCATTGATATAGAAAACATGAGATTGGCGACCTTTAAAATGTTGCTGTGTTTTTATTCAGGCGTATAACATTCAACATACATGATACAATGTTCATTGATGGAACTATCAGTCTATTATGTGCTTCATTCATTAATTTAACTCTTTGTAATACATACATCAGAATAATTTCATTCAAATCTTACAAATGTAGTAATTTACAAAGACATTAGAAATGTATATATAAAGCACACGTAGTTTGTTCAATTATTTAAATCACTGGACTGCGTGTGTCAAATAATAAAGCAAGGAAAGCACCAGTTAAATTCCCATAAAAAGTATTGTCAAGCTGCAATATTGCACTCAGTTTAACACTTTATAACAACAATATTGCTATGAAAGAGTACTAAAGGCACCATGAGTGTGAGTCATATTTCCTATTTCTGTTCACAGTGATTTGAAATGATGGAGTTCTGCAGCGGGACTGAAATCTTCAGTGTATTAAAGGTGATCTTCGGAGTTGACTTTGACTCTGCATCAAACAGTAGCTTTGTTATGACCTGCTATTGGTTTGGGTGTTTTCTTAAATCAAAGTCAGATGCAGGTCCGCTGTTACTCTAGAGCTTTCTGTGTGCTAGAGTAGACAGAGGCTCAGGAGTGAATGGTGTACGACATCAGTTAGAGGGTCTGCGACAGAGTCAGGAACTCCTCTCGAGTTTTGGGGTCCTCTAGGTAAATTCCCAACATGGTGCTCGTCACAGTTCTGCTGTTCATCTTCTGGACGCCGCGCATGACCATGCACATGTGCCTGTGGACGCAAATACATGTGCATTGCTGAGATTTTGCAACTGTAACATTACTGACTTTGTTTATGAAGATGGTGTACTTACGCTGCCTCAATGACCACAGCGACACCCTTCGGTTGAAGAGCCTCTGATATGCCTAAAGCGATCTGCTTGGTGAGACGCTCTTGAACTAAAAGAATAAAAAACATATGACATAAACCGATGGGATTACACTCATATTCCCAACTAAACGGTTAAGCACCACGGCTGTATACAAATCTTACCTTGAAGCCTCCGACTGTAGATCTCCACAATCCTGTAGAGATCAGAGCACAAGCAAAACGTAGAGGCGTGATTACCGCGCAGAAGTAACAATGATTAATCTTTTGATAAATAGAGACTGGCATCAGGCCTTGTACCCTGGCCTTCACTCAGTCTGTCCAGTGGTATGGGCTCTTCATCTGTGAATCATTCACCCTACACAATTCTCTGAATCTGTAGGGCAAGATTCAACCAAAGAAACTCAGTGACTCCGTTTCTGCTCATCGGTGGAGGTGGTGTGATATTTAAGGGGAGGAGAGGGGACGAGGCTGCAGTGATATCAGAGGATCCTCACAGGTCTAAAAGGATTTTCTCAGCGGAGAGGGTTTATAGTTGTGTCTGGAGTGTGCTTGATGAGACGGGGTCTAGGCTTAGACTTAAGCCTCCAACTCAATGTACTTAGACAACAGGAGAACACAGCCCACCGGCACTAACATGTAGTGTGTGTGAGTGTACTTTTATTACCTTGCGAGCTTGCTCAGGCCCACCACTTTTTTGTTGGGGATATACCCGATGTGAACCTGGAGAGAGGTCACAACCAGAGAGAGCAGAGGTCAGACAATCAGAGCGAAACCCTGGTAAACACTGGCAACGCAATTCTGGACTCAAAATGATGAGACAGATCTACAGCACAGGGGGCAGTTGTTTTTATAAGGACAATCTGATTTCGCTATGAACCCAAAAACCTCCATGATATCCTTTTAGGTTGACACACACAGGCTTACCTTGCCAAAAAACGGCACCAGGTGATGCTCACACAGAGAAAACATGTCGATGTCCTTCACAATCACCATCTCGTCGTGGTCTTCATCGAATATTGCATTGTTAAGGATGTCTAGAAGGCAAAAATATGCACATTTTAGGAAATTAGATCCATTATAGAAGACTTAAGGTGACCCCTAAATATCCTTATATTTCCAGTACAAATAATTTGCTTTAATGTGCATTCTAGGGTATCTGATGTTTCTTATAAAGGCTTTAATCCAAACTATTCTGGGATCTAAGTAACTCTTAAAGCACTTGAGAATATTACCTAACATAAATTCTGACATTTGTGGAAGTTACTATTAAATTTTGTTGCTTTTTTGCTACTTTTTATTCAACTTTAGGCCCTTAAATCACTTAAAAGCGGTTTCATCTTCATAGAAAATACAAAAAATTGCAGTTTTTACGCATTAGTTCAAGTTTCTTCACCAAAATGTCTATCGTTTTTACGCACAGGTTGAAACAGACCATATGACAATCATGACTGACACCCACTTTGTTCCTCATATGTCGGTCCCACAGAGACACCCCTCGACTCACCCTCGATGGTCTCGTGGTAGCCTTTGGTCAGGAACTGCATGGCCTTAGCGGCGCGCAGCGGGGTGCGCAGCAGCCCCTGCCTGTCCGTGTCTTCCCCGAGGTCCCGCAGGATGCTGGTGTAGGCAGCCTCCAGCGTGGGCAAGCGGGACTGATCCTCGGCCTCTTTGCGGGACGTCTCGTGCTTGCAGAGCACGGCGGACTTCTTGGACTCCATGATGAGGTCGTTGAAGCTCTTGTTGCAGTTGAAGTCCTCCACGGGGTCGCTGCACAGGCCGTTCATATCGGAGCGCTTTTTGTTGACTCGGTATGAGGAAGAGATGAGGAGGTGGAGGAGGCTCCTGAACTTGGGACAGCCGACAAGTTTGATGTGTTCACGCAGCGCCTCCTGCGTTTATAAAGCCCGAACCGGCTGCCGCGTGCGCATCAGTCTCCCATTCGTCAAGGTCCAGCCTACGTCAAACGTTTAGTTTCGTCAGCTGGGTTAAATGTCATCACGGACCCCCTCCCCCTTCTCTATCCTCACAAAGTAACAGGCCTCTCCTTAATTTGGATTTTCCGCATCTCATCACTTTACGCGTAGCCTGCCGTACCATCATCACCCGTATCCATCCACTACTGTACGTCTGATCCAGTCGTGATAATGAAAAACAGACAGAGGACTCTCATACACTGATCTGCAGCCTCATGACTCCACGTGGGTACATGGCTTTTGTGCAGCTTGGCAGAGTATGCTATGCTTGTTTAGGTTAATTCTTTATTAATCCTACTTTACAACTAGGACATATCGTCAAAGCCATATCAGATTCATTGATAAGTCATAAACAGTCAATAAAAATATTGGAGTGTTACTGTGTAGAGAAGGAGGAGGAGGAGGAGGAACCCTTTCAATGAGGTCAAAGCAGTGGCGTATATATTTTATTTCCACTAGGGTGGCCCAATTGAGGCACTTACGAAAACATAGGGGGCGTGTAAATTGAGCGGTTTTGTTGTGCAAGAGAAAATTGATTCATGGAAGTATCACGATTCTTTGTTTTACAATTTTTAAATCGATTTTTATGTTCAAAAAAATTTTTTCTTCTTTTTTTTCAAATTTAAGAATAAAAGGTCCTTAAACACCGGGAGTGTTTTTTTCATGCAATTATTTTGGATGTCAATGTTTCTTTTCGAACCCGTATCCTGTCAACACAAGTGTTCACATCAGCGACGGTTTCCCGTCCTGCGATATTGCGGCATTTATTTTTTCGTATCACGGTCGAATTTTCTAAAGTTTTGCAAACTGTGTGTCCACCTCTGACCAATCAGTGGAATTTACCGGTATTCCAACATGGCCGACCGGCTGATTGTTTACGTGTCGCAGAACAGAGTGTTTTTTTGATAAAAAAACACAAATATTACAAAGATAACGACCTGAAGGACAACTTGTTGAGAGTCATAGTGTTGGATTTCTCATATGACGATGGTTTGTGTGCTTTAACAGTTTGCTAAACGTCTTTGTTTTAACTTTCATCTGTGCTAAGTAACTTTAGCTTGTAAGCTAACCTGTTCAGATACAACATACCATATGTATTTTCACTGTCTCAAACTCAATCGCGTTGCTGTCACAGCAGCATTAGGTCTCGGTTGTTACCTTACGTTTATGGATTATAGTTTAGTGTGCTTATCTGGTACTGGCCCCGACTCAGTACATGCTATCATGACAGACAGACATCTTAACACTAGTGTCTAATCAGAACTGAAAACAGTCAGTCTGCTGTTAAGCCACAGCTTAAACTACCTGTTTGGAAAGAAATCGTTCTAGACAGATATAAAGTTCCTCTATCCTGGATTTGAACCAATTTGATCATTTTTCTATCAAGTTGTGTTGATACAAAAGCACCGTCTAGACTGCAGTTGTAGGAGGCCAGAACTTTCTAAAAAAAAAAAAGGCCACCCTGCTTAGATTTTAACTCTGAACCTATTTGCTATGAGACATCAGCGCTCACCCGGCACACTAAGGTGCTGCCTTACATTTACTTGTTCAGGTATATCTTCTTTCCATTACACTGTGTTGATTTAAAAGCAAAGGCAAAATGTTTGTCCTTTTAGGAGGACATTCTTTGGTTATCTCCTGAAGACAGTAGGTTGTAAAAAACCGACCATGATTTGGTGTTAAAGATTCACAACATCTCGTCTCCAGTGACCAAATATAAGCCTTACATTCCTTTGGGGCATCGGGGTCGAGAAAGTGGTTACCTTTGCTGCAGTATACATTTCATACTAACTGATAACAACTTGACATTTTGTTGGAAAAATGTAGTATTATTTGTTGAGAAAACATACAAGTTGTGAAAAAGTTGAGAAAACTTATTTTTTTTTTACCAACTGGCATTAGTTGGAGGGACTTTTTATTTATCCTACAGTTCTATGTGATGAGATAACTGCCTCAAAGCTCCTATGAGGAACTTTAGGTTTGTGGCCATTTGGCGCCCCCTGTGGACAAAGCAGTCTTAGCTTTTTTTGTCCTCAGCATTCATTAATAAAAATCAAATTTCATCCAGCTGGCTTTAGACAGGCAAATGTGTCATCTATTATAAATAGAAATTTTAAGACAAAGCTGTTTTTCAGTCGCTAATCTGATACCTACCCCTCACACCAGTTTCAGCCATTTAAAATCATGGTGTAAAAATCACAGTTTTTGTTGCCATCAGTCTTGTTTGCATTTTTATATCACAAAAAGGCATCAATATAAATCTTTGTCTGTTCCATAAGTGTCAAAATGCTCCTTACATGAGCTTTAAGTACACATAAATATAATAATTTCTTCTTATTCTCAAAATGACAGACTTTAGATACGTTTGATTTCTTGCATCCCTTTTCCTTCTTTGTTATAAAAACATAACAGCACATGTTTCGGTGTCTTTACATCACTGGGTAAAAAGAAACATGCTCACATGAGTTTTAGGAATCAGCTTTCCAAGAAACGATCTCTATCAGCAGACAAAGACATCTGAGCTCATGGCAAATGAAAGTTTAACCTCTGTAATCTCTACACTGGTGGTGAGATTACATTGAGGAATTTAAAGCTCATAAAGTGGTGGAAAGGAAAAAAGTTTCAACCTCTATATTCTGATCCTTGTCTACATATTTAGCTTTAAGTCATTGAGTTTATGAATTAATACTGTTTCTTTGTGGCTGTTAGAGCTGCAGTAACTTTAGGTGACAAACTATAAAATCTCCAGTAATTTATCACATGTAACACTGCTCTTTTAGTCTATTTGTTCCATATGATGTAACTTTATAAATACGTTTACAGTCAAAAGATATAGTTGAAATGGGCTGTCTCTGCGGAAAGGAGACACAAAATGTGCTAAGGAAAGGGATAAAGTATCAGTTTTGTTAGTCATTGTGTGTTGTTTACTTTTACATGCAACGTAAGGGATTACAGTGTTCTTGCGTCTCTCCTCCCTTTCGTGTTCAGTGTTATTTCTCTTTTTGTTCTTCACAAAGGCCCACTTAGGGTATCCACAGGTTGTCAGGGCATTTATGATGTGCTTCTGTTCCTTTTCCTTACCTTCTTTCTTCATGGGAATGTTCTCAGCCCGGTGGTTGAGTGTTCTGATGACACCCAGTTTGTGCTGCAGAGGATGGTGGGAATCAAAAAGTAGATATTAATCCGTGTGTGTTGGTTTCCTGTACACTTCAACGTTAAGGCACCCATCTGCCTCCAAGTGTACAGCACAGTCCAAAAAGGCCAACATATTGTCCTTAACATCTTCACGGGTGAACTTGATGTTGCTGTCCACTGTGTTGATATGGTCAGTGAAGGCCTCTTCTTCATGTGTTTTGATCTTAACCCAGGTGTCATCCACATATCTGAAACGGGTCACTCTTTCGAGGACAGCAATGTACAGGTGTTGGCTAGAGAAGACAGATGGTGTGAAAGAGGAGTTAAAGAAGCCATCTTTACCAGGCTGGAGAAACCTTCTCTGAACAGAGGGGGTGGACTCGGGCACAATCTCTCTGGCACTTACGATGCAGTTCTCAGCTTTCTCCCCAGGAAGATCCACAAACATTCACACCTGAAACCACATGACCCAGGTTTCGTGGTCACATGACAGGGGTCGTTAATGACCCTTTTTAGGTTAGCGACTTGGGGGGGCACACACACACACACACACACACACACACACCCAGAGATGGGTTTCCACGACCCAACCCCTCCCAGTTGTTGTCTGTCCCCTTCTCCAGTAAGATGAATATCTGCTCCTCACACTAGTGATTTAGAACTGAAGAAGCTTCTTGGATAAGAGGCGAAACGTCTTCTAAACTCTTCACAGTCCAGTTGCCTGTTTTTTAAGTCTTCAAGATAACCATGACCTGGATGAATGAGAATCTACACGGACACCTGTATAAGTTGAGAGATGTTCTTCCACGTGCGTCATGGTCCGGAGTTAAACATAGAGGGAAGGGACCCAAAATGCAGCACAAAAAAGCAAGAAAAAGAGAAAAATTCAAAAGGCAAAATCCACAAAAAATCACAGGGAGCAACTGGGCATACGCACATACAAACATACAGTGAACCAACCAGGGCAGAGAGGAAGACAGGGACTATATACACACTGGTTAACAAGCAACAGGTGAGGCAAACGAGACACAGGTGAAACTCATGAGTGATTAACAAGGGAGGAAAAACTAGGGAAGTAAAACAAGACTAGAAACACAAGGAATGAACTACTACAAAATAAAATGGGAAACACAGAAAACTATTCTAAAGAATAAAACACAGAGGACAGGAACAATAGGAAACAGAGACACTAGGAAAAACACAGATAAAATAAACTCAAAAAACAAAACCAAGAAATAACTAAATCAACAGCACATATCATGACACATTGCACATTTTGGGTGTGTGTGTTTGTCCCTGTTTCTGTCAACATTACCCTTACATTAAATCCAAACATCTAGTTTTTTTTTTTTTAGTCTTTTCCTTGAGAACTGTAAATTTCTTGGAGTTGTAAGGTCACTCAGAGGACCCCACGGCTGTTATGAGTTGAGAAAATTTTGAGATATTAGCAACTTTATAACAAATTTCTCAGAAAAATCGATAACTCTTGCAGCTGACGATCTATCTAACAGTGTGATTGGTAGTCATTGCTCGTAATAGTTCCCCGTACTCGTCTTTCTTTGTTCTGTTTTAATCAATTAAATGTTCTTTATGTGGTATGGTTTATTTTGGATTTTGGCGCCCCCTGTAGACAAAGTGATAATCATCGTATTTCTTTGCTGATCTTCATCTGTACAAATGTTAGAAGTGCTGTTTGGCTGAAAAACATCATTATGTTTTCTTTGAAGGGTCAAATGTGTAACTCACTGTGGATAACTGCTGTGGGAGAGTAGAAAATGTTGTTTCTTCCATGTGCTGATAATAATCTGGTCTTATCTCTACCTCTTTTAGCTGTTACAGAAGGAAAATTACAACATACCTATAGTACCCAGCTCTCACAATAAATATATAAAACTTTGAGGGTTAACAAACAAAAAAGGGTGACCCAATTGTTGGACACAGAGCATAGATGGGTCTAGTGGTCTATGGCTGATAACATTAGACATGCAGTTTCTTAGAATCTCCTATCTGATGGGGAAAAAACGGAAGCAGACGCGTCAAGATTGTGTCACATGCAAGCGTATCATCCCATTGTTTCTAAGTTTCTTGGGTGCATAATAGTATGATGTCAAAGGATTTGTATTGATAAAGCACCCAGATACAAAGACAGAGGGTTTAAGAACTGTAATGAAGTTTATGATGAGTGAGGGAAACTGATGTGAACTTTACAGGAATTTTATTGAACTTTGATTCAATTGTTTTAAAACATTTGTTGTTTCTTTGAGACTAATTTATTGATTTTAACTGTTAAGGTAAAAAAAAAAAAAGTAAAAATAATAAGAAATATTAAAAATAAAAAAGGGACAAAGAAGGCCTTTAAGATAAACTTATCACTTATTCCAAAATGATTTTTTTATTATGATTATTTCCCTATTTTTCTCTCTCTCTTTTTTTTTTTTAGTAATTTGACCCTTATAAGTGAGTTATATAAGCTATTTTTTTCAGTTTTAACCATTTTGTGAGGAAAAAAATCTTAATCTAAATAATTATAATAATTCTAAAGTCGTCGACGGAGAGATTTAGATTTTATATGTACCACTTTTTGGAGTATTTATCAGTTTTTGGTCACAAAAGTGTTTCTTTTACACTGATTTACTTTTCGTGACGACGCGGAAAACGACCGTTGAAAACGAAGAAGGAGAGCGTATCGATGACGTAGTTCCGGTTTGGCTCCAGAGGTGGCGGGAGATTCCAGCATGGCGGTGCAGCCCAAACAGAACCTGTCTATGGACAGTGCAGCCGAGCATGGCTTTCTCAACTTCATTTTCTCCATGCCGGAGAAACCGGACACCACTTTCAGAATATTTGACCGTAACGACTACTACACCGTCCACGGGAAAGACGCCATTTTCGCGGCGAAGGAGGTTTTTAAGACGAATGGAGTGATCAAGTATCTGGGCTCAGGTACGACACAGAGCATCTAAAGCTTAGCTAATCAGGCCACTAATCCGACTGTCGGTTAACAAGCCGAATGTGTTATATTTTGTTGATAGAGTTGCCCTGAAGTATAAACTGGCTGTAATGCATGAACTGTGTCAGCTGTATTCCTGCTGGGTGTTGCACAAAGTGATGCAGATTGTTCCTGTTGGTCTGCAGGGAGTCGTAAACTGGAGAGTGTGGTCCTTAGCAAGCTGAACTTTGAGGCCTTTGTGAAAGACCTGCTGCTGGTCAGACAGTACAGAGTGGAAGTGTACAGGAACCACAGTAAGAGCAGCAAGGAGCACGACTGGAGGATCGAGTACAAGGTATTGATTTGATCATGAAGATCTGTCTGTGTAGAGGACATCCATGTTTTAATCTGTGTTGCTTCCTACTGCAAACGTCTATCAGCTACAGTTTGTTTTGGTTGTGTGCTGCATGCTAATATGAATACCTAACATTGCCAGCATGTCACAGCCTTGTTGTGGGTGTGTTCACTTTACTCACAGGATGTGGTGGTGAAGAAGCAGTTGCTACTTGAAACTGTTTTTCCTCTCCCACCCTCTACAACTCAACTACACATCATTTCCCCACTATTTACTTCTTCCTTATTCAGAGGTTGAGTAGCGGATGTTGTCAGTGAGAGAGCACGAGTTCAGGCTTCTTGCTCTGGTTTAAAAATGAGGCAACAGCATCAGAGTGTTAAATCTCTTAAAGGGATATGCCGGCGTAAAATTAAATTAGGGTCAAACACATCGTAACACGGAGTTAGACACCCCCTCGAGAGATGAATGTTGCCGACCTCTTGCTTCTCTAGTTATACCAACTTAAGAAACGACCGCAGATAACAATACAGAGAGCCACGCGCTCAACCAAAACGCCACTCTATAGCCACAAATAATGCTCAGAACAGCACCTTACTTCATCAACAGTACAGATAGGGTCCCAGCCACAGTACTAGCCACCAAACATCTTTTCAACTTTGTTTAATTTCTTTAACTGGTTGAGGTTTGTTTGGGTCCATCGACTGCAGCGGAGTCTCGCAGCTCAAGGAAGAACATTTATGATCATTTCTTCATCATAATGCAATCAGACCGAGACGCTAAGGCAGAAGAACTACCACGTCTGCAGTGTAAAAGGATTAATATGATGATTATTACTTCATATGTACTGTTGATGAAGTTAGGTGCTGTTCTGAGCATTATTTGTGTCTATAGAGTGGCGTTTTTGGTTGAGGTTTGTTTGTGGCTCCTCAGACCGCTGTGTATTGCTATCCTGCAGTTGTTACTAAAGTTGGTATAACTCTCGAGGGGGTTTCTTAACTCAGCGTTGAGGTGTGTTTGACCCTTAATTTTACGCCGGAATATCCCTTTAAAGTTACTGATATCTGACTACTTCAGGTTCATGAAGACTGATGTCTGAGCGCACTGATACCATTTTCAGCTTGTGTGTCCTTGGCCCTAAACAGGATTGTCTCTGTTTCACTTTGATTAATTGAAAGCTTATGTAGGAGAGTAAGGTCTTTACATACTGAGATTGATTAACCTGAACAGTGTTACACTGCAGTGCATTTAATCAGGGGTAAACTCCCTTTGCATGTTAACTGAGTCACATCTAACAGTTATAGTCATCACAGATTTATGTGGAGTTTATCTTCTAAAGTATAATAATCAGTCCTGCTGCCTGCAAAGAGTTAAAAACTTTAAACTGCTCAGGAGGACCCAGGTCAAAATCTTAACACGTCTCTCGTCCTCAGGCTTCTCCAGGAAACTTGACTCAGTTTGAGGAGATTCTCTTTGGAAGTGGAGCCGGAGCAGAGGGCTGCGCTGGAGTCGTAGCTGTGCGTCTGGCTACAGGATCCGATGGTCAGCGCGTGGTCGGGGTCGGGTATGTGGACGCAGCCCAGAGGACGATGGGAGTGTGCGAGTTTCCAGACAATGAGATCTTTTCCAATCTGGAGTCCCTGCTCGTCCAGATCAGCCCTAAAGAGTGTCTCTTGGCGCAGGGCGAAGGCAACGCAGATGGCAGCAAACTTCGGGAGGTACGTGGTGGTCAGAGATCTCACATGGAAAGAGGGAAACATCAGTGAGACATCTAAGGGAAAAGTGTAAACATGGGCAGAGGTTGTTGTGCTCTTTTGATATAAAGTAAGGATCTTATATTTACGTGTGTTTGCGTAGGTGGTGCAGCGTGGCGGCATGTTGGTCTCTGACAGGAAGAAAGCAGAGTTCAACAGCAAGGACATGGTGCAGGATCTGAACCGGCTGCTGAGGGCAAAGAGGGGAGAGACGGTGGCGAGTAACACGCTGCCTGAGCTGGACAAACAGGTAAACAACCCGACAATATGAGGCACTAACCAAGGAGGGGATATAACCACATATGATCACAGTTTGTATCAAAACAAGGACTTTAGTTTTTTGTATTTTTAAAGATTGAAAATCAGACAAACCAGACAGCGATTTTACATCCACAGATCAGACAAATAAAACCTAAATTGATTATATCTTAAAGTAATAAGAAGGATATAAAAACAAAAACTTAATTCCTCTGTGTGGTCTCACTTTCAGGTGGCGATGTCAAGTTTGGCCGCAGTCGTGCGCTTCCTCGAGCTCCTCTCTGACGAGTCCAACTTTAACTCATTCAGTCTGACTGCCCTGGGTCTGGGTCAGTACATGAGGCTGGACAACGCGGCTGTGAGGGCGCTGAACCTCTTCCAGGTCAGTCACATGGATCGGGTAAAAGGAGCTCAGTTAAGCCTCAGTTTGTCCGAATCATAAAGGATTCAGATGTCTTATAGTAACATGGAGACAGAAATGTTCTCAGTTCGTGGAAATGCGAGTACTTCTGTTCCTGAGTTGGATTTTTGTTTGTTCGATCGATCCAGGGATCACCTGACGACACCAGTGGAGCTCACTCATTGGCCGGTCTGCTGAACAAGTGTCGTACTCCACAGGGTCAGCGTCTCGTCAACCAGTGGATCAAACAACCTCTGATGGATAAAACCAAAATAGAGGAGAGGTAAACGCAAAGACAGAAGTAAAGTTGTATCTCAAATTCATAATCCTCTGATTTTGTAGGATTCATTTTGGGATTCTGATGGGAGTGGGAAAATATTTTGTCAGGGCTGAAATTCTTCTGTGTTTGTGTGTCTAGGTTGGACCTGGTGGAGAGTTTTGTGTGCGACTCGGAGCTCAGGCAGACCTGTCAGGAGGACTTGCTGCGCCGGTTTCCTGACCTGCACCGTCTGGCCAAGAAGTTCCACCGTCACTCTGCGACCCTGCAGGACTGTTACCGCGTCTACCAGGCCGTGAGCCACATCCCCGCTCTCATCACAGCGCTGGAGAGATACTCAGGTCCACACCGAGTTTCTTTTTATGACTTACTTGTTTTTGGTCTTTTGTTAAGCACCGAAATTCTGGGTAAAATGTGCATCGTTAAATCACCAGAATTTCTTTTGAAAATAGAGAAAAGTTCCGGAAAATTCTGAAATTTCGACAGAAAATTCTCTTAATTTCTGTACAAATACAGAGATTTTTTAAAATTTCTCCTTTTTTAAAATTTCAGTTGCAAAAACGCAAAAAAATTCTATTTAAATTTTACTTTTTGAATAAAAAATCGAAAGGTTTTTCAAGATCCCAGAAAGTTGTTGAAAATTTTCAAATTAACATTTTATTAAACATAAAAAACACAAAAAAATCCCTGAACCTCCACATTTTAAACTCTTAAATTAAATCTTTAAAAGTTTGACTATTTTTTTAATTCTTACATAATTACCAAGAGTTTCCATAAGTTTCCGACCAAGACTCTCCAAACTTAAATTAAAAAATGGCCTGTAATTCGGAAAAAAAAAACAAAACCCTAATTATCCCTTCTCTTTTTCTGTCCCATTGATCAGAACCAAAATATATCTCTGGAGATAAAATTCATTATTGCTCATTGATTAAAATGTAAAGTATTTATGCAAGTGTATGATTGTCTCTATGTTTGTGTAGGTAGCTATCAGGTTTTGTTGGAGGCCGTCTTCCTCGCTCCTCTCCGAGACCTGCAGACTGACTTTGTGAAATATCAGGAGATGGTTGAAACCACACTGGACATGAACCAGGTATTTTTCCCCAACATTCCTCCACATATGCACACTGCTTTGACACTTCAGCATTTGTTCATGTGGATCTACTGCACCTCGTCCCGTGTTACAGGTAGACCACCACGAGTTCCTGGTGAAGGCGTCGTTTGATCCTGTGCTGACCGAGCTGAGAGAAAAGATGGACGAGCTGGAGAAAAGCATGCAGGCGGTGCTGAACAGTGCAGCCAGAGAACTGAGTGAGTGAACTCATGTTCACACAGTTGAAGAAAATGATTGATTTGTTGTATTTCTTTGTGGTTTTACAGTCCCATCATCGGTTCTCTGGGTTCCAGGTCTTGAGGCCGGTAAGACGGTGAAGCTGGAGTCAAATGCCGTGCTGGGATATTACCTGAGAGTCACCTGTAAAGAGGAGAAGAGTCTGAGGAACAACAAGAAGTTCACCACGCTGGACGTTCAGAAGAATGGAGTGCGCTTCACCAACAGGTACAAGAGAGGAGATTTCACACACTATAGATCCCATGTCTTTGAAACCACAACCACAGGAAAGACTGCTGTCTAGACTGTTATCCAGAAGATGATCATCCTCACCCTCCACAAGGAGCGTAAACCACAGAAGGTCATTACTCAAAAGGCTGGCTGTTCATGTGAGCTGCATGGAAGGTAAACGTGAGGGAGGACTTCCAGGAAATGTTCGCTGACCTTGAAATAACTTAGAGGTTTTAAATTGTGTGAAAGAGGATGATCCATTTTTGACAGATTTTTTAAGAATGATCAAATAATAAGAGAATTGGATCCATATTTCGATGGACCATAAACTTCAAATATGTCCTCTACAATCACGAAACCTTTGCGGATCAAAAATGAAAACAAAATCTTCTACGTGATATCCCAGTTTTTTGAGCTTCATCTGAAACTGGGTCGTCTGTTCCACTCTGTGAAGGAAGCTTTGCGCCTGTTTCCGGCCTGGACCGACAAAGTTCTGTTTGCTGATGGTGTTTTTTTTGTTTTCTATATCTGCAGTAAGCTGAGCTCCTTCAACGAGGAGTACACAAAGAACAGGGAAGAATACGAGGAGGCCCAGAACGCCATCGTCAAGGAGATCATCAACATCGCCTCAGGTGAGGAGGGGATCGTCGCTTATTTCATGCTGCTCAACAATTCACATCAGTATGACTGATTTGGCAGCTGGATCAGGAGTCATTTTGAGGAATTTGTCTGATGTGACCTTTAGAAATTGATTTAGTAAAGGATGAGTAACCGTTAAGATTGTGGTCAGATGGCATTATTTTATCAAATGTCAGCTGTTCTGGGGCCAGCTCACGCTGCAGACTCCTGTTTCAGTGATAATTCCTCCTCTGTGAACCTCCAGGCTACGTGGATCCTCTGCAGACCCTGAGTGATGTGATCGCCCAGCTGGACGCCGTTGTGAGTTTCGCCGTCGCGTCCGTCTCCGCTCCAGTGCCGTACGTCCGACCCCACCTGCTGCCTGACGGCTGCAGACGCATCGGGCTGAAGCAGGCGAGACACCCCTGCATGGAGACGGACGCAGACACCGCCTTCATCCCCAACGACATCAGCTTTGTACAAGGAGAGAAAAGCTTCTACATCATTACAGGTCAGAGGATGTGGAGTCGAGGCTTTGGTGTAAAACAGTTACACCTGAGAATGAGGAAGTCTGTTTATGAAGAACCAGCAGTGACCAAAGTGAGCTGGTCAGAGTGATTCACATGACTGAGACACCGTAACACCAAGTAAGTGACCTGTCGAGAGATGAATGTTGCCGACCACTTGCTTCTCTACTTATACCAAATTTAGCAACAATAGCAGGATTGCAATACAGAGAGCCACGGGCTCGACCGAAACGCCACTTTATAGCCACAAATAATGCTCAGAACAGCACCTAACTTCATCAACAGTACATATAGGGTCACAGCCATAGTACTAGACACCAAACATCTTTTTAACTTTGCCTAATTTCTTTAGCAAAGAGACTAAACACAACTCACCCACTCGCTTCCAGCAGCCGCTTGTTTGTAGCGAGACCTCTTGTCAGTGCATTAAGGACTACAGCGAGGGGACACAGCTCAAGGAAGAACATTTATGATCATTACTTTATCACTTTATGAAGAAATGATCATAAATGTTCTTCCGCGAGCTGTGAAACTCCGCTGCAGCCAATGGACTCGCCCGGAGTTGTGTGTGAGTTGTGTTTAGTCTCTTTGCTCAAGAAATCAGACAAAGTTAAAAAGATGTTTGGTGGCTAGTACTATGGCTGTGACCCTATATGTACTGTTGATGAAGTTAGGTGCTGTTCTGAGCATTATTTGTGAATAGAGTGGCTTTTTGGTTGAGGTTTGTTTATGGCTCCTCAGACCGCTGTGTATTGCTATCCTGCGGTCGTTACTAAAGTTTGTATGACTAGAGAAACAAGCAGTCGGCAACATTAATCTCTTGACGGTGTGTTTGACCCTAAATTAATCTAACGCCGGAATATCCCTTTAACTTTTAAACTCTGTGAATCAGCGGTAACATTTGCCACCGAGCTGCTTCATTCCCTGACGTAGTCACCACTGATGGAGTCTTAGAGCAGAGCATCTATTTCGAAGTTGATTATAATCTGTATTTTTCTAAAACCTGCTGACAGCCACATCCAGGAACAGTGCTAAGAGAGAACAGAATCCTTCTCTGAGACTCTTTACGTGCATAGAAATGTGGAAAATTGAGCTTCAAATTGGAGAAGGCTATGTTCTCAGTGGATGTTCAGATGCTGCAGAAGGGTCAGTTCTTTATCCAATTATCAAGAGTTAATCCATCTTTGTCAATAATTCGTCACACAGGCCTTCAGGTCAGGTCTGTCATAATGATGAGAAGATTTTGCGGATGAAAAGAACCAATCTGAGGTTTTATTTCCTCTTCATGTGTAGCCTCATGTACCAGTATTGGACTCTGTCTTCCTCTCGTCTGCAGGACCAAACATGGGCGGTAAGTCGACGTTTATCCGGCAGGTGGGTGTGATTGCTCTCATGGCTCAGATCGGCTGCTTCGTGCCTTGCGAGGAGGCGGAGCTCAGCGTGACTGACAGCATCCTTGCCCGAGTTGGAGCAGGAGACAGCCAGGTGAAAGGAGTGTCCACCTTCATGTCTGAGATGCTGGAGACGGCGGCGATCCTGCGGTAAGAACACGCACACACACTTTTTTACAGCTACATTTTGGTACAATTAAACATTTCCTCTTCGTCCGTGTCCTCCCTCCAGCTCAGCCACAGAAAACTCACTCATCATCATCGACGAGCTTGGTCGAGGAACCTCCACGTACGACGGCTTCGGTCTGGCGTGGGCCATCAGCGAGCACATCGCCTCTAAGATCGGCTGCTTCTGCCTGTTCGCCACTCACTTCCACGAGCTGACCGCGCTCGCCGCTCTGCAGACGAGTGTCCACAACCTGCACGTCACAGCGCTGACGACGCACAACACGCTGACCATGCTGTACAGAGTCAGACCAGGTGAGCACAAACACACACACACAGTTTATCAAACGCAAGCGTGTAGAGCCTCAAGAATGACCTTTCTGCCTCCAGGTGTGTGTGATCAGAGTTTTGGTATCCACGTCGCCGAGCTGGCCTGCTTCCCGCCATCTGTCGTTGCCATGGCAAAGGAGAAGGCCGAGGAGCTGGAGGAGTTCCAGGAGCCTGCCGGAGAGAAGTCAGGGCAGGATGAAGAGCCTGAGGCCAAGAGACGACGCTCCGAGAAACAAGTACGATTTCAGATAAGTCTGATTTGTGGTCGTGCAGAACCGCCGTACACGTGGAAAATCGCGGAGAGAGGAACACGAGGGGATGGTTATCTTAATTCTTCATTAACAGAGAAGAGGCAGCGAAGCCCTGATGATTATCTGAGAATAATGACTTTTAATGTTAATGAAGCTGTAAAACCGCACTGCAAACGGGAACAAATATGGGTCAAATATAACCACTGTGACTGTTTATAGAAGTAGATGACATACATCTACATTTTCCCATCGTACAGCAGCGAAGTAATTGTTTCTCCTGTGTCATTTTTGTACTTCAGGTGGGGGAAATCCTGATCCAAGACTTCCTGGAGAAGGTGAAGTCTCTTCCTGCTGCCACCATGAGCGACGAGGAGGTGAAGGCGGCGCTGAAGAAGATGAAGGAGGAGCTTCTGACCAAAAATAACTCGTACATTTCGGAGATCCTCGCACGCTGCGCTCCTGCAAAAACAGCCTGATCTCTTAACAATCGCTTTTACGTTTTCAGTTAACTTCGGATCAACACTAACGCTCTTGGATTGTATAGTTTTTCAATAAAGATGCTTTTCTGTTCTGCAAATTGTTTCACATTTCATATTTTACAGTTGATTGTGAGCCCAGACTTTGATACGCTTTTAATTTAGGGAGTCAGAGCTCGAGTTTCCCACCTTGTGCTCATTGCAATAAATGAATCTAAAGTGAGATTTTCTAGTTTTAAGCACTGCATTATGACTTCAAATCTACAATTCTAGGGACGTTTTGTATAAGCTCCTGATATATGCAGTTACTTTCTAAATGTGACCAAGCCTCAAAGTGTCCAACTAAACCAACAAGAGAAAAATGTGATTTAAACCCTCAACTTGTCTTTGATTTATGCTAAATTAGATATCACACAATATTATACTTAAAGGTGGGGTAGGCAGGATCTGAGGAAGTTCTAGTTTTTGGGAGACATCTTGAATGTAAACTATACTCCTCCCGACCAGTTTTCCCCGCAGCTCCTCCTCTCCCCTCCCTCTCTGCTCCAGCAAGCCCCGCCCACAAACAGACGCTCCTGCTCGCGCGTATCGTATAAATTCAGATATAATGCATTTAAATACTTCAGATAATTACAAATGGGGCCCAGTCTACGTGCAAGTGAAAGGCATTGGTGCTACTGTAGATGCCAACAGACTACCAGCAAACACAATGTTTGCAGGACTTCTACAACTAGGATAAAGTGACATAGTCCAGGACCCGAGGTAAACAGTTTAGCGGCGCTACAACACGCAGCAGGTCCCGATTGACAAGAAACACTTCTCTTACACTTGGCTTACTTTGTTAAAGCGGTTTACCTGTCCAGCAGAAAGGTTACAGGATCCGTAATATCACGAGCGTCGTTTATGCTAGCTTCATTGACGTTGACCCGGCTTTTTAGCTCTTGTCCGGTCTACCTCCTTTTTAAGCGCCGTTATTCCACCGCCGAGTCTCCGGTATTTACAGACAGTTTTCTGTACTTTCTGGCTAGTTTCTACTGTGATATTGTAGCACGCTAACTTTGTTAAGGCTCGCGCACGTTATTCGAGGACGTGGAACGTGCCTCACAACACGAGGGAGCCTCACAACCAATCAGCACTAAGGAGCAGCGTGCGCCTCACAACCAATCAGCTTAAGGAGGCAGAGAACGGCTTTGTTTACAGTCACAATGAGCGGGCCGCTAAAAAGTTTGAAATGTTGACTACTCAGACATGACAAAACACAGAAATAACATGATATTACCAAATGTAATCAATGGCTGTGTCCGAAATGGACCCCTAACCCTAATATAGGCGACTATGTGGGGGTTAGCACCATTTTGAGGGGTGTCCAAAACCTAAGTGATCAATTCCAGTGCCCCATATAGGCCACTCAAAAATTTCCCATTGAGCATTGCAAAATGTAGTGACCATCTGATGGTCACTCACCGGTGGTGGGCATCCTGTCATGCATTGCGTCTTGCCATGTAGTGACTGACACCTCTGGTGATTGAGCTCACTACATGGTGAAATCCCATATAGGGGTTAGGGATTGAGTGATTCATTTCGGACACAGCCAATAACTAGTAGCTACTGACTGATACTAAAAATTTTTTTGTATATACACCACAAAAAAAGATGCTTTTTAAAACAGATTCCTGCCTACCCCACCTTTGACTGGCTGCAAATTAAGAGTTACCTTTGAGTTCTGATGACAGTGAAATTCTGATTATACAAAATTCATGCAACCTTGAAGCATTATAATCAATATCCGCACTTGCTTCAAACACCCAAAGACCTCTTTCATCATCCTAAAGTGTTCAGATGAGATTAACTTCAACAACCCACTGTCACCAAAGTCCAGTGGTGATTCTTGACCACAAAGCCTGTTTATCTGGCTGCACTTATTCCCCTGAAAGCATCTCAATGTTGTTAGAAAAACGATCATTTATTAGCCGATCTACAGGCAGTGAATTCAAAGACAGACACATCTGATCTAATAAAGTTTTATTTTCTTAGAAATGGCCAGTTTCCTGTTTTCTTTTTTGTCTTTCTAAGAAAGTATACCCCTTTTTGAATTCCAACTAGCATCTACATAATGGTTATTGAATACTTCACAATATATTAAGTCTAGATGTTATGGTACATGCATACGATTCAGGCTGCATGAGGAGCCACAGTCACCACGATACACGGGGGAGAGGAATGGGGGGAGGACGAGGGGGGAGGGGGCTGCAGAGTGACTCTTCGGTTCCAGTTCAAAGGAGCTCAGGCGCCTCCTGTAGGAAACCCTCTCCACAACACACTGACTGCATCAACTTAAACATATACACACATACACACAACTTTCACTGTACACAACACACATTTACACTCACTCGCACACATACGCACACGCACACACACACCTTTATACACCTGTGGAGCCCCTCCACCTGCTCTTTAAGCTAATATATAGAGGGTTTTTAGTGTTTAAACGAGATTCTCTTTCACAGAAAGAACTTCACCACTGGGACGTCTGAGTGTCTGCAGTTCAGAGGATATCAGGGTGGGAGGGGGGGACGCTAACAAAAGAAAAATAATAATAATAATTATAATAATAATAATATATAATAAAATAAAAGACATTCAAATACAGTCAGCTTTTTGCTTGAAAATACAAAACTACATGAGAAAGCATTGAAATAAAATCCATTGATCTGAACATATTTTTTTTTTTTTTAAAAAAGCCCAAGTGCTCCATCACACACACAATCTTGCTCTTTTATCCACACACAACAGAGCAACATCCGCCCATCCGTTGCCTAGTTACAACCGACTGGACAGCCAATGGGGATGGCAGCTGCGAGGAAGCAGGAAGTCTCTTTGACGGCAGTTCATGTGAAGAAGAAGAAGAAGAAGAAAAAAAGAAGCGGGCCAAGGAGTGACACGGGGGGAACTTTTACGGCTTCCATCGACAGCCCTTTTCTTCCATCGTCTCTCTTCAGACTGCTATAAGAAATACTCGAGTGAGGAATCTCTTGCGGCCGTTCTCTCTCTCTCTCAGCTCCACGGCTCCCTCTAGTGGTGTCTGCCCACACTGCAGCGACAGGAAGCTGCTTCCTCTGCAGCCTCGCTCACCTCGAGCCCGTTGTGAGAGCGCCGCAGTCGCAGAGTCTCTCTCGGTCCTTTATGGCTGCATGTGGATGTGTGTGTGTGTGTGTGTATGTAACCGTGTGTGCGTGTGAGTGTGTATGGCTGTGTGCAATGTAACGTGTTTGAATGCTTAAGTGAGAGAGGGTGTAACCAGACCGGACTCTTCAGTTATGTTGCAGCGTGTTGGACTCGATGGGTGGTGCGGAGTCGTAAAGAGTGTCCGTGTCGTGTGTGGGCTCTCCGGCGAGCGTGCACGGGTTGGACAACGTTCCGGCTCCACAGTCACAGAAAAACCTGGAGGGGTGATAAGCAAGAGTCCGTTAGAACTGGGTCTGCGTGCTTTATTTGTAAATAGCAGAATATTATTATGGATTTCACAGATTTTAAGGTTTGAAAGTCTTACCGATCGTGCCGTATAAACTCTACATCATGCCCTTGGTGGCATTTTTTGATGCAGTTTACACAGATAGCGTTCCTATCTGTTGTGTTGCAGGTGTGACATCTAGAAGGAGAAAGGGCAGCACTGTTTTTACTTCCTGTTTACTTCCTGGATCTCTCAGTTTATTATTTAGCTTCTGTAAAAACTTCTACATGTTCTGTCAACTGTAGATGTCTTTTTCGGCCTAAAGTTCCATTTACACCGGGAGCGTTTTTTTGGGGCGATTATTTCGGACATAAATATTTCTTTTCAAATCCTCTTAGGTTAAAAGCTTAAGTGCAGAAACATTTGGCATTGCTGTCTTTTTAGAGATGATTACCTCCATATTTCGCTCAAAAATATTACCATTGTTTCTTTATTTACCTGTAGAAGTCGTGCATGGGGTAGCTAGTGTAGCTGGAGATCTTGTAGAGGCACTGTCCTCTGCTCACCGCCTTCTCAATGGCATCCTGATTGTTCAGAATCTTATTATCTGAAATAAAGTGAACAAAGAAGGATAATTAAAACAAGGAGATGATGACTGTGCCAGGCGGAAAAGAAAAAAGGAAGCAGTTATTTACCTTTCATGGTGACGTTGACCCCTGAGGCCAGAAACAGGCCTCCAAAGCGATTGTTGAAGATCTGGTTACCCTCCAGCGTGGCCGTGGCATGGTTTGTGATTTCAATACCTGGAGGGGACGAAAGAAAAAGTTTTATCATCGGCATGAAAAAAGAACTCTTAGGGGCTGAAATTGAACGGATATGAAGGGGAAAAAACACACCTGCAGCGAAGCCGTCAAAGATGCGGTTCTTGCGGAGTATTGGATGGCTGTTGGTGCTGATCAGCACGCCGGCCTGAGCGTTCCTGAAGATGTCGTTCTCTTCCAGCAAACCTAAACACACACACAAAAATCATTAAAAAAACTTTTCATCATAAATTTTTCAATGATTACTTTGTTATTCTTGTATGTCTTGTTGTATTTCGCCTTCAGTCTCTGGTTTTCTCGCACAGATTGAGTCTAAATACCTCTGCCTCCATTAAAGATGCAGATGCCTCCATCTCTCCCGTCATGGATCTTATTTCTCCTCAGGGTAGGGTTGCTGTCCGTCTTGATCCACACTCCGGCCATCGCGTTGTCAAAGATCTCATTGTCCTCGATGAAGCCCAGACCTGAGTTGTAGACTAAAATCCCTCCGTTCTGGCCTCCCCAGATCTTGTTGCGCCTGATCTTTGGATTGCTCCCCGTTCTGTGAAATCCAGTCACATTTGCACATTATGCATATGAACCTGGTTTGAATTACTCTGATGTTCAGTGCTGAAAGTAAAGGAGCAGTCACCTTATTTGCACTCCAGAGTACATGTGATTGTAGATGTCATTGTCTTCCAATACACCGTGGCCGTTGTCATAGAAGTACACGCCAACCTGAAACAGACAAGAGTAAGAGAAACTCATAGTTAACAGGTATGAAAATCTACAGCCATAAAACGACATTTGCTCTTCCCCTTTTATGCACCAATTCTTAAATAATTTCACTTCAAATAAACATATGAGAGTAAGTTTTGACAGGACCCCTTTTATTGCATCATCGGCTCATTTTAATTCCACCTATTCGATGTGATGCTTTGAAGCAGTGTGTTCTGAGCACTATTATCTAAAAGTCCAGCCCCCTCTGCAGGAAAAACTAAGACATGACGTCATTCCTGTGAGACATTAATTCTTGAGGATGTGAACCTTCTCTAATCCGACACCTAACCATTGCTTTACAGTAACTTCTTGATATCCTTAATTCTAGTTTCACAAAATCAGGACAATACTCTGATGAAACCCGGTATTTAGGTTTGAAATATGTGGCTTGAAATGTCTCAAATGTCAAACAGTTTGAGAGGAAATTAAAATGTTTGTTTCTTTTGTTGGTTGTCTTACAAAGCAGCTGAAAATAAGTTCCCTCTTCCTGCCGTATTTAGAGTTTTTCTATCAAGGTTTTTAGAACTGAATAGAATTTAGGAGAGAGAGCGTAATCACAAAGGTGTCAGGGAGAGACAGCAAAACTAAATTAACACGGTTTATGAAAATTCATGCGAATCAAAGAGTCCTTGGCTGCTCACCTCCACAAAATCTGTCCATGCACATCTGACTCACATGCAGACGAGAAGAAAGTTTTTCTCAGCACTGACGTCATTTTTGGCTAAATAGATCTGCACCTTTCTCTGGGGGTTCGGGGAGTAATCAGTGTCTTGCTTTGTTTTGTATTTTAAAACACAACCAAAGTGCCAGATAATTCTCAGCAGATCTTACATGAAAATCTACATTTCGTGAGAATAATGTGGTAAATTTCAGGGGCAGAAAATTGCCGAGTTCATTACTTCAAATGAGAACAAGCTCAATACTTCTGATGTTGTCTAAGTAGATACTCTTTACTGTGCTCTCATTAATTAAGATGTTTTTACAGCGTATAAAATACCGTTTTTCACTTCAGAGCAGCTGCCTTTAAGACTTCTGTATTTATACACCGACAGGCGAGAGCAGGAAAGGAATATCTTGCACAGCCTGAGATTAGATCGGATTGGAAATGAGATCAGATTTATTCGAGGCTTTTTGTCAACACATCACTTTTACCTGTTTGCCGCTGTGGATGCGGTTCTTGCGGAGGACGGGAGTGCTGCCTGTGGTCACCCAGACTCCGGCCAGCGTGTTGCTGTAAACCTCGTTTTCTTCGATCACCCCTTGGCCTTTCTCATGCTGAGCAGGAACAAAAGGAGGAACCAGAACTCATTAGTTCTTAAAAACTACCCACAATTCTTTACATAAAATACAATATGATGCTGGTATTTACCACATAGATGCCACCATGCTGGCCGTCGTGGATCTTGTTGTGCCGCACAATAGGGCAGCTGTTGGTTCGGATCTGGATTCCCGCCAGGGCGTTGCCGTAGATGTCGTTACTCTCTATCAAGCCTCGCCCGTCTCCGAATATGTACACGCCTCCTTGGTTACCGTTGAATATCGCGTTTCCCCTGAATAAGAAAAAATACCCGTCACAACCTTTGAACAGACAGTTCAGGATGACTACAAACGCCGCCGTGTGAGAAGTGTGTCCTCACCGTATCGTGGGGTCACTGTTGGACGTGATCCACACTCCAGCAAAGTTATTGGCATAGATTTTGTTCTCTATAAACTGTCCCCGGCCTTTCTCGTGGACGTAGATGCCGCCTGTTTGCCCGTGATGGATCTCACAGCGCACCACCGTGGGGTTGGCGTAGGCCTTCACCTCGAAGCCCGCTATACGGTTTCTGTGGATGTTACAGTTTTCAAAGTAACCCTGAAACACAAAGGAGGGCGGGTTAGATACGCCTGTAGTGTCTCTTTGAGTGAAACTATGAGTGCTGCGATCGTAGCCGTCGTCTTTACCATGCCGTGATCGAAGGTAAACACTCCCACGTCTCGTCCGTGGTGGATGTGGTTACGTCTAATAATGGGATTGCCGTGGTTTTTCACCCAGATTCCTGCTAGTGCGTTGTTACTGATTTCATTGTCTTCATAAATGCCCTGAAAGAAAAAGAAATTATGAATCCGTCACAACACGCGTCTCTTTTTGTCTCTATTCGACACTAGTGGAATGAAAAGCTGTTTTTTTTTACCTGTGCGTGGTCTGTGATGTACAACCCTACGTTCTCACAGTCACTGATGTTGCAGTGTTTGATGGTTGGACACGCCCCCTGGCCGCTCACGCACACTGCTGAACCCACTAAACAAAGAAAACAGGAGGTGAAGGTTTTATACATCGATAATTTTCATTCGTCCACCAGCCAAAAACCTAAAACTGTATCAAAAGAACAACAGATGATCACATCAGAACATCTGAGCTGCTCAGAGATGACATGCTTTGGTAATTTCATCAGGGCTGCTGTCACTAATTGTGTTTTTTGCTGATTAACACACATTATCAGACAGATGGATCAGCTGCTGCTTATTATAGTTTCTTTTGGAGGATAACAGAAACATATTACTTATCTAAACACTGTCATCTTGGGATAAGATGGCGATGGATTAATCATTGTTTTACCCCGACATGCAGCAGCAGATGCCAACATTTCAGCTCAAGACGGCCTTTTCCATGCGGTGTTTACATCTTTAATGTAAACCCCATGATGACATGTCCTGCAGGAGTGTCTGTTCATCCGATTCCAGTTGGTTTCGTTTCAACAGCAGTTACACAAAAGCTTCTCTCTGGATAACTTCCCTGATCTGAACTAGGGATGGGAATTTCGGCTAATTTCCCCGCCGACTAGTCTCAAATTTTATTTGCGACCAGTCTTTAAGCAAGAAAACTCGCAATTTAATACACATATTAAATTAAAAGTTTAAAATGCAAATGTTTTGTGTATTTAGAAGCTATTTTAGCCAAAACATTCAGGACAAGCTGTTAATTTAAATGTCCTACCGTGCAAGAAAATCTGCACCGTTTGGCCGTATTTTGACGCCGCAGATGACAACAAGGTCGTCTGTCGGCTGTGTAGGCAAAAACTCGCTTATAACCACTCTACCAGAGAGATGGGAAACCACATCTATAGTAGACGCCTCGATGTAAACTCGAGGATCACATTTTTTGGGAATTCCAGTGGGTCATGTGATACCCGTGGGAATCTGACGGGACGTTTGTCATTTTTTAATTAATCCCGTGATCGAAAGTGACTGTCGATCCGACTCGGCTGCCACTTTTACCTAAAATAAGAAAGGCAACATTTTTCAACATGTTTGGTTTTATTCAAACATGAGCGGGACAGGAGCGGGAGTATTTTTGAGTGGGAGTCATTCTACGGGAGTGGGACAGGACAGGATTAATTTTTTTACTCCGGTCCAGGATTTTTTCTCTGGGAGTGGGACGGGACAGGAGGGAAAATCCGCTCCCGTGTCATGCTCTAATGTAAACCTGCAGGGCGAAGATGGCGAGGCCGGGCCCGGCGGACATGGCGGTGGGGCCAGGCAGACGAGCATGAGAGCGTTTGTTCTAGACAGACGCTGTGATGCTCACCGCACAGCGAAGATTACACAACTGATTTGTGAAATCACCGCGATATGCTGCCGCCATCTTCACACAAACTTTCTTCCCTGAACTTTGTGGCCCTGCCCCCATTTATTAAACTTAACATTTAATAAATGAGTAGGCGGTTAAACGATTAAACGACTAGTCGCGAACATCACTAATCTGAACCAAAAAAAAGAAACCGAGTTTTGACTTTTCACCAAATCTTTGCATCTCTGATGTAAATCCCAAACCCAAACTATTTGCTTATGACACAAGTTTCATACAACATGGATTTGTCAGACAACAGACACAAGAAATGGAGTCAGTGTCTGTGTGGATTCTGGAAAATGAACCTGCACCTTTAAAGCAGAGCAAAAAAAAGTCTTCCAACAAAAAAATAAACACTGCTTGAGGGTTTTTGGTTTCCAGTCAGAGACCCAAATTATAAATTGAGTCCTGGCACATTTTAGGGAAGTATTCTCACACAGACAGAACCCTGATAGAGTCATGTAAATAATGCAGAAGGAGAAGAGTACACGCTACTTAAGTGACAATTATATTTTCCAAAAACATGCACAAAGATTGAGCTGGTAATTGTGTGAGCGTTCATGTGTGTGTGTTACCTGTGCATGTGGAGCGGATGATGCAGTGGTCGATGTTGGGGCTGCAGTTGACGGTGATCTCCAGACAGTGGTGGGCGTTGTGGTGCTGCGCTGACTTATCATCAGGATTAAACTGAGGAGAGAGGAGCGGCAGAGGTCAGACATCAGCTGCCCTAGCTGACAACACGTCGAGCTTTCTCTCCACCCACCACATCCGCGATGACTCCATACAGGAGGTATGTGCGGCTGGTGACAGTTTATAACCCGGGAACGGGGACGTCTCACACCACCAGGGACAGAAAATAAATCAACACACACTGAATACACTAAGATTTTTGTCTAGGGTTTTATTGAGAGGGCAGCAACAGAGAGACAGGTGATATGGGGAGAACATGCAGAAAAGGGTCGAAGCCTCAAGTTGGACCTGCGACAGATGCATCAAGAACTAAAACGTCAGAAATTGGGGCGCCTGTTCTACTGTCTGGGATAAACTCGTTTAACATTTTCAGGTGCTGAGAATTCAAAACAGATTGAAAACCGACAATCTGTGATTGTCTCTGGATAGTATTGAATGACATTCGTATTATTTTAATAAATCTGATTTCTCTACAGTCTGGCATCTTTCTAATAGATGTCAATTTGGACTCTTCAATTTTTATAAACAAACAAATTACACGCAGTATTGCTTGATAAACAACAGTTCACTAAACCCATCTGAAACTCGGTTTTATGAATGTCAGACGGTGTGAGAAGAAGCAAAGATAAAAACTGAGGAATAACCATAAAAATCCACGTCCAAGACTCATTTTCAACTCAAAAGTCGGCTGCATCCTACACACGAGTTAAATTCAGAAAGAGACTCTACTGCGTTAATGCTACAACCTGCAGCTTCCTTTGTGTCCTCATCCACACCCACTCAAAAGGCCCATCTTCACAGCCAAATACATGTTTACATCCTGGTTCAAGAGGCCAACCTCAAATCCACCTCTTCGTCGCTTGTTAGGTCGCCCCAGTGTTGCATGGAGTTAGCATTTCCAATATTGCTGCTGTCGACAGACTCAAAAGCTAAATCTACGTTCATGCAGCCTGTGGTGGTTATGGTATTCAAAGAAGCTTCAATGGGCAAAACACGCTCGAAGGAGTCTAGCAGCACCACTTTTTGAATAATTTTGCAGTTGCAGACTATTAAATAAACTTTGTGGAGTGTTGGTTTATCTGGAAAGACTCTGCAGGTTTGATCCTGGAGGCGCACACCCTGAGTTTGACACTCGACTCTCTTTGCTTCATTTCCTCTCCTATCTACTATCCTTACAAAACAATAAAAGCCCAAAAGTGAACTTTAAAAACACTATACAGTCACTATTATTAGTTTGTGCTGTCAGTTTGGGCGCCGTTGGCCTGGTGGTGTGAGCACACAAGATCGGTTCCAGGTCCAAACATGATTTGGTGCATGACATACCCCCTCTCCCTCTCTCTCTCCTCACAGCTACTGTTTCTCTGAGGCTGTCCTAAAAATAAAAGGCAGAAGTCCCCCCAAACTGATCCTCAATAAATTCATTCATACATACATTAAAAAGCCAGAAAGACAGACATGAAACAGACAGATAGACAGTGACTATCATGACAATCAATGCTCACACGGAGAACAACTTCTCCCTTGAGCGTGAAGACTTTGGGTTATTTTCTCACGCTGAAATTTTTACAGGCAGTTAAAACGACATTTTTACAGCTTAGCACGACGTGTCTCTTCATTTTTATCTGTTTGTGGCTTCAAGAAATAATTTTCTATCGAAATTTTATAACTGTTTTATAATTGCTGATGCAACTATTCTTCATTCAATGAAACCATTCACTGCCCCCAATGTGAAGAGTTCACGGATACAGCTTCCCCGGTGACTGCTGGAATGAGCTCCAGGTCATATGTGATATAGATAATGGATCGAAGGATGGATGGAGTGAATGTTGAGTTTTCTACAAAGTGATACTTGAAGTTTTGGGACCTTGCGACAAAGATTTTCTGCTCACTTCCCTTTTTAATCAGGGATTAATCATCTGGGGAAACTAATAAATAATCTTTAGTTGCAGCCCTATTTTTAAGTCTCCAAAAAAACTGTAGTGGCAAATGTTCCAGTTCACCACACAGTTTGTTTTATTAGATGAAGCTCAGGAGCCTCATTATAACGCCCATGCCTGTTGTTTGACTCATTTGTGATTCTTGCTTACTTACAGCGTGTTCTCTAAAAGCCACACTCACTCCAGGACTCTCCGCTGTGAAGCAATAATAATTATTGTTTCACTAACGACAGAGGATAACCAATGATTCTGAGGCTAATGTAGAGATCCCTTCTGCGAATACAAGACTAAAAAGTCTCAGCCGGTATCGATAAAGGCCGACTAAAGCGCCACGTTTACCTTGATGGTCATGTATCCCACATAGGTGTCATCTGCGCCCTCCATGAAGACGAACGTTGAGTCTCTAGTGTTCTCTATCACCACCTTGTCTGCTACTTTCCCCGGAGCTGAAGAGAAAGCACTCATTAACACCAGACAGAAGCGCAGCTAGGAAGGTTATCCCAGTTGAGGAGAGGTATTGATTGCATGCGGCACAAACATGAAAATGTCTTGAGCACCTTTCAGGAGAAGCATCCTTACCTGCACCGATCATGGTGATGGGAGACTCTATATAAATCCACTCGTCTGTATAGATTCCAGAGTGGACAAAGATAAGACCCTCAAAGTGGGCCTCTTGTACTCCTCCCAGTGCATCCTCGATGGTGTCATAATACTGCAGATGAAAGACACAAACTCTCTCAGGCGTGCACATTTCAGGTCATTACAGGACAATTTAGTGTTTATATCACGAAGATAAATCCAGGAGGATTTCTTCTCAGCTTTAACTCACCAGCATGTTCTCCCTGCCTTTGTATCTGCCGGGGTTACTGTAGAAATGCTCTGCAAAGCCTGGTTTTACATGAGCACCTTTGTACTGCAACAAAGAAGACAAAGAGGGTTACCAACATGTTCCTTCACATTTGCAGGTCTGAATTTGGGACTTTATGGCACCATATCTGTCCCACAGAGGGGAAACAATTAAGTCTGACTCTATCCTCTAAAACATTTTAAGCTTTGGAAACCTAAAACAATCATCACAATATCTTTGTGACATATTACCAAAATGACTGAACATATACATTATGATACTAAACACGAAAGCTTGTAATGCTCCTGAATTTGCTGAGTGCAGGGCTTGACACTAACTTTTTTCAGAAGGAGCATATGTGTTCCTTGGTTGAAAAAGTAAGGAGCACACAAAGAACTTTAGGGGTCAATTGCTTACATGTAATGGAAGCTATTGAAGAAAATGTTCAAAATTTGCCTTCAAATTTAACACAAAAACTTTTAGAGGACAATTTAGGGAAATGAAGAGGTATGTCTTATCGTCCAACCTTAGTACTATTATTTGAAATCGATTTTAGGTCAATTGGTCACATGACATGGAAGCTATTGTAGGAAAACAGCCTTTTCTGAGAACATCAACCGGTAATTTATTGATGGTCCCTTATTTAACACCCGACTTTGACAGCGAGGATGCCGAGTAGATTTTACCATGCTGCTGTTGCTATTCCTGGTTATGGAGAGTGAGAAGACACCGGTGGATCCGCAGTGAATATCCGTCAATATCAGAGTGCTGATATCAGAGATTTTAGATGCAGGCCGATATAATCCGATATTCTGGGGGTTTTTTTTCTGCTAATATCCGACCAATATCCAATATCAATATCATATCGGGACATCCCTAATAAATACAGGAATTTAACCCTGAATTACATGAAACCCCTCACCTATCTAGAAGCCACAGACCTTTAGAAGTGAGAACTTACTTTTACACCTTGAAAAATATGACAACCTGTGAAAGTTACTGATGTATGAGCCAAAAATCTGGAATGATGTGGAGGCCTGATGAGCAAAAACTGGATTTAATACGCTTAAACTTTTTGTTTTTGCAAATTTTGTCTCAAAAGCCTGAAAGGAAGAAAAGACAGCCTCTCTAACGGTCTTCTTTCGACCTGTTACGCGCTCTGACCCTTGATTGTATGAACTCATAGTGTCATATAAACCCACACATGAATATATATGTTCCCTATCCCTATCCGTAATAGCTAAAAACTGTAATCTGGTTGTGAACTACTCAATCACTGAGATTATTCCCCTCTTGTATCATTCTATACAATCACAAAAGTGCAAAACTTCCCAAGATTAAAAGGCTGAATCTTAAATAACAGGCGTACAGCTGCCAGGCTTTTAACTCTGTTGATCAACCCCTGACCTGAAAGTGCTTGTGTCTATAAATACACAGTCACACAAAAACACAGGACAGCGACGCAAGACGCAGCAGAGCATTTCACAAAAAAACCTAAAAGTGACTAATATTACGCAACTGCATTAAGAACACACTCACACTAACGAGTTGGACTTAACCGCCTTTTGCGGGGTTTGAAATCAACTTCATGCTACGATAAATAAACATGACAGTTCCCCATCAGCCCGAGGATCTTAAGATGGTGTTAAGTCTGCAGTAAGATCTGTGTTGACATAATTACATAATGGGATTAACACCCAACGGGGAATATTAAACATGGTATTCTTGACTTAGCCTTGTAACAACATTGTGAACACGTGTAAATACAACAGGGTGATGAGTCTGTGGACGGGTTGAAAGCGTTCATTCAGAGGTTATTATTATTCTGAGGGATGTGGTTTGGAAGAAGGCAGCTCAATAACATTAGGATCGCCTCACCTCAACAGAAGTTGTTTGTCTGTAAGCGGATTAAAAGTAGGGATGGGAATTAATATGATTTTATCGATATCGATGCCATTATCGATTCTTCTTATCAATGCCTTTCTTTGATTTTAAAAAGGAGACTATAGGTTTTCAATGTTGACTCAAAACGAGGACACAGCTTGGAGTCGCGTGCAAAATTTTGAGGGTTTTTCTGGTCGGGTCGAATGTTTTTTTACAAGCTTCAAACTCAGTTAGTCCACGCTACACAAACTCAAAACATCCATACAAAACTCGTTGCCGTCTTTCTTAGTAAAATGAAACCACGCTTAAGATCGTTTCTGCCTACTTTTCGTACCATCCGCCATGTATCTTCCCGCAAACTCTCTGTTCTTGTTCGCGTAGACTGCCTCTCACAAGACTGTCTTCCAAAGCACCCAGGGGAAAGGAATTGTCCAAGGAATCATTAAAATGTAAATGATGTCGATGGATTGAACCATTTGGAACCCGTTCTCGATTCCCATCTCTAATTTAAAGTAAGAAATTTCATTAAATGGTCATGACAGCTTGATATGATTTAGTTTTCTGCGAGTTTCTCCTGTTCTTATTGTTGCTGAATGCGACAATCAAAAATACAGAAATGGACTGTCTTCTATTAAATGTGTTGAGTGTTTCAACTTTATCCACAGTTTCCCCACTGGTGTGATTCTCTAATTTAAGTGATTGGCACAAATTTTACTCAGAGCAACTCTTCAATGACTGTTTTTTTTGCTTTCTCGCAGCAGACAGACAAACAACAACTCACCAGCTGCTGGAAGCTCTCTTTCCAAGGGTTTGGGTGTTCGTGCTCCTCGGGGCTGACCTGGTAGAACCGGCCGGGCTCAGGGTGCATCATGGGACGTGTGTACTCAAACACCTCCATATAGAGACGCTTCCTGTCAGAATAAACACCATGCAATCTCGGTTACGGTCTCTGTAAAAACACGCTACTCAAAATCAGGGAGCTTTTTCGTTTCTTCGGCAGCACTGACCATAGGATGGGGTCGTTGGCTAGCTGGCTGAATCTCTTGCAAACACAAGCGGCCTGACAGAGATCCTGCTCCAGCAGGTAGGAGAAAATCTTCAAAACAACTTCATCTGGAAGTTTCTGCTGCAGATACTGTTCTGCTGGGGCTGCTAAAAAAAAAACACAAACAAATACACACATATACTCAGAATTTAAGGTTAGATTAAAAAATTAAAAACTGTAAAAAAAAAATGCCTCTGTGAATATTTAACTGTGGAGTCCTGCTATTTAATGTACTGGAGAGTAACAAGATCTACCAGCACACACAGAAAACAGAAAAATCAATGTCGACTCAAAAAATGCCTAACACTCGGTCTGCCACAGACGCAGAGATTTGACACACACCTGGCAGGTCGTGGCTCTTACCGGACACTCGTGCCCGCTTGGCTCGATGGCCAAAGGCTTCTGTTGATGAGGTGGAAGCTCCCTGAAAAAAAAAAAATGGAGAAATAAGACATCTGCATCAGAGCATAATTACAGCACTAAGTAAGCAACTGTGAAAGAAGTGCTGTGTCACAAAAATCATCATCCTATTAAAGAGGAGCGCTATTAATCAGCAGTTTTCTGTCTCAATTCTGCCGACGTGCACTTTGCAGTGGTTCAGGAAAAAAAAAGAAGTGTTAAAATGTGGCAGTCTGACCTCCATTGGGCCCTTGCTAGGGCAGGCAGAGGCGGTGGCAGAGGCAGCAGCGGTTCTCTTGGGAAGCAGGGTCTTGCGTCGAAGCTGGTAGGGACTATTCTGAGCTCCTGGACCGGACTCTTCAATAGCCATCTCTGCTGCAGCTGCTGCAGGAGCCTCCTCATCTAGACAGAAAGACAACCAGGTTAACATTTCACATCTGTATACAATGCAGTTCAGACATAATGGAAAATGTGAGTCTTTCCTTAAGAGGGCAAGAAATTATTATCTCTTATATAACAAAATATATCTCTGTTATGCATTAAATCTTGTCCAGTAACTGCATTAAAGACTTCTTACTATAATTGACGTAATGCAAGGTTATTCAAGCTCACATGTAGTGATTGTACTGTGCATATAAAAGACCAGATATGATTTATCTAATGCTTTGTCTTTTACTTAATAATTTTATTTATTTTCAATACTTCAATTTCCATTTTCTATTCAATGTCACGTATTTTTACGTTAATATTTTTTATCTCTCTTCATAGTGTTTCTCTTTTTAGTCTCCTTCTCTTTTCACTGTATTATTTTTACCCGTTTCATTCACTTGCTTTTACTGCTTTTCAGTGCTGCTTATTAAATTTTCACATCTTTGTTCCTCTTAAATTTGTTTCATATCGACTGTTCCTTCACAAATTTCCCACTTTGAATTCATTTTTGTTTTTTTACTACTTGGTTCACTGTTTGGTTTTTAAATTAACCAGATCCACACAATCTTAGGGTTTTTAATCCTTTTTGGGATACATGATTGCATCTCCACGATGCATGGGTTTTTGTGTATACCTGACACCCAATATCACCAAACTCATTCTGGCCAATAAAAACATTAATACTGATATTTATATACACACCTTTTCTTCATTTCAAAGAACACAGTCACCATGTGCTGGAATTTAACTGCTACTTTTATTAAATTTTTATCTATTTGTTTACGAAACAGCCTAAAATCTGTCAAACTCCATTTGATGATGTTTCTATTTCAGACACTTAAAAATACTCCAGTACAGCTGACATCATTCATTATGATTGTGTGTGCATAATTAATGCATAACCTTATCAGCTTTACTCATTGGCAGAAAATGTTTTCATCTGCCAGTACCAATAATTACCTCTTTAAGCTGTTATCTGCCAATATCAATATTATGCCAATAATGTCATATCTCTATATTAGTGTGTCGTTGGTTTGGGCCCTTTTATTCTTCGGGTTCTTCTGTTGCTTGTAATCTTTTACTAAAGGTTTTTTTATACTTTTAATTGTCATGTATTTGAATATTATAATTATAGTTGCGGTTAGTTGAGGTCTGTAGATTTTGCTTGGTTGTCAAAGCACATTTTTAACCCCTGTTTTTACATGTACTACAGCAACTCATGACATAACCTTAACAATCTACAGCAGCCCAGTACATCAGCTCTCATTAATTCTAATTTATACAACGCTCCAACATTTTCTATTTTTACTGGCATGGTCACAGGTGAATATCAGTCTTTAAATCAATCAAGTTGTAGTTGGCATTGATGATGTACTGGGGTGTATTATAATAAGAGATGTGTTGCCCCATTTTCCACCCACTCTGTCTTAAACAAGAAATAAAAACACAAAAACTAAATCTTTAGATGCTTCCTGAAAGTACAAATTGTGGTATAGCTGTTATAATGGTTTGCATTACATTAACCAGGGGTTAGTTATACAATCGCAGGCCAGTATATGCCAAATTTCTGCAGCACCTGATCAGAAATGTAAGGTGATTTTCATGTAATTTAATTTTCTTGTGTGTTTGAGGGGGTTTATATGTCAGGGTTTCTTTCACTGTTGGGTTTATCTGCAGTTTGGGGTCTGTTGTTTGGGTTCCTTATCCTTAACTGGTGTGTTTTTGTGCTATTTGAGTTCCCATATCTGCTGGTTTTCATGTATTTTTAAATAATAATGTCATTTTAATTCAATAGCTTTTGCATTCCCTAAACCTAATGTTAACCCTTGATTTTAAATATGCAGTACATGCCAATGCAACAATGATTAGCATTATATTAGTGGTACAGAAAGGTAGACAAAGGCTAGGTAGACATTTTCAACCAAACAAAAAATAAGAAATACAGAAACTAAATCTTTAGATGCTTCCTGAAAGTCCAAATTGTGGTATAGCAGTTATATTGGTTTGCATTACATTAACCTGGGGTTAGTTATACTATGGCAGGTCAGTTTATGACACATTTCTGCAGTGCAGGTGATTTTCGAAATTTGATTTTTTTATATGTATGTTAAAGGGTTTATGTGTCAGGGATTCTTTCACTGTTAGGTTTTTCTGCAGTTTAGGGTCTTTTGTTTGGGTTCCTTATCATTTCTGGATGGGTTTTTGTGCTATTTGAGTTCCCATATCTGCTGTTTCTCATGTGTTTTTGAATAACAATGTTATTTTGATTCTGTAACTGCTTTGTTCTGCAGTTTGGGGTCTTTTTTCAAGGGGCCCTTATCCTTTCCTTTCCTGATGGGTTTTTGTGCTATTTGGGTTCCCATATCTGCTGCTTCTCATGTATCTTTAAATAATAATGTTATTTTGATCCTTTGGCTTTTGCATTTCCAAAACCTAACGTGAACCCTTGATGTTGAATATGCATTACATGCCAAGCCACAATGATTAGCATTACATTAGTGGTTAGGGAAAGGTAGACAAAGGTTAGTGATTGATAATAGCAGATGCACCCCCTGCAGCCACATTACGTCTTGTACGTCTAGTCATTCCTTTCACGTACGGGGCCAGTCAGTGTGTATTTGTCTCCTGTTAATACATGAACAGAACCAGCCCCATCTTTCTCAGGTTCTGTCACTAAAGTCGATCAGACGTGAGGCTAATGGCTAAATACTGAAGTGCGTAGCAGGCAAATCCGCGGTGTAAACAAATCGAGCTACGAGCTAGCAGACTCGGAACAAGGAAGGGGATCTGGGCTTAATTTGTAAGCTGCGTTAGCTTGCACACTGACAGCCACAAGAGCAGAAAATGGACACGGTGAATTCATCCAAAATATCTCACTATCATCTACCACAGCTGATATATGTGGCCTCCTGTAGCCGGGGCAGCTAGCTAGAATTACCCCCATTCGCTGCTAATGTTTTTGTTAACGTTACACCCCAAAAATGGCAGTCCACAGGCACCGCAGATTTACACCCTCTGAATCGTTAGTGACAGCTGGGAATGTAGCAACCGGAGCGAACACCCTGACTGTACTCGGAGTGGTGTGAAGTCGATCCCTTTTAGCTTCAATATGGGCCTTTTTATGTTGACCGTATAGCTACATACGCATTACGTTAGGCGAAGACAACCCCCAACATCCACATAACCTGGTGAGCTAGCTAGCAAGTGTTAGCTTAGCCCCAATCACTCAAGCCAAACAAAGCGCGGCCTGGCCTAAACCACAGAGCGAGAAGCCTCGGGTTTTCCTGCGCAAACGGCCGTCAGCTTGAGTAGAGAACGCGGCAGCGGTGGCGAACGAGGGCTACGTGCCGACCATTACCGCCTGACGCAGCTTCGAGTTAAACCGTCCCTCCACCGCGGCCTAGCTTACCTCTATCCCCGTTGTTCCGTTCAGGCTGCACCGGGCGCGGCCTCGACACTCGCCTGGGTCTCCTGTTGGCGGCTCTGACGGAGTTCATCTGGGGAGTTGGTTGTTGAAAAATAGCCTGCTATCCTCGACCGCCCGCTGCTAAATTTAGCCCTCGGCCCAAACTACCACCCGGACAGCCTATTTCCCCGGTACACCCTATCAACTGCGATCAAAAACCCGCTGGTATTTGGGGTGTAATCGCTTTTTTCCTCCTCCGTGGTGTTACAGCTCCCCCCGTATCGCTGCTCGGTGCCAGCTCCGTCTCAGTCTGTAGCAGGAGGAGCCATTAACCCACACGGGAAACAATCGCGAGAAAAAAGAGCAGAGTGTCCGTTCGACCAATCACGAACGGTCTAATATTATCTTTTCTCGGTGTGGCCAATCAGGAGGCTCGTTTCAGGCGACTTGACAAACCTTTCTGTTGGGGTTCGGGATCGGTCAAGCGGAGATTTGATCAATACATGGCCAAAAATTGCACCATTATCGTCAAAAAAGGAGCAAATTTTATAGGCAAACCCACCAATATTAGACAATGAACACCTGGGAAATCTATTGTAATTTAATACAACTCTGCCACAAATTCTACCTTCAGGAAGCTGCTTAATTTTCAGTTTTAGGGTGATTATTTCATTGTAATGTTTTATATTGTAATGTAATGATTGTAATGTTGTAATATTTTGCTAGTTTTAACTCTGCACTGCTTTTACTGTTTTACTATCTAATGTTTTACGGTGCCTTTTTAATGCACTGACTGTAAAGGCATCTATCTATCTATCTATCTATCTATCTATCTATTCTTCATTATCTATCTATCTATCTATCTATCTATCTTGTTTTTCTTAATTTTTCATTCCTTTTTTTCTTTTCTTCACTCAAACATGAGGGGGCAAAATATAAAAGAACCATACATTTTATTTGCAAGGTTTGCCCATGACAATGAGTGAAAACCAGATTTACTTGAAAATAGATCTAGAGCTATCTTTCTCCTATTATTATATTAAGGCAAACTTTGTTACCTCAAAATACTGAAAAAATACTAAAAGATCCCTGAAAAAAAAAGTAAAATTATTTGTCATTTGTTGTTCACAATAAAACTGAGTAAAGAAAATATTTGTATGCATGCTCACTGATAGGGTCTCCTTATATAAAAGTAAACTGTGTGGCCAAACTGAGAAGGGATATCTCTTTTCTTTTATACCATACTCCAGTATCTCCCAACAGGTCAATAGGAGTATAGCCCTGCACCACCTGATTTTACGCCTTTGTAATTGAGAATACTAATCTTTTTTTTCCATTACACAATTAAAATACAAGTTTTGTGGATGATTCAAATATGAATGTTAGACAGATTAAGACACATGAGCAAACTAGATAGCAAAGATGGAACTAATTTTTCATTACTCTAGTAAAAAAAAAAGAGTCAAAGTATGACTGCAGCTATTCTTACCTGGGTGAGTGGAAAACAGGGAAATTAGTGGTAATGCACTTTATATCTGTAAACCAACTTAAGACCTTCAAACCTCATTTGCACTACTGTAAATACATCCAATATTGCACTACTACGTAATTTATCTGTCATATACTCATATTTATAGTCTGTTTATAGCCTTCATATTTATATCCATATGTATAATCTGTTCGTAGCCTGTACATACACTACTATAGCCTGTATATACTTATAGTTATAGCATATTCATAACAATGTTATATACCCTTGATATGCTCATGCATACATCTCCTTTATACCGTGTACATTTGTAAATATATTTATACTTATTAAGCACTTCTGGATGGATGCAAACTACATTTTGTTGCTCTGTACTTGTGGCATGTGCAGTGACAATAAAGTTGAATTCTATTCTAATTTTTACAAATGTAGTTTTCTTGTGTTATAAAGTCATTAATAAATTAATAATGAAATTGTAGAATTGTTCTCAGTATCAATCAGCTACAATTAATGTAAAAAAAAGTCTTTTCCTAATTAGCTGGTGTCCTGTTTGAAGCGCATGAATGCAAGAATAAACTTTCATGCATTTTTAAAGTTGTATCTAAATGAGCCAATTGCTACTAAGGGTTGGGTGATTATGAATGGAGATACTCATTTGGTTAATTAGTTTCAGTTTATATAATTAGACCACTAGAGGGCATTATTTGGCAACAAACAGTGCAACTCAGATCAGACACTGAAGCGTCACACCAAGCTTGCTTTTGGATATCAGTGAAAGGTTTAGTTAAAGTAGGTAACATTTTCTTCTTTTTCTCTTGTCCAGCAGTGTAAGAAGAAGATCTGCAAGTGTGATCCCTCCCACACTTCTGATGCCTGAGGAAATCAGTGATTGATCTGTTGTTGTCATCAGCACACTGAAGTTTGAGGACAACTACTACAACATAAAGAATTGTAATTTACTGATCCTTCTCCCTACATGGAATAAACAATAAAAAGTAAGCAGCTATACCTTTGAGGAGATAAAATGCATTATATGTGGAAAACTTGAGGCCTTTTATAAGGTTGTTTATCTATGACAGAAGCTTTATTTCCAGCCTAAATGTTATCACTTAAGGTGTAATTATAGCCTAATATCTCATGAGGAGACACAACAGCAATACTAGAGTAAAATCTTTTAACTAATGGCTTTTCTCCCTGTAGACTACTGTGCGTCCCATTAGCCTGCAGTGCTATTTTTTCACACTCTAAAGCTCCTAAGTGCTGCACGTGAGTGGGTAAAGAGTCTTCAAAATATTTTCTCTTCAAATTGTCAAGCAAAATCTGACTATCAGCTAAAAAAATAAGTCAAACCCTTTTTTAAAAACAACATCATTTCTCACTGCAACTTTCTCTTAATTTTGGATTAAATGTGATAGTTTGATTTGACTGTTTTGCTTCCAATTTGAGATTTATTTATTGATTCATTTATTGAAAAATGGGACACTATGAATTAGTGAATATTTACAGGTAAATACGCAAGATTATAGCCAGGTGGCTTTTTTCCATTTCCATTCCCAGTCCCATTTTTTTTTTAGAATCAAGTGACAGAGACAGAAACACATTGTTATTATTGCTCTGCCAAGCCTCAACTTTCACATGATTTCATACTTTTTAATGTAAATGAATGTAACCTGAAACTGTGTTTGTGTTTGGATAAGAAAAGCCACATTTGGACTGTTTTTATCTGCTCACTCTGTATTTAATATTCAAATCTCTATTTGCACTGTGGTTTTATTCTACCTTGTACATCATGATTCTATTTTTGTTACTATAATAAACAGTGTTTTTATAGCTATGGCATACTGCACTTGTTAATATATACATTTCTTAGTCTGCTTGCATGTTAAATAGCTGTTGCATGTTTCTGTTGCAGCCCCAAAATTATGGAACGAGATACCCCTCCAAATAAGACAAGCCCCCACATTGTCCATTTTTAAAACTTGTCTTAAAACCCATTTTTATTCATTGACTTTCAACCCTGCACGAGGCTCCTGTTTAAGTGTTTTATGGTTAGTTTTTAGTTATTTGTTTCTATGTTTTTAAATTGTATTTTAAAGACATTGAAACTATATTTTACTTTTTAATATCTGCTTTTATTTTTTCCATTGTTTTAATTGTTTTTTGATTGTTTTTATGTATGTGTTGCTTTGTCTATTTATGTGCAGCACTTTGTTCAGCTGTGGTTGTTTTTTTACAAATAAAGTTGAGTTGAGAGTTGAGTTCTCCCCCTGCAAAGAACTTGAGCTGTAGTTATTGAATGAAAGATGCAGACATCTTTAATCTGCCATTAATGGACTTACCAGCGTGATGATAAGAATAGACAAAGATTAAAAATGTGATGTTTTAGTAGCACCCTCTGGTGGTTAAATCGTATAATGCATGCACAGACTCATTGTTGGCATGTAGGAGGCAGTGTATCCATATCAATGAGCTGGACTCAGATTCGTCTTTGCAGCTGCAGCCTTGAAACCCTGGGTGTCTCACTTCTCAATGTGTGTGGGTCTTATCTAGCTGCTGTATCCACCCTCCTGTAATAAGCAGGAGGAGCAGCTGTGTAGTTTCTCCCCACGCAAACAAGCACACTCCAATCACCCTGGCCCACAGAGCAGAGGTTAGCGGGGGTCACTGAGTCCTTGAAAGCTTTGGATGCTGCGAAGGATGGCAAAATTTCAAGATAAAGACGAATCAATTTATTCTATGTTATTTTTTCTCTCAGAGTACTCGCGCTGTGAAACCAATGTAAAAAAAAAAAAGAGCAGGATACAAAATGGGTACACTACATCAAATACAAGAAATACTCTTTTCATGCACACACACACAAATAAAACACAACTCTATTTTACAAACAATCACAGTGGAATCACAGAAACTTATGCATAATCCATTTGGAAAAGTGAGAAACTGAAGGTTAAGAGATGTGGAAGTGTTTTAAAGCTCCAGCAGACAGAGTGTATGAGGAGATTATTAATGAGCGGGTCCCTGCGGTGTGCTTCCTAATGAATATGATTCAATCATGATGTTGAATGTTAAATGGAGGCTGATTCCTTGATGTGAATATGTGCGATATCCCCCGTGTCCTACCTCTATTAAAGTCTTTAGTAGTACTTCAGATTGTCTCGGGACAGCAGATAGAGGTGTTTGTAGCAGGAGACGACACCTGAAAGTGAAATGAATTTACCTCGTCCTCTAGTTCACTTATCCGAACTGTAACATTGCAGCAGAATCAAACAGTGTTTCATCTGGGTCACACAAAACATAAGGAATAGTATAGGACAGAAATGTGACCTACATTTGGTCCAGGTATGTGCAGCTTTTTCTTGTAGTTGTCTTTACTCGGATATTTATTCAAACATGTATACACAGTGGAGTCGACTGTAGAGATACATGATTATTTAATATTTGCATTCTAGTAGGTAAGAGGTAAACCAAAGGTTACTGGTAAAGTTAGAAATCGCAGTAGTACTTATTAATTAAGGCCACAAATGCTACTCTCATGTAGTCGAAGATGTAATGTACCCCCTGAGACTTGGTGGGCTGTAGCTCCTGTTAACATCTACAGCTGATGCAGACATAATGCTCCACTACCTGGACGTTCACAAAGTCACAGATGACAGATGGTAATGTAATGTAACCGCTGTGAATTGACAGAATTTAAAGGTGGGGTAGGCAGGAAAAGAAGCATCTTTTATTGTGGTGTATATACAAAAAAGCTTTTAATATCAGTTGATAGCTATTAGTTATTGGTGACATTTGGTAATATAATGATATCGCTCTTTCTGAAAGTAAGCAAAGCCATTCCCTGTTTCCCCCATCCTGATTGGTTGTGAGGCAGATGCTACTCCCCCAAGTCGCTCACAAGCCCAAACAAAGTAAGCGTGCTACAATATCAGACAGTAGAAACCAACCAGAAAGTACAGAAATTTGTCTGAATCCTCCTTTAGCCACGACTGCCAACACAAGCAAGAAAACAGAGTAAATACTGGAGACTCTGGCAGAACAATGAACAATTACAAAGGAGGTAGACCGGACAAGAGCTAAAAAGGTGAGTCAACATCGGCATAAACGATGGGGCAAGTTTCGGGATCTTACGGACCCTGTAACCTTTGTGCTGGACAGGTAAACCGCTTTAACAAAGTAAGCCAAGTGTCTGTAACAGAAGTGTTTCTTGTCAAACCGGACCTCCTGTGTGTTGTAGCGCCGCTAAACTGTTGACCTCGGGTCCTGGACTATGTCACTTTATCCTAGTTGTTGAAGACCTGCAAACATTGTGTTTGCTGGTAGTCTGTTGGCATCTACAGTAGCACCAATGCTGTTTACTTTCACGTTGACTGGGCCCCATTTGTAATTATCTGCATTATATCTGAATTTAATTGGAACGATACGAGCGAGCAGGAGCGTCTGTTTGTGGGCGGGGCTTGCTGGAGCAGAGATGGAGCGGAGAGGAGGAGCTGAGGGGAAAACTGGAGGGGAGGGGTAGAGTTTACATTCAAGACTTCTCCGAAAAACTGGCACTTCCTCAGATCCTGCCTACCCTACCTTTAATCTGGAATCTTGAAAACTGAGATTAAATCGTACATAGACTACGACTGTAATGTCCGAGTGTAATAAAACATGCTGAATTTTAACTGTTTGTTTTCTTTCTCTGAATTTAAGTTTTATTCTTAAGCTCTTTTCCTTTAATTGGGTGGGACAGCTGAGGAGAGACAGGAAATGTTGGGAGTAGACATGCAGCAAAGGGTTGAGGCCAGGAATCAAACCAGTGACTGATGTAACTGGGACTGTAGCCTCTAAATGTGGGTTGCTTCGACTGCGAGGCCATTGGTGCCCCAATTTCAACAGTTTTCTACAGACTTTCTCTCCTCTAGACTCGGTTTGAGTTTCAGTTTCAATTAAACAACAGAGAAAGATGCTCTGGAACATCAACTAATGTAATTATATGGAAGTAAAGACTCTTATTTTCAATCTAATTTGACTTTAACCTTGTGTTTTAACTCATATACGGTAAATGGACTATACTTACATAAAGCTTTTTCTCAACCTCTGACCACCCAAAGCACTTTTACATTATATTACACATTACTTTACATTACATGTATGTATCCTTTTCTCCTGACATTTTCAAACAGGTTTACTGCTTAAGCTTTTGTTAAGCTCTTGGAAAAATATAGATTCTTTTTACTTCACCTTTCCAAAATCACAAGCGGAACAAAAACATATCAACGCACATCACTCATCGATCGTAAATGATGTGTTGAGGCAAACCTAGCAGCAAGAGAGGAAAACTCCGCTCCACTGGTGACTGATGGGGAACTCATGGTATCATGGATGAAAATCTAGCCGGCAAATGTTTGGAGCAAGATTCGGAGCAGCGGGACACTCAGCAACCAACTGATTTTTAAAATTAGATCGCACTCTCAAAGTTAGTGTTCTTTGTTTTCACTCCGCTGGTCTTTTGATTTGTAGTTTAAAGGATCTGAAGTTTTCGCACTCGCCCGTACATGACGTCTTTTTGCTCGGACGCAGCAGGTAAAAATCCTCTCAGAGGGACACTTTTACTCTGAAACAGTCTGTATTTTTTCACTTTTATCTTGGTAAATAAGTTAACTGTGTACCTCAACTTTAATAGTCTTTTTTAAAAGTGGTGTACCTTTGATTTCTGTTGAGCAGTGAGTTTTGTACCTCAGTAATTTGTCCTTATTGTCCATGGGAGTCTGTCTCCATGTTTTTGTCCATAATAACTTAATAGTCTTGTTTTCCATCTAGATTCAACGTATGGGCCAAGGAGCACAGCATCACATGGCTGCTCTTAGGAGAGGTCCAGGCCGGCTGCTGACAGGATGAAGTCTCCGTTCGGTAAATCTGCGCCCGCGTCTTAAACAAGCCGAAGCGAGCAGCCAGGAGAAAGAAATCTCGCCTGAATGTACGGGTGAAGAAGGCGTAGAGAAAAGGGTTGGAGCAGGAGTTGATGGGGTAGAAGAGCACCAGCAGGAGTTTGGCGTCTGAGACGGTGATGAGGGGGAGCTTCAGAGCAGCTGAAAGTGCAAAAAAAGAGATGGGAGCCATGCAGATGAAGTCGGTGAAGATGAGGATGGCCATGCGCTGAGCGATTCGTGTGTCAGCGTGGGCTGGGGCCGACGAGGGGTTTCGGACAGTGAGGTAGATGCTGAGGTAACAGATGCACACGCAGATGAACGCCAGGATGTTAAAGAGGAGCAGGGTCACCACGTAGACCTGAGACACCACAGACTCCACATCCATGGGCAGACAGATACTCACCTGCAGAAAAAACAAAAACAGGCACTTCACTAGAACCTTGAATGCACCATTTGTCTACAGCCTGACTGCAGACTACAAAATCTGAAAATTATGATTTTAACAGTTTCCTTTTTTTTCTACTTTGTGCTACCAGTACAGAGATAAATCTTGATACAAATATATCTGCCCATTTAGGATTTTTGAACACTTTTTAATGATAATAAAAGGACATAAATCATTTTTTAATGTCACCTCAAATTTTAAAAATGCAATGACAGATTTCAGTGTTTTCCTGTGATTCAAAGACATAACGAGACATCGATAAAGTGAGATACAAATGATAAAGGTCACTAGCTCTAGCTTTGTCTAAACCTTTTGAGACAGTCGACCAAGAGCTTTTAAAACACAGACTTAAGAGTACTGAACTCTATGAAGATGCAGTTGCTTGGTTTTCAAGTTATTTTAGTGATCAATCTCATTGTGTTGATGATCTATGCTCTGATATTATAATTGTGCATAAAGGTGTACCGCAGGGCTCCGTATTAGGTCCCCCTATGTTTACTATTTATGTGAATAATCAGGAGGAAAATGTACCAGGTCCATTTGTATGCTGATGACACACTTATACACCATTGGTCCTGCAACTCTTAGACATGCCATTTCATACTTACTTTGTGTAAAATGTTAAAACAACCAAGTGTGTCAAAAACAAGCAAATATGAGTACACCATAAAACTATAAAACTTGATAAAATTTGTGAAGAAATTACCACATTAGATTTATTTTATGTATTAATTTTGACCAAAGTTAGGCTGATTTTCTTAAACATACTCTAAGTTATTTTGTGGAGTATGATTTTGAGCATGATTGTGCATCCCACGTGGACCCAAATTCTAATAGTTTAATAATAGAGTAGAAATATGGCTTATAAAAAGCAGGAAATACACTGAGCAGCCAGCTCTCAGTGTATTTGATATATATTTAAACAGTAGGTTGCCAAATAATCTACATATATAGATATGAAGCATTTGAAGTGTATCAAGGTCATTTGGTGGAAAATGACTTCCTGCACCATTTTGCATCCCTGGTAACTTGGAGCAGAGCAGACTGTGTGAGGCTGTTAATTACTGTCACAGACAGTCCAGCACAATGGTAGTAAATAGAGTGTGTTTGTTTTTTTATGGAGCGCACACCTTGCTGTAGCTGCTGACCCCGGCTGTGGGCAGCAAGGCAGCGAGGGAGGAGAAGACCCAGCCAGCTGTCATGACGATGCACGCGTGTCTCAGACGAAGCTTACGGTCGAGCCGCAGCGCATGTGTGATGGTGTGCCAGCGCTCCAGGGTGATGGCTGTTAACGTGAACACTGACAGTTCGCTGGCAAACACCTGCACTTGATACACAGACACAGACACAGACACACACACTCACATATTTCTCCTCAGACTTAAACATCTCTGAATGTTATTACGAATTAATGCGAATAAATCATTTGTATGCAAAAGATCCTCTGTGGGCACACACACCGTGAAAAAGCCTGCGGCGCTGCATCCCAGACCCGTCTGCCAGTCTATGGCGTGGTTGTAGTACCGACCTCGGGTGAGCACGTCTACAGTTGCTATGACGACCAGGTAGATGCCCATGCAGAGGTCAGAAAAGGCCAGGTGGCACATCAGGAAACGCGGGACAGTCAGTTTGGAGCGGCTGCCTGAATACCGGAAGAAAAACACAATTAAAAGTTTTGTTAGACAGATCTAAAAGTTTAGAGAAGCAGACGGGAATTTTCCCCAAGCCGATAGATTTGCTGTTATTGAAAACTTAAAAATGGACTTTTCAGTTTCTGTGCGAGTGTGTAGGTAGCTGTCTGGAGTGAATATTGCATGCTACTGCAACTATCAGCCTGATATTTTTCTGCACTTTTTGTGCCTGCGAGCTAAACAACATCTAATGGTTGTATTGATTTATTATGTGGCGTCTACAGGTATTATCCGCAGAAGTTAGGACCAGTTTGAGATGGAAACATTGCTGTTTTTTGTTGTTTTCACAGGGACAGGTTAATACTCTTTTTTATTTCAGATACAAGAGGGAAAGGTGAAGGAGGAAGGACGCTGTTCTCCATCCACAGAGATTTGAACACAGAACTTTCAAAGTTTCAGCATTTTTTGGATTGATTATGTTAGTATGAGAAATAAATGTGAATTAAGAAGGAAATAGGTGTCACTGTCAAAAGACAAAAGCCAAGACTTCTTTTTGGACTTTTTGCTTCATCATATAGTATTCAAATTAAGAAGGAGCACTGTGGCAATGTTACCACTTTTTTGTACCCCTGCTGAATGAAATTAAATGAAATGAAAATGGAAGAAATTTAAGAAATATGACAGACTGAAAAGTAAGGAAAAAATAGATATAGTGGGAGAATGTGAGAAAAGGTGAGGAAAGAAAAAAGGACACATTCCCAAAGAACTCAAATGGTAATAATAATGTGACTAATTCCCTGAAATTTGACAAAATACTTGATAAAATGTGTGAAGAGTTACTTTAAAAAATGCTTTAAAATGTGACTCGAATATTCCTCACTGAGAGGTAAAATACCTAATAAGACCACAAGTACAGCTGCGTTCCCCAGCAGCGCGAGGATGGAGATGATCCAGATGAGCACCCGCAGGGGGACGCCAGTCATGATGTCCTCGCAGGGGTTAAAGGCATCAGGGGTGGGGGTGCAGGTGATGGAGGTGGAGTTGGAGCAGTGCTCTCTATAGAAGTGGATGTTGTCCTGGGCCTCTGGGTGAGAGCACAGGAAGGTCAAGTTTGAACCCCTGTAAGAAAAACAAGAACAAAAACAAGCAGAAGATGAAACTTTTTGGTTTCCTCAGCTGTTTCAATATTCACCATATTTCACCAAAACTTAGAGGGATATTCCAGCGTAAAATGAATTTAGGGTCAAACACTCCGTAACACCAAGTTAGACATCCCCTCGAGAGATGAATGTTGTTGACCGCTTGTTCCTTTAGTTATACCAACTTTAGTAATGACTGCATGACAGCAATACGCAGCGGTCATGGTGGAACCACACACAAACCTCAATCAAAACGCCACTCTATAGCCACAAATAATGCTCAGAACAGCACCTAACTTCATCAACAGTATATATAGGGTCCCAGCCATAGCACTAACCACCAAACATCTCTTTAGCTTTGCCTAATTTCTTTAGCAAAGAGACTAAACACTACTCACCTACTCTCTTCCAGCAGCCACTTGTTTGTAGCGAGACCTCAGGTTAGTCCATTACGGACTGCAGCGGAGTTTCGCAGCTCAAGGAAGAACATTTATGATCATTTCTTTATCATTTCCTTGAAGTAATAATCATAATATTAATCATTTTGCTCTGCAGACGCGATAGTTCTTCTACCTTAGCGTCTCGGTCTGATTGCATATCTATGAATAAATGACATTTTTGATAGCAAAAACAGTGAGCTGCATAGAGTCAAACTTAGCAGAACTCTGCCTTCAGTGGACCACAAACCAAACAGTTGAACCTTTTAATATCCGATCATGTTTATCCTGTAGGTTCCTAAAGTGAGGTTGCTGCGGGGCCAGTGGCAAAAAAAGTTCTGTTGATGATTGTCTACATAAATTTTTATTTATTTATTTTTTCAGGCTGACTCAGAAGAGTTGTTTATTGAAGAGACTTTGTTTTGACAGACATTTTTGATAGGAAAAAAAACAATTTTGAGAATCATTCTTTCATTTCTTCACAGGAAATTCTTGTCCTTGAAGGCCACCAACAGAGGGAGTGACCTTGGGAGTGTTTCAGTCTCTGGTATGACTTCTAGATATCACTAAATATTCCAGTTCCTACACACTGTACCTTTACGGCTTTGCTTTTGTGCCTCTAGGCTGACCAAAAGTTGAGCTGTGCCAGCATTGCTAATATGAGGGCTGCCGTCGCTGGGCTTGAAAACTCCACTTTGGCGACTAATGAGAGGCTTCACCCATGTTTTACACCGTCTATGGTGCTTGTACAGAGGCTGGGAGAATGAAAAAAGCTGTAACATAGATAAAGGAATGAGAGGATTTCATCCTTGGAGTTAAACTCAGTCTGAACTGAAGCTGCTAATCTGTTTCCCCAGTTTTTGGTCTTTGCGCTTTGAAGCTGACTGGCTCCATGTTTAGTCTACGATCACGAAAGCTTGATTAATTGTGTACTTTAGATATTCCTCAAAACTTTGATCTCTCTTTTCCAAACCAAAATGTTCATTCATGAGGACGGTGTTTACCTGTTCCTTTGTATGTTGTTAAAGGCGCAGCAGTGCGACGAGTACGTCAGATTAGCGAGGTGCAGTTTGGTGAAGAGATGCCGTGGAGGAAGCTCTGTCAGATTAAAGGCGGACTTTGCAAACAGCTTCTGTAGTCCACCGAGGATGGAGTTCGGTAGGGAGCTGAGGGCCGTGTGGGAAACGTCCCTGCAAATATAAACAAGCTGGAATTTAGCAAAGAAGAGCGAGAATCTTTGATTTCTTTAAGATGTTTTTAGCACATCCTCAAATGCTGTGAATGAAAAATTATCTTTCATTTATTAGATTTCATTAGTTTTCTATAGAAAACCCCTCTGTTTGTATCTGCTTACATCACTCTGGATAGAAGTTGAGTTAATTGTATTGCCAATGAAAAAAGTGATTTGTTTTTATTCTGACCGGCACTTCGATTCAAAGCGTATCCCTTTGTTTTGCGAACAAACGTCTCAACAACTTCACCTGCTCGGGGTTTATTTTTACCTTAAATCTGGCATGTTTCTACATTTTTTTAGACTCCCCACACACGCCACAATGTTTCATGTTTTCTCCTACATGCTGAGTTTAGCAATGATGAGGATGAATCATGTAGGCATGAGAATCTGTTGGATGTCATGCTTACAGTACCACCAACTCACTGGAACCCGCAAAGGCGTTGGGATTGATGTGAGTAAGCTGTTGGTTGCCTCTCAAATACCTGAAATAAAGAGAAAGAAAGAAAGAGAGAGAGAGAGAGGAATTAAAAATGATTGCTGATTATTTTCAAGAGGCTTCTTTTGTAATTGTGTCTTTGCCTGTGACTCACAATCTGTGCATCTTTGTGCCGTTGAAAGCGTCACTCGCCACCTCCTTGATGCCATTTCTGGTGAGCCGTCTGTCATTGGGAAAGGGAGCCAAATTTCAGCCGCATGGCTCCATCACAGAACAATCCCAACAGTAAATCTATCTGAACAGTCAAACCTTATTTCAGTGTGTGCGGCTCCTTTGTTCTCTGAAGCAGTACAAGTATGCCAAAAACACACAAATAAATAGTATTTATTATGTAGAAATTCTCCTGCATCTTTTTTGATGCCCTACTGCTTTTAAGTAGAAGGGTTTATACACTCTGGAAGCTGTGGGCTCTGTGTGTTTCATCTAAAAGTATTCATATATGAAATTAAATTTAATTTATTTCAAGAAATGCTTTTTGGAGTTGAAGAGTTGAAGACGAGAACCCAAATATCAGAAATAAAACCAGCAGCCAGCGAGCTTATAGTCCCACTTCGATTGTTTTTATTTTTACTACTTAAAGTTTTATCAGCGGTCTTAAAATTGTGATTATGAAGTTTTCAGCCAAAATCTCGTTACCTGTGCTGCTCTGCACACTTGTCTTCATACTAGCTAGTAGCCTAATGTTGCTTGTTGTGCAGCAGAAGTGGCAGGTAACATAGGAGCTATTCAGTTCTCGGACATTATTGTCTTTAGGGACATGATGGAAGCTAGTATCATAATTAGCTCTAATCTGCTACCGTACACGCTTGTTCCGTGATCGTCCTCTCGATTTCTATGAGTCTGGCTGGCAGAGTGGGGCTCAGGGGGCGGAGCTTGGATTTGTGACATACGAAATCTCACTGTTTCTGAGCCTACCGTTTGGGTCTGCCAGAAATTCACAACGATTTGAACGCAGAAACACTCAAAAATGCAATTTCGCGCGTTTTTTTCTCATGATATATCCTGTAGCTTTAGAAAAATGCTGTATGAAAATGTAGACAACAAGAAAAACATGATTTTCATCGGAGTGGGTCTTTGAATTAGCTTAGCTTTAATGCTTTAAAAAAGGCAGAGGGATGTGTTTACTCTGTAAATGCTAAGAGAACAATACAATTGTATTCACTCTCTGTCCTACTAAATAAAAACCAGCAAGCTCGCTTTGAGTGACAACAGCAGAGCTTCAATTAACAACTAGCATCAGAAAAGTAAAAGAAGAAATTATATCACTAACACTTAAATGATGGTTGATCTCTGTGTATCATACCAGCCAATGAGAGGTCTTTTTTCAAATATTACAAAATGTTAGAATTTGACAATCTGTTGAAAAAATACAAAGAAAATTACTAAAAAGTAGGAAATTTAAATGTGCAGTTGTCCAGATTTGCATGTTAAACTACTTTTAATTGTAGCAGGAGCTGCTGTGTGCATGTTTTCATTCTACTTTTGTATTCATTTTCACTCAATTAGAGAAAAAAACATGCTCATAACACGATTCATCAGCATATTTCAATCAGATTTAGGACTTTTGATGGAAAGTGACTCAAAGAGGAGCAACGGAGAACATAAACATCCACAATGCAGCAGTGTAGCAGTGTTAGAAATACAGAAAAAGGGAAACAGCCAGGCGATGGCTCAGTAAAGAGGGCAGAGGGTATTTCAGGGAACATTCATCACTGTGAATGCGATGCCCACTCGGAGCTGTGTGAGGGAGGTGTTTCTAAAAAAGTGATGAATCCCTTACATCTCGCTGATAGTTTGAGTGCAGAGGCCTCTGAAGGCATTGGCGGGGACTCTCTCGATGTGGCTGTTCTCTTGCAGGTCCCTGTGCATCACACAGTTTAAAGAAACACAAACACATTAAAGAGACGTAAGACTATATCTAAGGGATAAAAAAGTTATATATACTATCCTTAAGGTGCAGGAGTAAATAAGATGTATTCCTGGTCTTCTGCTGTTTGTTTGTGCATAGATTTGAGATGTAGTTTTATATGTAAAGTGTGATTTCTTCTTGGTATATTTAGTTTTGATTGTGCACGATAACCTGTATGTTCAAGTGCATGTAAAGATAACCATGTTGGTCTGTGTCTGAGCATGCATTTGCAGTTTATTCGTATTTTGCATTCAGACTTACAACACAAATCCAGCAGCCGTGGATTGAATCTTGCTAAAGTTTGGAAAAATTTTCAGTCCGGTGTTGGTGATGGTCCTGCGATGTGCAAAATAAGCACCAAATGTTACTACATTCACACTACCACCTCTGCAGAACACTCAGTGCAGTGTGTCAAAGTGATAAAATCAAACAATGTAGCATTCATTGTGTTAACAGAGTCAGAAATTAACAAGTGAAGAGAATCCAGAGAGAGGCTCAGGTGGCGGAGAGACAAATCCCACGTTTAAGGAGTTTCTTGCTCCAAACAGCTGTCATATTATGCTGGAAAAACACTTTACAAGTTTAAAATTCAGTAACTCTGAAATATTTATCACTCAGCTGAACACTGGGTATTCAGACGGAGAAAACAAGACTAGCAAAACTGCAACTGTGCCAGAGCTTTCCAAGATCTTCTTTAGTCTGTTATGTAAGTCAGGTTGGTGATCTAAAAGATTCAGCAGGTTTGAGTTTGAATGTTACAGGCTGACGGGTTTTGTGTTAATGATTTGTGTGTTAAAACAGAATGATGGCAACTTCAAGACCACTGTGAAAGTTAAATTTGCAAACTATCAAGTATGAACTCCAAAAGTATGTTTTCCTCAGTGCCCAATCACATGAAAACAGAATGATAATGTTTTTGTTTGTTTTAAACTGGCCTTTGTAATTACTGAGGGGTTTGGCTCCTTTCTTAACAGAGCTCATGCTTGTGTTTCCAAAGATGCCCAGAAGGAAAATCCAGAGCTGGCTCTCACTGGCATCTAGATTTTTTTCTGCCTTTAAAAACTTGAAAGAAAAAAAATCAGGATAGGAAAAGCCTCCTCTGTTGAAATATAAAGCCAATATGAAAGTGCAAAAAGTCCTGCAGTTCCACCAGTGTCCACTTGAGGCTGGTGCAAATCAGTATGAAATCCCCATTTGGTGACATGATAAAAAATAAAAAACAAAAATGCAGTTTAATACAGAAAAAATTTACATATTTAACAGTTTACTTTTTTATAAAGTATCCCTTACACTCAAAAAAGGAGGAAGAGTTAATCATACATTTGCATTACCAGGGGTACAGCTGAGTTTTGCCTGTTAAGGTCGATAAGTTATAGTCCTTGCTAAACATCTTTGTTTTAACTTTCATCTGTGCTAAGTAACTTTAGCTCTTAAGCTAACCTGTTCAGATACAACCGGCAAAAATACCCGGTGTGTAAGGACCTTAAGTATCAGCAATTCGATGTGGCTCCTGCAGAAACCAATGGGTAATGTCTTCAAGACTACCTTTATGTTTAGGGTTGCCATCAATAGTCTCACTAAATCCTATGCACTCCTTCCTTAAAATCAGATCTGATTGTGGTCCTAGATAAGTACAAAAGTGAACAACAACTCACTCTGATTTTTCCCCTGGGCACCATGAATGTACAACAGTTGATATGTTTCAGTCAGAGTTACTAATATGAAAAGTAAGTGATCATCAAAGTGGGAAAAATGTAGAATTGTAAGATAAAAAAATGCAAGGCGATCTGAATTGAAGACTTTGACCAACCGTCATTGTTGCCCATGCAATCAAATGTGCCATGCTGCTTCATGCTTTCAACAGGCTAGCTGGCATTTGATTAAAAAAACAGGTTCAAGGTTTTTTTTTGTCAAATTGTGGATAATAAGTCACCCCAAACTAGCAAACAGGACCTGACCACAAATATTGAAGTGTAAATAATTAATTTACAAGTACAGTCAAGAAAGTTTAGACTCGGTCACAACTAATCAAATCCTGTAATTGAAAGAGACAGCTCTAACATTGAAAACACTTCTTATTATTAGGATGTCATAAACTGAAGTGTGACACTTGATTTCTCTTCCAGGGATTCAGGCTAATTAAAAAATCATGACTTTTTCCATGTGGGGGCCTCACAGAAATAGGCCTGTCACCCATGACCCATTTTGAACCCACTATCACTTTGAAAAACACAAATTCAAGAAGACCGTTTTCCCCTCGTAGAGTCATTCTCACTGAGTACTCACAGATACCGCAGTTTGACGATGTTCCTGAGAGCATCCACGTCAATTTGCCTCAAGTGTTTTGACTTTGTTATGGTTCTGAAAGAAACGCACACAGTCATTTTCTCATTAATATAAATGACTGCTCCAATGATTAGCGGCTTTCACCACTGCCATTATGCTGCCAGTTATACTTACATGTCAATGAGTTCAGGGAGATCAGAGAAAGCAAAAGCTCCAATGCTCTCTAACGCAACATTTCCAGAGATGTAGCTAAAGGACACACAAACGTCCACATAAAGAACATGACGTGACTTTCTTGAAAAACAGCGTTTATTCTTTGACATATGCCGTCGTTCCGCTCTCTGCAAGGTTTCCGCCTCATTTGTTTGGGGTGTTGAGCTTCCTCAGAGTCCAGAGCTCCTCTTGTTCCACAACCGAGACAAAACACACACGCACAAGGAGATTGGATTCAGCGTGTCGTGAACCGTGCACTTACATGTCAGTGAGGCGAGGGAGACCCACAAAGGCAAAGGCATCAATCCTCTCCAGCATGTCGTTCTCTGATAGGGTGCTAAAAGGTGGAGGCAAAGGAGGAAGAAGGGATGAGATTGAAGGGATGAAGCAGTCATTTTGTCATTTTAATAAAGGAGTATCACCTTGATGAAAAATAATGAGTGGGAAAACTTTGGTCTGAGAAGAGTGCCACGCTCTGAAGAAATTATGCTCAAAATCAAGACAGAAAAGCTAATCAAGAGAAGGGAAGCCCTGAGGTACTTTGATTAAAAGTCAATCTTTTATGTGGGGCTGTTCAGAGGCGAATAAAGCCCTGGTGGTTTGAATAGAAATGCAACTTCTAACCCGCTCGTACAAAGGTGAGAAAACACTCAGAAAACCATCAAAACTGAGTATAAGCCATTCAACATGGCTAAACACACGATGTTACATTGGTTTGCAGAGCACAGAATCAGAGGCTTTATCCACTATCTTTGAATTCTCACATTACTACTTGAATACATTATCTAAATAATGTCACAAATGCAGCATATAGCAAACTAATGAGGATCAGTCGAAAAAACAAAAGGGTTCAAACTACTGCCAGTAGGGCTGGGCGATATGGGAAAAAGTTTATCACAATATTTTTTTTCATATCAGTAGATATTGATATGTATCACAATGTAAAAAAATCACTTGTCAATCTTAAATGTTCCTTAAATGAAATTTAACATGTACTCGACATAACTTGCTGTGCACATTACTCTGCTTCATGTCCGACCTCAAAAAACAAAATACCTCCAAACTACTGACGTTTCCGTTCCAGTGTTGTTGACGATGTCGTCATCTGTTGAGTCTTATCTGCATTTCTGATGGGGTTAGCACTCATTTTCTGTTTTTTTTCACCCACAGTGCTTTCGGCTTCACGTGTTTAAGTGCTGTGGATGCGTGTAGCTACAGCCTGCTACTGCGCAGTTGTTTGCTACTTGGTTCTCATTCAGCATGTGATTGGTTCAGTACGGCATGACCCGGAACAACTCCCCTTTTCATTGGCTGTTCTTATAGTCTATCAAAACATGGCAGAATGGTGGCTATTGAAAAGCATATTGACCATGTTTCATATCGATATTGAAGGGAAATTAGTTTTTGATATATATTATTATGGTTTTATCGCCCAGCCCTAATTGCTAGTGCTCATCCCTTTTTGAGTCTATGGTCTCAAAGGTTCCTTTTGATATTTTAGTTCTATATAGCTATGACGTTTTATGTTGTACAGAGCCAAAATAGTGTGTATATTTAGGTTCATTTTACTATTGTATGTATATGTTTCATTAGTAATTATGACACCAAACTCTGGGATGAGCTTTGGTGGGAATGAAGCCAAAGAGCAAAGTGTGATGTGATCAGATTAAGTGTGTCAGAGTTGCTTTTTGTCTACAGTTTATCCACCTTGTAGGTATTTTGTAGGTTGAGTTGTTCTTTCATCTTAGATATTTATATATATGTTAATAAACAGAGTACAGCATAACTGAGAGAGCTCACTATTGCACAGATCCAGAGATAATTCAAATTGATGAAATAAGGTAACAAAAAACGTATTTTGACCCCAAACATTTGTATGATTTAATATCCTGAAAACACAGAGTTGGACTCTAAATTTAGATATCTGGAGCCTTCTTGATTGCTGTACCTTTAAAAAAAATCCTCTACATTTAAATTTAGATTTTTTCACAGACAGTAAAACTTTAACTCTAAGTCCTGACCCTGCTGCTCTTTCCTGCACATATCTCCTGTTTGGATTATCCCCGTCTGGAGTGTTTTGACCTCCTCGGATCATTACATTCCCCATCAAAGAATAAACATGAAGATACACACAAACACACTTACAGTTTCTCGAGGTGTTGCAGGCCCCTGAACACGCCCCGGGGGATGACTCTGATCTGCGTCTGCTTTATTTTCCTGTTGATGCAGAAATGGACCCATGTCACGAAACTCACTCATTACAAAAAAGTAGTAAAAGTGTCTCCACAGGTACAGCGGAGTCATGATACCACCTCACTTTCATTTTTTTTTTGTCATACAAGAAGAAAACTGCTTTGCTTACAAGGTCCAAGGATTATTTTACATCTGGCTGTTGTGGATCAAATCTAACACGGCCATCCAACTCTGCATACTTGTGATTGTCCCAGCTATTCCTCAGCCTTGACCTCAGAGAAGGGAACAGATGAGAACACACACATCGCTGCCTGGGATTTCGCTTCATGTCTCTTGGGAAGAGTCGCCAATTTGGCCACAAAGTCGCTCCCTGCTTCTCATGTTGAATCCGTCTTTGTATGCTTTTGCGGGGAACATCATGAACATGTAGGGTCCGTTCTTGTGTATGTCTCGGTTCATGCTCGTGCAGAAGCTCGAGGCAAACCTCGTTCCCTCCTTCCGGCCTTGAGATTCCTCCAAAAATTTCGTGGGCCAAAACAACAGGTCAGTGTTTACTCAGTGTGGCAATGACCTGAACTCGCCTCATCCAGCTCTACTCCATTGAATTATAAACACTGTACCTAACATGTGCGTGGATAAACCTAGATTACCCAACCTTTAAGGGGCAAATAAGACGTTCGTCTCGAAGAGGAAAAAGTTACGAATTTATCTCCCAATTGAGATACCACAACAATCTCTCACAAACATTATGTGGTAGCACAAAGGAATGAAAATCTAACTGATATGTGGAAAACACTCAAATGTTGATGCCAAACTGCTCGACAGAAGTAGAAAAAAAAAGATTCAGGGTTAATACGGCAAAATCAGGATTTGAGTGTGAAGCGAAAAAACTTCAGACTTGGCCTTAAAAGTTAAAAGCAGCGCTCTTTATGTGAAGATCGTATGTTTTTTCTTGATTCGTCCACAATCCTTGACTCCATGTTTCAAACGCACTTTGATTTCTCTACCAGTGACCATCCCAATGAGTCCAGATCTGTTTTTCCTTTACCATCTACTGTATGGGAAGTCTCATGAAAGAACTACTGTTGTAGTTCGCTCCTAATAAGACCGAACTAAATGGATGCACAGTATGTAGGAACCATCTTTCTTTGTCTTCTCCTTTGTTTCTGCTGACATGGGTATGTATTTAAATGATTTATATAAAGATAATACTGCAAACTGACCACAAAAAAATTGACACACAAAAGAAATGAACTCAAGAGACATCACTTTTTCATGGCCGAGCTCTGCGACAGTGAAGAACTTGTCTTCGTGTCGTTGCTGTTGGTGCATTAGATGAGAAGGGTGTTACTGTATATAGGATCCCATTAGGCTTGGTTTTCTGTTAAATTATCAACCATATTGTGAATTATTTAAAGCTGAGCCGCATTAATTATACCTCTGAGGCTACGGAGCAACTTGGCTTTGCATCCTATGAAACTATTTCTTGGAGAGGTTACAAAACACAGCTGCAGGAACTCAAATTTGAATAGTTTTTTGTAGAGGTTTTTGTGACAGCACTCGTACTCACAGGCATCGTGTGTTGCTGGAGATGTTGGAGGGAATCTCCGTGACCCCGATGCTCAGCTGCAGCCAGAAACATTGGGTTTGTTTAGGGAGGCCGGTGTCCTCCCCTCGCTTGAGATCCATCTCAGAAGCAGGCACTGAAGCCGCTGTCATCTTCATCATCTCAAACATCACCATCGCCAGAACACACACAATCATTGTTGCCGTCACACCACAGCATATATCACAAATCTCCGGGCTTTATGAGTTTCTCTCCCACGTGGTGTTTACATGCGTGCAGGCCTTCCACCTTTGCCCACACTTCACATGTGACACAATGTTGTCCGTCCGTCTGTCAGCTCTGAGTTCACCTGTAGGTCGACGACTGAAGAAAGCGTGTGGTGCTTTAGTGCTTTCTGCCATGCGGTGAATGGCGGGGGCGTGTGAAAAGCTTTCTGGGTGTATGAGGATGTAGGAGGTCTCTAAGGGGATGTGTGTTAAGTGTGTGTGTGTGTAAGAATAACAACCACAGAACAAGATCTTTGAAGGAGGAGAGGCTTAATTTCGCCAACAACTGATTTTTATTTTCGAGTCTCTACACTTGAGCTCGAATACCTTTCCTTCGAATCGATTCAAACAAGAATGAAACAACTAAAGGATGTCATTTTACACTATTTTTAGGTGTCCATTCTGCAGAGCGCTGTCTATGGGTTTTGCTCAAAGATGGTTATTCTGAGCTGCAGAGGGTACTCTGGCATAACTGGACCGTCAGTAAATTCAGAGTGCTGTTGAAACTGTCTGGTTATTCAGAGCCTCTTAGTCACAGATCAAACTGAGAGCCCTCTATCTAGGGAGACTAAAAAACAATCCACCAAGAAGAGCAGCCACGGTTATATGAGCAGCTGAAAAGAAAAGCTCTCCTAGCTAAGTGAAGCAAGTTATTTAGCTTTGGCTCCAAGTCATCTGCGAACATGAGATAAAAGCTACTCTAGGAATATTAGTTAACAAAGCTGTTAAATGATGGAAAGCCTGGCCAACAGTTAGAGGTTTTTAACATTCTAATAGATGCTGACAGACCTCGACATGACAGCCAGTACTGATAGATTTCACAGCTTTAGGAAAACAATTGAGAAATGCTTATTTAAACTGTGTCAAAATAGCACGTTAAAAAAGTCGCCACTCACCGTTAGTCATCGCCAAACTCACATTTCTTGGAAATGTTGAAGTTCTCGACATGTCTAGAAACTCAAAAGGACCTAAACTGGGTCCAGAAAAAAAAATAGTTTAGGTATCATTTCCATTCAAGATATTTGCTGTCACTCAAAAATAGAGGAAAAATGCTAATCTGAGAACTGTTTTCGTTTTACTCCACACAAGCATCTGTAAAAGTGAGAAAAACAATTGGATATGTTTCAAGTAAAAAGAAAACAATTAGCTACCCTGAAACAACAGCTAGTTTTGGCATTTGAAAGCATGGAAGCCAACATAACCTTTGAAATGTGAAAATATACGTAAGATGAAAATTTTAAGCCAGTTTGTTAGCTAGCTCACAGCATATACAGGCTAACTTAATTTAGCTTGGTAGCAGTAGTTATGTTAGCAAGCTTTCGATAATCAATTTAGCTTGTTAGATGTATTATGTTAGCAAGCTAACAGTTAATATTAAAACCTGTTAGCAGTGCTTGCAAGCTAGCTAACCGTGATTATCTTCTGCTTGTGAACAGCAACTTTGTCTCAACAAGAGTGAGACTTTAGTGTTATGATGCAGTCGGTGGCAAAATTTTTTAAATATTTGCAATAGTTTTTTTATTAGCAGTGATTATAGTTGCTTGTTAACAGTTATTACTTAAGCTTATTCACCGTAATCTTGTTAGCTAGCTAACAATGTTAATTTTTCTCTTCACAGTAAAGCCAGTTCGCTAACATTTTTTTAGCTTGTAAGAGATAGTTATAGTAGCTAGCTAACGGTAATTATTTTTTTTGTTCACTGTAACTATGTCAGCTAACTAACTGTCATTAAACTTCTTTACAGTAATGATATTATTTAGCTAGCTAACAATGTTAATTTTTTTCTTAACGGCAACTATGCCAGTTTGCTGACATTATTTTAGCTTGTAATAGATAGTTACAACAGCTAGGTAACAGTAGTTATTTTTTTGTTCACTGTGACTATGTCAGCTAACTAACTGTTATTAAACTTCTCTACAGTAATGACATTATTTAGCTAGCTAACAATATTTAGCTCATTGGAAGTCATTACGCCGGCTAACAAACAGTAATTATGCTAATATGGTTCTTCCTCTGTGACTGTGACCTCCTAACCGGCATCAGCCTGTAAAGTACTTCTAAGCCATATTTTTTTAACCACTGCTTCAAAAGATGTCATACCTCAGCTGTATACAGTTCAGAGTGTTGCTGTTTAGCATTAACTTGAGTGGCTGGTGGAGTTTTTTACAGAAGTTTACTTCAGAGAAGAAGCAAACTGAAAGAGATGGTGTTGGATTTGTGTAGCTGGCGGTGGTTTAACTCAAGCTTACAAGCCAAACAGTGTGCCAGGAACAAATATGTGAGCCAGTGGACAGAAAATAGAAAAATTAAGGAGTTGAAAATAAAATTAGCTTTTTAGTGATCATAGGATGAGTAAACCAGATTCAGAGTTATAGTTTATCTCAAGAAAAAAAAGGGTATTAAATATTTCTCCTATCCTCTTTAATTATTCAACCATATTTGATGTTTTTTTATGACAAAGTGTACGGTCAGAGTATTACAGTAGATATCACAGACAGTAGGAGTACACACTCCTTTAATTCAGGCTGATAATTTTCCCCCCAAGCATCAAAGACTGAAGTAATAATGATGAAAAGGCGTGGATCTGTTTTGTCTCCTGTCTTCATATTTGTGTCGAAATTTCTTCTTCACTCCCAACATGTCAGCAGTATTTCCAGCCTGCAAGGACACTCTCTGTGATTTCACGTGAATACACTTCTACACACACACACACACACACTTCTACACACATGCTTATGCAACTCTTTTTCATCTTCATAGATCTTAACCTCTCTTCTTCTTCTTCTTCACATATAACCGCTTTCTTCTTCTTCTGTCGATACAAAGGGCTGTGTTGTACCGCAGTGATTGAATGCAGAGGAACAGCTCTTTATGATTTAGTCCAAAGCAAAAAGAGAGCTGCAGCCTTGAGCTTTTGACATGACTACACACACACACACACACTTCGTTCACACACATCAACAGTTAAGCTCGTACACAAGGCATGGAATAAAAAACAGGAGAAAGGTGGGGGGAAAGGCAGACTGCAGGTGTACAAAAGAGTGAAAATGAAGGTGTGAAGAAGAGGATGATCTTGGCGTCTGTGTGCTGGTGCATGACATGAATTAAAGATTGTATTATTAGAGATTATACTAATCTTCGGCTGATTGTTCCACACCTGTGTAGGGGAGGTGCGAAGTAAAAAATGTTGAAAATGTCTCGACTCTGCAGAATGAGTCGCCGTCCTTGCTCGACAAGCCGATAAATTCCCAAAATGAAAAAGTCAATAAAGACTCTTTGCACCGTGGATGTTTCAGCCTGCCAGTGAAACACAGGTGTAACTCGTATCATTAACGATGGATGCATTCAATTTTGGTGGTCAGGTTCCAGGGCTTCATTACGGTGCAGTTTCACTCAGTGATATGGTGTAATTGTTGTGTGAGAGGGGAGGTTATGAAACTTGTTACAAAACAGTCTCAGTTTGAGGCTACTGTCAGCAGAACGGCTCAATATTTCTTTACAATCGCTTTCAAGGACAGTCACCGAAGACATCTGCTAAAATTCTCAAGAACTGATTTATCGCACATCTTTGTCGTTGTTAGTTCACAGTGTTCTCATTCAGTATGTTGTGTATCAAACAGTAAACATAGAAGGGGGATTTTAGGCCAGAATTTGTCACGATTCACAATAGTATGACGGGGATGTGTGCAGTCTGTGGGGACATTTGGGCCACAAATAATTGCAGTTTTTTAGATAATGAAAGATCTATTGAGGTTTAAAGACATGGTTGACGATTGGAGAGATTGGAAATTATTACGAACTTTGTTTAAACAGCAATCATGGTCCAATAGTGCGATCTCCACAAAGTGAAGAGAAAGAAGAATGGCAAAATCTGTTCACCCTGGCAGCTGCAGGGTTGCAAAAACATTGACCAATGGGAGCCATCCGTCCCAAACAGCTCCTATTGGTCAAATTCCTGCTCCGCCTCTCCATCCAATCACCTTGCTGTATTCGACAAACCCCTCTCACGTAGTTCCGACTCGTCCCCTCCCACTCTCCCGGCCCTCCTCGGAGCTCTGAGCGGCTAAAAGTAGTGTAGCAGCCTAGCTACAGGAGCTGTGATGGAGAAGGACACCAAAAAACACTTCTGCTTGTCCCACCGCCATAAGTGGTGATTAGCTTAGGGCTCCCACGGCACCCACTGTATTGGGGCGCTCACACCAAGCGCAAGTAAAATCATCTACTCGCCTAATTCGTGCGAATCTAGACGCATGAATGAATTGTAGTACTTCCTTCATTTGTGCATCAATAGTAATTCCAATCCCTGCCAATTCTACTGGCGCGATCAAGTGATAGACACATTTTTTTTTACAATTTACCAGGTAATCCGACCTCCTCACTCACTTGCCTCCAGACGAGCTCCTTTTTATTCTGGTTTCGGTGATTAAGGGAAAAGGTATCATATACCAACACGATCATTTTATCCTCCATTTTAGATACCAGTGAACAACCATCAATTTTTATATGTCACCCGGCAACCTTCTGCCCAGTTCTCGTCACTCTCGCCCCCAAAGTATTAGGGGCGTCTAATCGCGTCTTTACATTGATTTAACATGCAATTCATCCGCGCGAATGATTTTACTGGCGCTTGATGTGTGAAGACAGTATGGGGAACGAAGCCTATTTTGAAGATATTTATGTCCCAAAATCAGCCAATCAGAGGCATAGATGACTTGACTGTCAAAAAGTTGGATTGAGTCAGCTTTTAATGCTACATCCAGTTATTTTACCAATAAAGTCAAATGTTCCCTACATACCAGAGCATTTCCAGTTTAGTTTGTTTTGATGTTAAATCAAACCTACTCATGGATTTCTTCTGTGCAAACATAAAAACTAGAGGTTTGTGTTTACAACGAGCTAATAGACTGGCCACTGGTAAGCATTTGAGTTGCTTTCTGTTTCCTCCAAAAATACAACTCGGCTGTGTCTTTATCTCTGTGCGAGCTGGCTGTGGTCAAGGACAGCACAGTGGCAGATGGCTACAGCCTAACACAAGCCTTTTGTTGAGCACAGACTGTTCAGCACAAGACAAAAAGGAAAGAGGGAGAAAGGAGAAAAAACGGGGAGAGAAGTCGACAGCGAGACTTAGGAGGTGTTTATTGAAATAGCGGGTCCTTGTGGCTCCTCTCACCTGAGGACGCAAACCCCGACTCTGCGGTCTCAGAGATCTTTCATCCGGCAAACACCAACTCTGCAGAGACTTGTATTCCTCTCACTGCACTGACTCATACTTCAAAGCGCTGCTCAGTTTGCATGAGGGGGTATTTATGTGTGTATACTGTCCCAGTTAGACACAGGGGGACTTTAAAAGAAGAAAAAGGTGCTGCTTTCCTCACTTTAAAGCAGAAAAAGGTGAGAGGGAATTGAAGTAATGTGGAAGAATCTGCTGTTTGTAGATAGTTTGTTAAAAAGCAGGAGGGCGCATACGCTTTCTAGCGGAGTTGGAAGGGAAGATCAACACCGCTTTCATGTGTGTCTGTGAAATGTACAGGTAAAGCTGAAAGCTGTTTTGCATAGTTTAGCACAGCAACAGTGAAAAGGATAAACAGCTAGACAGGCTCTGCGCTGCAATCAAAGACGATTTCACAACTAATTACTTGAATTTGTCAAAGAAAAAAAAACAAACAAACAAAATCTGGGTTTATATTTATCCTGGAAACTTTTTCTTTTCGTGCTTTGATGTGAAAATAGTAAACACACAACACTTCACTGAGGTTTTCTTTTGAAATAACATCTCTACATATTTTACTGGGCCTAAAATCATCCTGTTTCCTTTTAAAAGCTGGAAAAAAGCATGATGTTCAAAGCTCCGGTTAGGAAGTTCCTGTCCGTGTTGCCTTTGGCGCCCCCTGTGGTCAAAGTGATAACTTTAAAATCACTGCTGATTCTGGCTCATCTTTGAAAGTGGGGTTCAGTGACAAAAAATCTCTTTTTTTAAAGATGAAATTTATCACTAATCATGAACATTTGCTTTGAGAAAAGTAACTAAGGCTCACAGCTATCAAAAATTACAATATAGAAATTGTGAATCTTGTTATCAGTTGTTTCATTTGCTTTTGTATTTCACATATGCGTCACTGTTTATTTTAGTCTGTTTCATAATCTATCACAATAATGCTTATTTAAGGGAATTTGAAACCAACTAGAAAAGCGTGAGGAACAGGTGTAACAAAAAGTTGAGGAGGAAGGATTGTCTTTCATACACCTTGGGAATTAAGCAAAAACATTTTGAGGGAATGACAAAGTTGAATTTTCTCTCAAAGTTGAAATTCAAGGTTGAGAAAGAAGTGAAGATCCATTTTCAAGGAAAAGATAAGGGTATAAAAATAAATCCAGTACTCTTTTTTTTTTTATGTCCATATGACGAAAAATAGGGCACCAGATGGCTGCAGTAAACCTTTACTGCACATATGAGCAGATGCATTTGCATTTCTGTATGTGTTTGGAAAATATTTGTTTACAAGTAAACCAACAAAAAGAGCTGGAGGGTGTTTTTCAGCAAGTGAAGGAGTTTTAAAAGGACATGTTACCGCCCCTCAAGGCAACGGTGACTTTATACTTCATTAAAATTTGACTTTAGACTTTTGTTGATGGGGTTAGTTTATATTTTTCAATCTAACTTTAATATTTGCATGTTGCTGCTTCCTTTTTAAAAGAAATGTTTGCTTCGGTTTGTGATTTGTAATGACTATGACAGCCAAATTTTCTCAATTCATTCATCCTGATATCTAAAATGTTGAAAAACTGAGAAAAAGAAAGTACCTGGATGTCTTTGTCGAATCAAAATCCTATTTCACATCCAATGACGGTTTTTGTGATACTAATGACATCAAATGAAGCCGGGAACTCTGAAAATGTCTCATGCAGTTCATATCACAGGCTTTTGTTTCTGTGCAATAAAAGAAGTGGAGGCCGAATTTGATCGGTCTTAAATGACAATCAGACAGAAGGAAGGTAGTGAATACTGTGGATGTTCTGCAGCAATCACAGCCAGTTCTTCCACTGGTGGGCGAGGTACAATTTCACAGCAGAAGGTTAGCGGTCCATTCAGGTCACTATCAATAAAAATGAAACATTTCAACTCAAAAGTTCAAACAAATAATTCGTATTTGAGCTTTTTCCTGCTCATTTTTTCAACTGAAAGACAAACCACTCACTATATTCAGACATAAGCAGTTTTTATATAACGTTAAATGCAACATTTCACTAAAAGTTGTTCTTTAAAAGGTCCTTTCACACCGGGAGCATTTTTTTTTGTGCGATTATTTCGGACGTCAATATTTTTCTTTGAACCCGTATCCTGTCAATACAAGCGTTCACATCAGCAACGTTTTCCCATCCTGCGATACTGCGGTATTTATTTTTCGCATCACGGTTGAATTTTCTAAAGTTTCGCATACTGTGTGTCCACTTCTGACCAATCAGATTTCGTGTCGTTGCGACGTCAGATTCACTGGTATATCCAACATGGCCGACCGGCTGATCGTTTACGTGTCGGAGAACAGAGTGCTTTTTGTTAAAAACACAAACATTACAAAGATAACGACCTGAAGGACAACTTGTGGGGAGTCATAGCGTCAGATTTCTCATATGACGATGGTTTGTGTGCTTTAACAGTTTGCTAAACGTCTTTGTTTTAACTTTCATCTGTGCTAAGTAACTTTAGCTCGTAAGCTAACCTGTTCAGATACAACATACCATATGTATTTTCACTGTCTCAAACTCAATCACAGCGTCGCTGTCACAGCACCATTAGGTCTCGGTTGTTACCTTACATTTATGGATTATAGTTTAATGTGTTTATCTGGTACTGGCCCCGACTCAGTACATGCTATCATGACAGACAGACATCTCAACACTAGTGTCTAATCAGAACTGAAAAACACTCAGTCTGCTGTTGTGTCAGTATTCTCGCTTCCACCCGGGACGCATCGTTTTTCCCTCTGGAAAGTCGTAAAATCGCATCACGCTTGATGTGTATAGTCAGGCGTGTCAAAATTCGCCTCTGAATATTTCGTAATTTCGTGTCGTATATTTGCGTCGTTCCCGTTGTGTAAGGACCTTAAGGCACAAACAACATTAAAACCAGACAATTTTACAACTGTCGGATGTATAAATAACAGCAGGTTTAAAATACCAGGAGGAAAATCTGGCAAATTTTTAAGGTTGGGCGAAAAATTTACTAACCAGTTGGGTATCTTTGCACGCTAGCTAAATCTAGCACTTTATGAGATGTTGTAATGTAATAAAGTTTTACTGTTTCGTAATGGTCTGCTGTCATTGAGACACTAATCTGCTGTTACATTCGTCTGAAATGTGGGGCAGATACTGGAGTTTTCATCACGCACAGCTAAGAGCAAAAACCAATTCACACAAATGCACTCCGGGGTCACTTGGGTAATATTTTATTTACTCGTTAATCTTCAAAACTATTTTTCATAATAAATTTCCACTTTATGTTCATCAAAGAACTGTAACAATAAAAATAAAAGTAAATACTGTAGAAAAATTGTACATATAGAAAATAAACATGGTTAATGAACACCTAGATGTAGAGTCCCATTGGTTGAGACACCTCCTTTTTGTTTCAGATGGCAACACAACAGAGAGAGAGAGAGAGGGAAAAGAAAAGCGACGGACACAGAACTGGAAAGGCAGAGAGGGGAAACATACTGAACGAGAGGAAAACAAGAGAAGGAGGGAAAAGGAGGTCAAGAAGGCCAGTTAAGGATGGAGACAATAAGGGGATATGTTCAGTTAATTTTGACATTATACTTTGAAATCTTACACACAGTCCTCTTCGCGTCCTTTTTCGCCCTGGTCGATTTTGCATGCATCTGACTGGTTGGAAGAACTGAAGGGGCTTGTTCATGTCATGGCACTGTTTGTATCGATATATTCATGGAGCTACAATTCTGGAGATGCGCAGGGCTCAGACAAAGTCCATAAACAGATAATGTAGCCCATCGGAAACCCATCCGTCTCAGTCACGCCATGAGTATTGATAAACCAGCCAAACTTATAGCATGAGGACGAAAAGGGCGTAAAGAGAGAGGAGAGAGAGAGAGAGAAAAGAGGGAGAGCCGATGAAATCAAAGCAACTCATTGATCTGGAATTTACTATCTATTGGCAACACATGGGAACATTTACTTTGTTCTGTTTTCTTTTCCTCGGCTGGTTTTTGCTATAAAAGGTGGTTGGTTAGAGCAGGTATAGTGGGCGTGGCCTATAAGACATCAGGCTAGAAAACAGGTCGCGGCCTGCGGTGGGCGCGACTCCCTCCCCTCTCCTTCTTCATTTTCTCCGCTTCTCCCACAAACAGACCTACCATCTCTGGATTTTCGCGGGACACGCCCCCCACTTCACTTCACAGCTCGGACTCAGGCATGCAGCACACTCGAGATGGTTACACTTTGTCGATGAGGATTAGAACTGAGATTAAATCATTGTTGAATCCCGCACGCTGAAAACCGTTTCGAGTGCGTCACTTAGGAGTACCTCAAGCCAAGGTGGTCGATTTAAGATGGCGGTGCATCACGGTTTAACCTCTGGAGTTTTCAACGCGGTATAAATCACACGGAGTAAGATAATTCACGTGCAATAAGACCCCCCCCTCCCCTTCCCAAAAGAGTCTTTACTGCCCAGAATGTTCTTCATAGTCGTCATTATCGTTGCCATAACAATTATCATAATGGTCTTTGTCATTTTCACCATTGTCTTCTTGTAAAGTCTCCAGTCTTTTGAAGATATGGTGGGTCTTTAGCATCGCAGGTATGCCTATATCTGCATGTGTAGATATTTGAGTGTACGTGTGCTGTTGATGTGTGTGTTTGCGTGTGCGAGACGCCGCTCAACCGGTGTCTGTAGGTAGCATCTGAAGTCTCAAGTATCCTGTCGGAGGAAATATCTCTCAGTTCTTCCACTGATTCCGCCTTTTTTTTTGATTCACGGGGCGTCGTAAAACACGAGCTCTGCGGCATAAAAACAACCACAGCCCCCATCCGTTACGTTAATGGCACCCACCCTGCCTCTGCCTCGTCACTCGTAATTCACCGTCTCTTTGTATGGCGACACCCTGATTTCCTTTCCCGTTGCTGCTGGAATTGGATTCGACTGTCGGTGTGCTTGTTTCTTCGGCGTCCTCTGTGCTTCGTCTGCTAACAGGGAGGAAGGCCGACAGAGAAGCTTGGAAGAGACACTTAGTGCTTTTTTCTGGGTGCTTTTACATCATCTTTGTTCAGTCTGCCGTGTGCTTCACTTAAAGGCTTCCCGGACCTCTTTGAATCCGACAGAGGAGGTCGTACTGTGGCAGGGGTATGACTGGACTTTTAATCTGGCTGGCCCCCGAAATGTTTCTTCACCGGGGGTTTGATCTGGTTCTGTTTTTTTTTTTTTTTAAATCATCTGGAATGGTGTTTGTTCATAAAACGAGCTTCTCTCAGAGGCTCTTCATTGGTAAATACTGTACAGTAAGGGTCCATGCCCTCGGGCCAGTCTGTATGTGCTTTATGTATGCGTGTGTGTGCTTGGATGTGTGTCGATGTTTGTGCTTGGCAGCGTGTGTGCAGGTGTGGTTATTGGAGAGTAAACATTAACATCAGCATGTCTATGTCGGTGTGTATGTGTGTATTTCTTTTGAGAATATATCTATTTATGTACATATACCGTTATATATAAAGGCGTATATGTCTGTGTGTCTCGTGCCTCAGACGTAGTACTCCTTGTCTTTGTTCTTCTTGTTCTTGGAGATCTTGGCGATGCCCAGCGGCTTGTCCTTGGCGCTGCCGTTGGGCTGTGTGGCCGAGTTGCTGATGTAGTTGCGGCTCTCGTCCACGTGGTAGGAGCCCTCGTCGCGGTTGCGGTACTTGTACATGGCGTAGAGGAGGATGAGGATGCAGAGGGCAGCGGCCGCCACGATGCCCACTACCATGCCCGTTGTGCTGCTGCTCTCCCGCACCACCTCGGACGGACCGGGGAACACCTTTACCTCCGGCAGGGGAGGGCGGGCTGCGGGAGAGGAATGACGGTTTACTGCATGCATTTTTAATTTGTAGTACATGTCGAGGTGATGAGTGTAGAGCTGCAGCGAGAAGGCACAATGCATCATGGTAATGAATTATTTGACGTGCTTTTTGCATAATTCTACTCGCTGGCAATGAGAGTCTGCAGCTCTGAGCCAAAGCTGCTCCCATATTATCACATAATGTGTAAACAGATTACATTACACCATGTTGACAGGAGGGTCGGCGCACAGGTGCACATTATATCAATTTTTATTACACACACTTGACATTTTATGACACAAACAGGCAGAAGGGGCTGCGGGGCGGTGATTTATGACGCTGTTTCAAACGATCGTTGGTGAAAGAATTTTGCATGAGGATCCTTGAGAGGAGTGAAGGAAAGCGAAAATATAAAGAAAAGAAAAAGGGGAAAGGAAAGGAGGGATAGAAGGAAGCAGGAGATGAAGACTTGGGAATGAGGGAGAGTGTTAGGTAATGCCTGGAGGCAGAAACCTAAGTGGAAATGAAAAATTCATTGTAGCGAGAAACAAAACGGGAGGGAAAACTGAGCTGCGGTGAGCGCTGGGGACACATGGGAGAAAGAGAAAAATGCTTAAGAGGAGGTGCTTTAGTGGTACCTGAACTGGGGTCACAGGACTCCATGTCTTCATCATCGCTGGGGCACTCAGCTGACGCCACAAGGATGTCGTCGGCCGACTGCGGAAAGAGGAACCAGAAAAGAAAAAAAAAGGATCATTAACACTCATAATATGAGACGGAAAACTTATCATGCAGAACGGCTCGTTTTCCTCTTTGTTTATTGTCTACATGTGTGAGCACACGGCACCGATCCATCGCCCACCTGTTTTCCTGTTTGCCACAAACACTTTAGCATGTTACGGCCCCCCAGCGATGGCAGGCGGCCAAAACTGGAGCTCGGAGGAGAAAAAGAAGAAAGGCGGAGGGAGGGAGGAGAGAAATACTGAATCCTGTTTGAATCCACAAGGGGAAAGACAGTTATCATCTCCTGGCCCTCCCCTCCTCTGTTTTCTCTCTTTCTCCTCCTATCTGATACTGGCTTGAGCTCGTATGTGTTGGAGAACGTGCGGTATGAAGCTCCAGACGGGAATAAAACCACTTACGTTAAATGAAATATCCCACTCTACAGCGGATGATTCATTTAAATCTCCTTTATTTAACACCTCTCCATAAGCAGCATGTCAACAGCCCACTTATATTCACCCTCTCACCTACATCAACCAACTCCTGTCTCAACAAGCCGCTCTCTCTGCCTCGCTCCCTCTCTCTGTGGAAAAAGGAGAGCCCCCTTTCCCTCCTCTCCATCCCTGCTCCTCCTGTTGCCATGGCAACTCTTAAGTTCAGGCTGTTAAAAATGATGGGGAATAAAAAAAAAAAAAAAAAAAGAGAGAAAAATCTCCCTCAGTGGGGACCTGTGCATTGATTTGCCATTCCAGCAGGAGAGTGAGAGAAGAAAAAAAGGGAGGGTGAGGACGGGAAAGATAGAGATTGGAAAAAAAAGGATAAGATTTAAAAAGAAAGAGAGAGAAAGGAAGAGAAGAGGAGAAAGACTTCAAAGTGCTGCGGTCTTTACTTAACACGGTGCTAATGTGCTTCGCATATTCATGAACTACTGTTAAACATCGCCCGCCTTGACGCTTCGGCGTGAGGGATATGAGAGTGTGTGTGTGTGCGATTTAACCACACTGGGTGCTCAGTGCCAGCGCTAAATTAAAATTGGATTGTGATGCATTGCAGTGGATGTTAGTAACCCAGAGAATAAAAGAAAAGAGTAGAGAGGAGAGCAGCAGCAGCAGAGAGAACTCTAGAGGCGGATTACAAGCAGACCAGAACTGAATCTGAACCAAATCAAAGCGCTAAGTGGTCGATGATGTCTTAGCAGAGAGCCACAGGCAGTGTTTCAAACTGAGGCTCATTAAGCCTCTCCTCTGTCCTTGGTTTTTTCCTCTGTTTCCTCGCCTGCTTGTCTTTGTGGATTACATAAGGTTAGAGAAGCGGGCGCTAAGTTTATTCATCTGAAAAGCCCCGCGCTGGCCTTGGTTTGGTGTGGTCCTGGTCCTGACAAGTCTGCTGTGGTTTAAGTTCGGCCTGGAAGCATACATTAGGGTTATTGATGCTTGACTCTGTCTCTTTCCTCCGCTGCCTTTCCAATCAGTTCTGCTCACTGGGCTGTCAAATGCTGCTAGGCTGAGCTTAGCCTCTGGAATCCGGCCAGTCAATAAGCCTCACTGCCTCTGCCAGGATCCAAATAGCACAAGAACCAATCAGCCGCTAGGAAACACATCAACCCCAGACTGTCAGCGATCAATGTCATAGCTACCATGCTTGGTTATTGATCCTAAAACACCTAGGTGACCCCAGCGGGCGGCAGGGGGGGGACTTGATCTGAATCATGATATCAGCTTAGACAAAAAAGCAAGACAAGAAAATTACCAAGGCCCCTCCTCTGATCTGTGACATCTCCCCCGTCAGCTGACCGGCCCGTTCAATTGGGGAGGTGTCAATCGGAATATTGATCCACCTATCACATGGGAGACAATGAGCACGAGGAGACTAGAGGCATGCCAAACACAACTTAAATCACATCAAGAAGTTTGAGGAAAGATGCAGCAGAGAGACGCCCCTCTTTCTCACCCTCGATTTTGGTCCCTCCCTCTTTTTTGTCCCCGTCTTTTTTTTTTGTAGCTTTATCAATAAAGCATGCCGACACAATGATGGACACAGAGACACCAAAGATGCACAGAGAAAAAGGTTTCCGCATGCCGAGAGAGTGAAATTTCTACCTGAGCAGCCGAACAGTGCCAACGACCATCAATGCCTCCCTGACTTCCTAGTTCACACATGGTAGCTCACACACTCTTTGCAGAAGATTCAACAGCTTGTCTGCTACTTTCACAACTGGATATCAGACACACATCTGCACACAAACACACACACACACAACCACACGAGCCTCTATAATAGCCAGACGTGCTCCATTGGTCTGTTTCTATTTAAACACATCTACAAGCAGACAGAGAATCAGGCTGAAGTTGGCAGGCTGATGAATAGATCCTGAAGAGAGAGAGAGTGGAGAGAGAGAGTGGAGAGAGAGAGAAGCTAGCTCCACTACTGCAGATGGTGAGATAGACTCATACACCGCCTGCATTAACAGCCTATCACTGGAGAGAGAGAGAGAGAGAGAGAGAGGAAGAGAGAGAGAGGAAAGAGGAGGGGGGAAGTGACGGGTAAATATGGAAAGATATGAAGGGAGAGAGCAAAGAGAGTGAGAAGAGAGAGAGAGAGAGAAAGTGAAGCAGGGAGGAGGGAGAAAGTGTCTCCAGAAGATGGATAGCGAGGGGAAGAAAGGCAGGAGGGAGAGAAAGGTGTGAAAGATGTGAAGAAGATAGCAAAGTTAAAAAAAAGAGAAAAAAAAACAGACAAGGAGGGGAGGGGAGCGAATGAGAGATGGATGTTCAGAGAGCTTGTGGAAGAAGTGTCAGGTCAGCTGGTTCCTGGTAGCCAATCAGGCGCCGCTCTGAGCCTCAGGTTCTCTTCCATCAGTCTTCCCATCAACACAGGTATACACACGCGCACACACACAAACACACACATACACACACACACACAAACATAGGCAGACAGACAGACAGGCAAACATCAAAACAAAACTCAAGCTCTGAGAGTTGGAGCAGCCTCTAGCATAAACACTCACAATCTCTTCTCCGTCGTTCTCTCTCTCTCTCGCTGTCATGCATTATTAATCCCTTCCACTTTTCAACACGGCGAGGAGAAGAATTCAATAAAAGCGTGGACTTTACAAGGACGCACCTAACACATTCAGTAATAAGACAGGAGTAAACCCATGAGGCGACTTAGGCTTAGTCCACTTCATCTAAACTTGGGCGTGTGTGTCTGTGTGTGTGTGTGTGTGTGCGCGTGGAAAATCAGTCAATAGCTCTAGGAGAGACGCCGCTTCCTGCTGCCCCTCCTCTGATGCAACGTGCTGCAACTCAAGCCCATTGTTCTCAATCCACCTGAGTGTTTTTTCTGTGTGTGCATGCATTCTCTCCACACTGTATGTGTGCACTGGTTGAGGCCAGGTTGAGTTGCCTGGCAACACACGGCAGCCTCAATGGAGACACTGTAGATTCTTCTTAAACAAGACAAATACACACATACACACACACACTGAAGCTCAAATACACCGAGTTTAGGGGGCCGGCAGGAGTGATTTGACTCACACACACACGCATATACACACATATACGCACACTCTGCAGCATGTTGAGCATATAGTGGCTCTGACCTAGTTCTCATACAGTGATATCGACTCCAGCGCACAACTCTGCATCCCAAATTTAGCCCTGACATCAGCACGGCACACGAGCGGGGAACAGTTAATAAACGAGGCACAGATCGAGAGGTGAGGTGTGAAAACAAGCTCGCCGTTAGAGCGTGTGTGTGTCTGTGACTCGCTGTCACCAGTCTGCAGTACCATCCATCCACCTCTCATATCCATTATTGATGCCTAAGGCTTAGCTCACAGCTCTCTGCGTTCTATTATTTATGTCTGAAACAGCTGGCGGTTTATACACAGAGGAGCTATTCTCTATGGGAGTGTAGACGGGAGAGAGAAAGCGAGTGGCGGGTATTGGGGCTCACTATCTCCATGGCAACTTGTATCATTGGGAGAGGAAAAAAAAAAATCTTTTTCAGTGCGGCAGGCAGAGTTTTATAACACAGAAGAAGAGCTGCAGCACACACAGACGCCCACTAAGAGCCTGAACAGATCTCACGAGTGATCTGAACAATGGAGCTAAAGAGTCTGTGGTGAAGCGTCTCCTAATGTTTCCTCTGATATCGGTTATAAATAATACGTCTCAGTAACACTTAGCTGTTTCTGTTTTTTTGCAACAGTTTACGAGACGAATATGACGGAAAAGCTATTACAGCCTCCATTAACACAAACATTTAGTGGCCGGGGATCACTTAGCCATCTAATCCGTTCACAGGGACGCTGAAGCAGAAAAGTCAAACGTGTGTGATGAAATCTATCGATGAAATACATGAAGAATGAGTCACTCGACCAAAGCATCAGAGAAAGACCACATTTATGTCTGCAGCAGCATGTTTCCTCGAGAGATTCCATTCAACATTCTTGCATCATATTACTCAGGATTTGTCCAGCTCGCCAGAAATAACATTCAAACATTTTTAAGGCATCCGAACATTCGACACAAAGCAGAACAAACCTTCTTTTTATCATTTGTGTATCCGTGTCAGTCATTAAAGCTCTGATCTGCTCCTCTAAAGTCGGTTTTTCTCTCCAGGAGATAAGAAAAATCATGAAAACAGAATCGTTTCATTTGGATTTTTCAAAGATTTGCTCTACATGAGGGACTGTGTGAACCAAATATGAAATTCTTGTAAAAATAAAGCCTTTTTTAAAGTATCTTTTAAATGAGGCACATTTCTAACCTCAAAAGCACAAGGCTCATCGCGTTTTCCAATCCGCCAAGAATGAAGACAGCCTCTCCATTCAGTTAAAAACAGGATCGATGATTAAAGTTTTTTGATTTATTCTTTTCCAGAGAGTTTCACCAAACCCACAGATGATAAAAGCCTCGGTCAAACTTTCAAGTATAGGTCTGAAACTTTGATGTTCAGGGTTCCTGGTGGCTGCAGAATCCTCAACACTGACCATATGATCTTAACGCCCAGGTTCAAGTCTGGCAGACAGCTTTGATGCACGTCGACGCCCCTCTCTTCCCTCTGTCTGTTTTCCTCTGCGCACTATTTCACAAAGGTTCAAGCATCTGAAAAAGTACCTTGATGTCCTGTTCTGCCTTTGACTGAATCCTGAGCCCTTAATGTTATCCAGCCGAGTTTTGATCCTGAACAAACTTCTATTGTGGATGATTTATTTTTCCCACTACTTCTATGCTTTTACTTGTTCTTTAATGTTTTATGTGCAAAAGATATGCATTATGTATGTGTAAAACAATCAAGTGGGAAGCAGATAGGGCTGGGTGATAAACTGAAAATTTACAGATACTGAAATTTACGACAATAACCGGTGCCATTTCGCCCATATCGGTATATTCGGTGTCAAAAAAGATAAATGAGAGTTGGTTTTGGATGTGTGTAGGTAGGCTATGGTCTCGTGTCCCTTTAAGACGCTGTCCTACATCGGTAACGTGACTCCACCCCTTCCAGTCCGTAACAAAGAGGGAAAGACAAACGAGGAAATGGAGGAAGGTTCAAAAGTTGTAGCGGCTGGAGTGGTGGCTGAAGTAGACGAAGTTAATCTGTGAGGGGGTGAGCAGCTTGTGAAGTAGTTATCGCTCATTCATCTTTGTTGAGGTGAACTGCTCAATATATCGTGATATTGATTTGAGGCCATATCGCCCAGCCCTAGCACCAAGAATTGAGCATCGTTTGCCCCTGCTGTCTGCTTCATCTCAAGTCCAAATCGACAGAGCATGTTGTACTAATGATATTCAGGTGCAAACACATCTTTTAGAGCTCAGCAGATCTGCACAGCTTGCTCTTGTTTGGGTGAACCTGCACTTTCATGATGAGAAATGTCTGTATTTTCATAACCTGCACTTCCACTCTCTGCTGCACACGGCTGCGCTGAGCACTCTCCTTCTCACAGATCTCAAACTAGTCCACATATGGGGTATACAAAGAGCTTTTTTACTGTACTGTAAGATCAAATCGTGACTGTTCACCATTTATAATAGAGCTTCTTTTCTGGAGCAAGAGCAGCTTCTGCGGATAAAATAAAGAAAAAAAAATCACTCGCTCCCTGTAACAGCCCAGACAGTCTCCACACCCGTGGGAAAAGTGTGCCTCTGATTCAAATTCAACGATAGTCATGCCTCAGTAATTTCAACACACCACATGTAAAGATATGAATACTGTTTTGGACCACCAGAGGTGTCATCATGATCACGATGAGCTTGAAATCACCAATAAAAACTGCAGTGCAGGTTTGAATAACTCTCAGCAGATGGTACATTTTGTACTTGTACTGTGCATGACTGTCAGTGTCAAGGATAATCCACATAAAAAAGGTTCAACTCTGCCTCAAATCAATGCATAATAGCTCGATTAAATGTGCAGACGAGGCCTTTTGTTTTTGTTTTCTGTGTATAAATGTTGAAAAGAGTCCGGCTCTTCCTGACATTTACCCCCGCAAACCCCCGAGCCCTTGATTAGCAGGCTCAGCGCTCAGTAATCCTCTTACTGAGTTTGAAAAGAAACTTATCAAAGCAAATTAACACTTTTTAATCACTCGTTTTGACACAAAGAATAGCAATGTCACAGGACTTGTACATGCACAAGTAAATCTTTGATACTGGACCACCGCTTACATTCTTAACCAGAGCACCCTCCTGCTGTACAAAAGTGAAGCCGAAACACCCTGATGATGGGAGCTGGCATCTTAAAGGGATATTCTGGTGTAACACCGAGTTAGACACCCCATCGAGAGATTAATGTTGCAGACCGCTTGCTACTCTAGTTATACCAACTTGAGTAACGACCGCACGATAGCAATACACAGAAGTCCCAGAAGCCACGCGCAAAACCAAAACGCCACTCTATAGCCACAAATAATGCTCAGAACAGCACCTAACTTCATCAACAGTACATATAGGGTCCCAACTATAGCACTAGCCACCAAACATATTTTTAGCTTTTCCTAATTTCTTTAGCAAAGAGACTAAACACAACTCACCTACTCTTTTCCAGCAGCCGCTTGTTTGTACGGAGACCTCCGGGCGAGTCCATTGACTACAGCGGGGTGTCGCAGCTCAAGGAAGAAAATTTATGATCATTTCCTCATGGAAATGCAATCAGACCGAGATGCTAAGGCAGAAGAACTACCACGTCTGCAGTGCAAAATGATTAATATGGTGATTATTACTTCAAGGAAATGATAAAGTAATGATCATAAATGTTCTTCCTTGAGCCGTGTCACCCCGCTGTAGTTCATAATGGACTGGCCTGAGGTCTCGCTACAAACAAGCGGCTGCTGGAAGAGAGTAGGTGAGTTGTGTTTAGTTTCTTTGCTTAAGAAATTAGGCAAAGTTGAAAAGATGTTTGGTGGCTAGTGCTATGGTTAGGACCCTATATGTACTGTTGATGAAGTTAGGTGCTGTTCTGAGCATTATTTGTGGCTATAGAGTGGCGTTTTGGTTGAGCTTTGTGTATGGCTCCTCAGACCGCTGTGTATTGCTATCGTTCGGTCGTTACTAAAGTTGGTATAATTAGAGAAGCAAGCCGTTGGCAACATTCATCTCTCGACGGGGTGTCTAACTCTGTGTTATGGTGCGTTTGACCCTAAATTAATTTTATGTCGGAATATCCCTTTAAGGGTTGAGGTCAAGCACCAACTCCTACCATAAAGATGTGTTGTGCCAGTTTAAAACAAACACAGTTACAGGAAGTGTTTTGACTCTTGCGTAAAACTAAACTAAACTTAAAAAACGTACACATTTTGGACATAATTGGCGTATGTTTTTCTTTGTCGGAGCTGTTATGTTGCCCACTGCTCACAGCAGGAATTAAGACACTTGAGTATACAGTTGTGCTCTGACCTGCTGTGTTGGTTTCCTGTTGGTTGCTGTGGTGGTTGTGATGTCACTTATGGAAGGGGCGGAGTCAGAGCGGTTGCCTCCAGCTGCAGCACTAGACTGGGGGGTGATAGAGGAGGAAGGCATGTCCCCGACTAGCCGTGCACTGCCCTCCACTCTTATGTGCGGGTGCCCCTCAGCGGCCAGATTGAGGATTCGGAGGCCGTTGTAATACAGACCGGACATCTGACCCTGGAACATTCCGGTGTTTCGCTCTCCTCCGCCGACTTTCACCGTCGTCTGGCTGTTGAAGATGGTCAGCTGGCGACCTGCATTGACACACACGCACACAAACAAACGCACAAACGCACGCCACAGATATACACAAGAAAAGAAGACGGACGGACACACGCAAATCCAGCCACACGCACATACGTCCCAGTGGTCACATACGTGCATACATACACACACACACACACACAAGAGTGTTTGAGTGTTACACAATCCACCACCCCCAAGCCATGGTGAGAGGATGGGACAGAATAAGCATGGTAGAGCAAATCGAAGCCGTGGAGAACCGTGGAGAGGGCTGAGACTGAGAGAGAGAGATGAAAAAAAAAAGGAGAAGTAGAAGAAGAGGAGGAGGAGGAGGAAGAGGGGAGAAGTGGGGTGAAGAGGCTGAGAAATTGAGGAGGAGGATGAAGAGGCAAAGAACAGAAGGAGGAGGAAGCGGCAGCAGATGAGAGGAGTCAGAAGGGCCCCGAAGAAGACGGGGCTGACAGATGGTTGCTATGGTGATGGCTGTGCAGCACGACATTGTATTTGAAGGAGCGACAGACAGGCAGACAGAGAGACAGAGATCTAGAGAACTGTGGTAACAGCCCTATGAAGCATGCACAGGTTATAAGCTCTAGCACTGCTCACTGTTAAAGGGACTAGAGGCTAATTTAAGGAGCTCTGCTGAAGTTTAGGAGGAAAACTTTTACATTTTTACACAAAGCATTGCTCTATTAGTCATTTCAAATTTACATACTTCTTACATGTCACAATACTTTAATTTGATAACAACAATATAATCTTTAGTAAATGCTTTATTGTTTACAATTTGATAATAAACAGAATTATTTACCAGCTTTAATAAAGCATCTTTTATCAGTACTTCTTTTCTATTTTCTGATTTATTCACATTTAAATCTCTCCATCGTCCCTTTAACCTGATATTATCAGATACACACTAACAAGATACGTTCACAGGCACTACAGTTTACACAGTATTACACACTACAGCTGCCCAACTTTTAAATACTTAGTTATGGATTTAGATTTTAGATGTTAGTTGATGGTGCACAATAAAGTATATTCAACTGCCTTCAAGTTGTAATTTTTTAAGCTGAAAGTTTTAAGGAATTTTAATCAGGGTTTTTACCTTTGTCGAGTAGCCAATCGTCAACTACTCGACCGAGCCGATAGGGGATTCGCTGTCTGGCGATGGCCAGGCGCTCGTTATCAATGTTGCCTTTAATTTAGAGATGAAAACACAGTAGTAATTACGCACATCCAAACGTGGTACAGGAGCTGGATACAAAAAGAACAGCAATGAAAAGAAAGTAATGGTCTGCTCATTGTTAGCATGCCACTGCGTTACTGCGGTAAAGCTTGAAGAGAAGAGAAGCTGAATTCAGGATGTTTCCAGTGAGCGGACTCTTACTCTCTGTTCATTGGGTTTAATTTAAAGAGACATTTCAGGGGTTAACATCTGCAAGAGCACAGGGAAATAATGTTACAGCTGCCACATACTGCCTAAATGACTGACTGAGTTTAGAGTTAACATACAGGAAGAACCCTCACACACACCTCACAACAACTAGCATTTAGCATTTTAACTATCTGGACCTCATTATGTTAAAGACGACTAGCTAAGATTACCACTTTAAATGTAAAAAAAACAAATCAAACAAAATCAAAAGACAAAAACACTTTTTTCTTTTTCTTATTTTTTCTCTCTAGTTAAACATTTAACTCAAAATAAGACATTTTTAATTATTGTTTGTCCAAAAATGCACCAACTGTTATTATTTTCTTTTATGAGTGAGAAAAACAACTGACACCTGAATTAAACGTTTTCATAAATTACCTTTAACACTATTTAACAGGCCTAACATGACATGACTGGCTAGTATACAACCTATTGTAAAGAATGACTCTCTCATTTTATGGTTTAAAAACTCAAGTTTCATATCAGATCACACATATTTCATTTCAAACACAATAACATGAAACAAAGCTGCAGTTAAATTTCTCATTCTCAGTGTTTAAAATAGACATTGATAGGTACACTGATGTGGATCATCAATCAGGAGGTGGGTTGATTTGGACTAAGGTGTGGTTAGCTCTGTCCCAGGACAGACAGTGCTGTGGTCTGGTGGGTGGGTGGGTGGGGTTGAGCTTATATGGGCGGGGCAGGGCCTACCTGAGGGGTAGCGCTCGATGACGGGCAGATCGTCCAGTTGGAGGGTGGCGTTGCCTCCGCTGCGGGTGAACCGTACTATGTGGTACTTCCCGTCGTTGACGAACTTGGAGCTCTCCTCGATGTTAATGTCGTCAGTGCCAACATTAAACACTACTCTAATGTTGCCTTTGTCCTGAGGAGGAGAAGAGAGGCTGTTGGAGCTTGATTTATGATAAAACCACTTCACATTTAGTCATTTAGGTTCTGTTTTCAGTTTGGTCTTAGTTTGACAGGATCAGTGTCATTAGTTTATGCCTCTAACTTGGGTTGGTGAGGACAAAGAGTTTGTTTTTTCCTTTTCTAAGCAGGTGGTGGATATATATGCATAGTTTAACTAAGTATTAGTATTGCTCTGTTGCCAGATATCGGCTTAAATAAACTGGCATTTACCGAGTCAAGAAGCAGATGTTTTAGAAAGATGAGATTAGAGAAAACTTTATTGATCCTTTTGGGAAAATTAAATTTAAAATCCTTGAAATTAATGTTCAGTGATCGAGGTTCACGGCTTCTTTATTAGTTGTTAGAGAGATCAGACATGATGAAGACAGAGACAACATACAAATTCAAAGTTTTAATCAGAAAAAAGAAAACCTTTAACTATCAAAATAGTTTTACTTTTTCATTTAACGATAAAACTCCCATGTTTAGCCTCATGTTAAGTTTTTGCTCTCAGGAACACTCAAAAACACAAAGCTATTCTGCACAAGTATTGGATGATAGCCCTTATTTTTTAATCACTCACTATTAATATATCCATGTTACTGTTTTACATTTAAAATTTTAAAGGAATGTTACAGTAGTCATGCCTTCAAGTGAACTACTTTAATCGGCTAAAAATGCTCTTTACTGAGTTTGTGATGGTGAAGCTGAATAGAATAAAAAATCTCTTAAATTAGAACACTTCTTTTATGCTCGCCTGAAGCCAGTGCAATAAAAATCTGAATGAGTCTAACAGTGTTTGCTAATGACCTCATAATGAAGGTTTATTTGATCCCTGGCCTGGACAAGGGAATGAATTACAACAAAAACGAAAAAAAGCAAACCCTCTTAATGCAAAAATACAAACATGAAATAAAACAAAACATAAATTCTGAGATCAGCTTTTGGTTGGAGTAATTTCTTTCATCAGGAACTACAGAGGGGTTAGGGCACAGAAGTCCCTGAACACCAAAGATGAAGCCAAAAACCTGTCTCATCTTTCTAAGAAGCTTGACTACTTTGACCCTGAACACAACTCTCCCCCGTGCCCCGGTGACCAGATTGATTGACGGAGTTTTGAAGACATAACACAGATTTTTGTCAAGTCACAGAGTTGAGCTCTGGAGCTCTGCAGCTTGAGTATATGGGTCACTCTGGACTGAAAATCCTCTCAGATATGTTTGTGTAGCTAACACCTGCCAAAACCTCTCAGATCAGAGGACACTCTGTCATTAATACTATGAGAGTAAAAGATGCTGAAGCAGCTTCTAACTGGAACCAGCTTCCTGACTGTATCATCAAGGTTGTTGCCAGATTTAAATCTAGACTAAAAGCCCAACTCGTCTCTGATGTTTCCCTGAAGACATGAAAAAAAGGTAAAAATAATAACCCCAAAATGCTCTCTACTTTCTACTGTCGTCTTTTCTTATACTCTATTATTATCACGTCTGCTTTTGACCGTTTCTGTGTCTCTCATTTGTTCGCTGCTTTGCGCACTCAGTGTGTATGACTTGTGCTAAAAAAATAACTTGACCTGCTTTAAACGTCTTGAGGAGAAGTGCAACATAAACAAGAGATATTATGTAAAGCCTGGTGAGGCCTCAGATGGAGCTGTGCTGCTCCTGATGATATTGCCTGAAGTGACGTCAATGTCACATTGGTTGGTGTCAAAGACTTAAGTAAAGAGGGGAGGGATAACTTGGAGTGTATACAAGATCACTCCTCACTGCTGCATGCATCACACTTGAACCTCTGACAGTTCAGCATAGATGTAGTTTCATAGTTCTTTAAATAGTTTACAGATTTGACTGGATAGAAATTGTTAAGTTGAACATATGACCTGGATTATTTTGACCCCTCTTTTGAAAAAACTCTGATTGGACTGAAAGGTTCTGTTTTTGCACTGCAGTGCATCTGTCTGCTTGAGAAGATGATAGATCTGTGCGGAGAATGTTTGATGAAGCTAAGATACTTAATCACATTAAGTTTTTAGTACACAACTAAACAGAGCACAGATTTCCTGGGTTGTGTTTAATTACAAAACAATGAAAAGAAAAATAAATTGGATCCCCCATAAAGTATTGAGATTACATTCAGATGACAAAGAGACAAATCCAGGGGCTGTGATGAGTTATTTAATCTGGTGATGGATGTATGTACGCTGATGCTGAGTAAAATACATGACATGATGTCGTTTTAAAGGAGTTATTTACAGCGAAACTTAAAGATAAAAAATGTCTCACTTTTACTTTCATTATGATTTCTGGTTTATGCTTAATGCAAATTAAATATGCAGCCTTCTCTATTACAAATATCTAAAAGCGACGGCATGACTGGGCATTATTTAGACATGAACAACACACGTCTAGGATTGCAGTTGCTAATAGCACCAAGTAGGGCTGGGCGATTAACCGAAAATTTACCAATACCGAAATGTACAACAATAACAGCAGTCATTTTGCCCAAGTCAGTATATTTGGTGTAAAAAAATAAAATAAAAGTTGGTTTTGGATGTGTGTAGGTAGGCTATGGACTCATGTCCCTTTAAGACGCTGTCCTACGTCAGAGACGTGACTCCACCCCATCCCGTCCGTAACAAAGAGGGAAAAACAGGTGGAGGAGGAGATGGAGGACAGTTCAAAAGTTGTAGTGGCTGGAGCGGCGGCTGAAGTAGACGAAGTTAATGTGGGAGGGGGTGAGCAGCTTGTGGAGTAGTTATCACCCATTTATCGCAATCGAACTGCTTAATATATCGTGATATTGATTTGAGGCCATATCGCCCAGCCCTACTCACATCTATTTCAACATGTCAAATCAGAAACAAAGAGAAGCATCTCCTTTAGAGGTGTGATTCAGTGGTAAGATCGTTTACTTACTATCTGTAGCTGAAGATAATCTCCCAGACCTGCTGCGCTATCCACCCGCAGCAGGATGGCGTGTTTCTGCTGGGTGCTAAACCCAAGGGCGAGCCTGTCTGCTCTGGTACTGGGGCGCTCATTAGGGGGCCATGTGTAAACCACCACTCCTCCATCACGGCCAAAGATGTATGTGGTGCCAGCTGTTCCAGACAGATAAAGAAATTAATTACAGGCACATCTGTACGTCATAAACAGCGCTATCTATCATCAACAATTCCCCTCTCCGAATGACACCTGGGTCTGTTCTGTTTTGTTCAACGTTTTACATCAAAAAGGCATTTTGATAAACTGGAAAACAACTTAAATGTCACAGTTGACCAGCCTTCCACATCGTGCTTGTTCCTCCTACACACTACAAGAAAAAAAACAGTATTCCCCAAAGTACTTAGTCTCAACATTGCTGCAGGAGGCCGACTGCAGTGACTGACTCATACAAATAACAGCTTATAATAGTTTGACTCACTGTGAGATGACTGAATAATCAGCAAGTATCTTTGCTTGAAGGCAGTCGCGGATAATTCAGTGTCAAAAGCTTGAAAATGTTTACAGGACTTTATTAAATGTTACAGAGAGAACAGAGATTACAGTAACCAAAGTAGACACAGAGCAGGTGGTATCATTTGTTCTGAATCAGAATCAACAGATGACAGTGCCCCCATGTGGTCTCTTAGATAAACTGCAGACAAAAATGCTTTAACTGTTTAAAATGATTCAACACAGAGGAAAGACTTTTAGACTCACTAAACTTTGAGGACACAGACATGTTTAATCATCGATCTGAGAGAGGAGAAGAAAACACTCACCGTCGTTACATAGCGGCCCAGCATACGAGGTCATACTGCAGTCGCAGGTGAAGCCCTCCCACTGCTGCAAACACACCCCCTGATTTGAGCATGAGTCCTCCTGACACGTAGTGCTGGGACCTGCAGTGACAGACGAGGCGAGTGGAAGGGTGCAACGGTTAGGAGAAGAGTAACAGACTTCTGTTTTTTTTCCCTGGAGCCCAGTATGTCAGCGTAGAGTATTTACTTTTAGACCTCATTTCCTTGAAACCTTTTGCTTTTTTTGTACACTGTTGTGCTTCAGTGGTGTTGGGATTAGTAGTATTAGTAGAGAATCACTGTGGTAACCAGGATTTAATGAATACAGGCTCCAACGTTTCAGATTTATGCCAGGTTCAGACAGGAGGCGGAAGTGCTGCTATTTGTAAACTGTCTGTTCTCACTAGAAGGAGATTTTTCTGCGATGTTCATAAGCGTCTGTTCCTCTTCTCTAAACACAGGAAGAGCACATATTTATCTTTCGCTCTATCTGTGACTACTTAACCTTTTCTCTTTGTTGAATTGAAGATCAGTGTTATTTTTGCTGAAAAAATCCCACTCTCAAACAGCAGGGATACATCTCTTGTAGATAAAGTGGATAGGCATTTTCAAAGGAGGAAATCCAGTAAGATAAATGTAACTACAGAAAAACCAAAAGATGTGTATTTCATCATTTATCAGACTCCTATCGTTTACATCATATATATTTATCAATAAGCAGATTACGAGTGTGTTTCCCTGCCAGATTTGCTCACGGCGAGTAAAACCTAGAACAGACGGTCAAACCGTCGCTGCAGCTGGCTGCAGAGCTCCGAGGCGTCACGCTCCCTGTCTGAGCCACCCGGTTATGGGCACCAAAGGAAGGCGGCAATCCTTCAGGGCGCCCCTGCCTCCTGTCTGGACCTGACTTTACACTGGTAGCAGATGCTACATTATCCGTATGAACCAAACTGGGAGCTAAACTGGAATCTATGTCACTGGGTGAGAAGAGCCAAGTGAGGAGAGCATGCAGGTGGTGAAGCTAGATGAGCGGGACAAGGACACGAGGAGGTGTTAAACATAAGAAGGCAGAGTTATGTTTAAAGGCCTTCATCTCAATACTCCCTCTCCAGCAGTCTGTCACTATTCACTCCCGGCCTCGCGCTGAAAGCACACAGGAGGAGAATGTCAAACTCGTTTCTCCTTCGTTGCACTCCTCACTCGAGGCGTGGAGGAGAGGCTGTGACATGATTCACACATGGAGTATTGGAGTTGAGGTTGGGAGTCGGTCGTTGGGGTTAGAGAGCATGCTGCTGGCAGGTGGTGGAGCGGTGGTTAACTCAAGTCAAGCCATGGTGATGTCACTAATGTGATGATGTCACTACGGTGGCTGGGAGAGGACAGGTCACCTCTGACCTTTGACTCCGGATCACTGGGATCCACCACACAACACTGGACACCACTGGGTAGTTTTAGTACTCGCATACACACGCACACACATACACACTGACACGCACACGCTCGTAAACTCACACACATTTTTCCCCACGCTTGTACATGAGTCTCACATGCTCACACAAAGCGATATACCTTGCAAGTCAGCTTTCATCAATGTAACTTTTGTCAGCCAAACAAAAAAGCAAACAAGCAAATTAAGTTAGATGGTTAGTCGATGCACACAGATGCCTGTGAACTGCTGAAAGAGTGGAAGAGAGAGAAAATGTGCAGATAGATCGAGAAGGAGATGAGAAATAAAGAAGTAAAATTTACATCTAATAGAGCAAAAAGCTGTGTTAGTGGGTTATCTGATAACTGAGAGAATGAGTTCAATGAAAACCGAAAGAAAAGGCAGCAGCGGGGACACGGGACCGGGACAGAGAGCTACAGCTGTGTTTTCTGAGTGTTTGCACCTCACCTTCACAGCCTCTCTCTACTTGTCCCATGGTTGCCAAGGCATCAGCCAAAAGGTCAGGAAGGCGGCCATTTAGATCCACTGTTGCTAGGCAACCCTGAAAGCCCTCCCGGGAGTGGACCAGCTTGGGCAGGTCACGATACATCTCTTTGGAGACTCCCCCGATGTAGAGATCACCTGATGAGGAGCGAAAGAATGAATGGCAGCTTCGTGAACCGACTGCAGTGTGGAACTGTGGGCTGCAGCTGATCATTTACATTTTTTAAAATTTAGTGCGGTTATGAATCATTGACAATTTCAGTCAAGAAAGACAGATCATTCAAAATATACTTCAGTGATCTCTTGAAAGATTTAGTCAAAGCGGCTTCAAGTACATCTGTTGTCTAACGACAGTCACTGCCCTTTACCATCTCCTTGTTAAACCCTTTTGGTAATTCTAGAGGGTATTTTGTACTTTAAAGATACAGTGAAATCTTGATGTGTTAACTGTAAACCCCAGAGAAGAAAGAAAACTGAATGAGGACAGAAGTGCCAACATCAATGTTCCTGTTCACCTTGTCTAATGGAAATAATCAATTTAATGTGTAATATAACAAATCAGCTAGGGATGTCCAGACACGATTTTGATATCAGCTATTAGTCCGACATCAGCAAAAAAAAACAAACAAATTGGATTATATGGACCTGCGTCTAAAGCACTTCGATACAAACAGTCCATTCCAGACTCTGCTCCGGGACCTCTATGTAGCAGCGCCTAGATCTAGGTACCAAGGTACGAACAAAGTTGCAACGTCCTGAAAGTCCTTAAAGTCCAAAAAAGACATTGCAACTGAGTGCAAAACTTGTCAAGCACGAGTCTGTGCTAATATCAGATCAATATGGGTATCGGCCAATACTGAAGCCTAAAATATCAGTATTGTATCAGAAGTAAAGAAGTTTTATCAGGACACCCCTAAAATCAGCAGGTAAATGTTTTAACTAGACTATAAATCTGAGCATTCAGTTTATCACTTGTCATGTAAGCACGGTGAAATCAGAAGGACCACCTTTTAACTATTAAACATTGACTGTTTAAATCATGGATGTATTCTTAGTGACACTCCCCTGTAGTGTCTGGAGCAGTGTTATGAATCCCAATCATAGTGGCGCCTGATTCAGCCTCACTTTGAACTAATACTGAAATCTCTCTGGGCCGTAGTCTTGCCATCCAGAGAGAACGACTATGTACTCTTGTGTCTGTCAACTCAGTCACACCCCAGTTAAATTTATTCCTAACTATTCCTAAATATATTCCCCTGATAAAATTAACATAATAAAATGTGTTATAAAAATTCACCCCAGTACAGCCTGTACACCCTGGACAGAGAAATGTGCTGCAGAGATCAAAACTGGTTTTCTGCCAGCATGCTTATTCATGCTGTAAAAAAAGGGGATTTGAACATGGGAACCAATGGGGATTCCTCGGCTTCTGCAGCCAAAAATGATAATTGAGAGACTGCAGTTTTGTGCACCTCTGGCTTCATATTCTAACACTGGAAGTTGTTACTTGCTGTACACAGGGAGAGACAACCAGAATAATTTGCCCTAAAGATCACAGAGTCCCACGAGTGGCTCCTATGAAGTTCTCCAGCTGGTAAATATTGCTGTGAATATGGTCCCATAAACGAAATAGAAATATTTACAATTTATTTTTGTTGGATTTTAACAACCATGGTAAAAGATGTTCATGAGGGAGCATCAGGTATCCTTGTGTCTCATTTAAGAGGCTTATATAAGTTGTATAAAGGCTAACCATTATGTTGAATCTATTATTTCAGGAACTGATCAGTGGTATATGTACAAACTTCTGCAGAATTAGCCTCATACAGAGCAGTTTAAAACATAGGGCTGGGCGATATGGCCTCAAATCAATATCACGATATATTGAGCAGTTCACCATAATGATAAATGGAAGATAACTACTCAATGGACAATAACGTTGTCTACTTCAGCTGCTGCTCCAGCCGCTCGAACTACCGTCCTCCATCTCCTTACCTGTCTTTCCCTCTTTGTTATGGAGTCACATCTCGGACGTAGGACAGCGTCTTAAAGGGACATGAGACCATAGCCTACCTACACACATCCAAAACCAACTTTTATTTATTTTTTTGACACCGGATACTGATACAGGCAAAATGACATTGGTTATTGTTAAATATCGTAAATTTCGTGATCTGTAAATTTTCGGTTTATCGCCCAGCCCTAATAAAACACACTGTCAATCGTCTTTTGTGTATAGGTTTTACTGATTTCTAATGCATACCCTTTAGGTCGAGGTTCTTGGCCCCCATGGTGGTCTGCGTGGTGACTTTGGTGTCAATCTTGACTGTATGAAGATTGTTAGTGTCTCTGGATATGTGTACATTATGCCAGTGATTGTCATTTAGGGGGCTGTTCGAGTTCCCCTTGATGAGATGTGCTCCATTGCCCAGGTCGGAGATGTAGTGAAGGTAGCTGAAAAACACAACAAGGAAAGAAGAGAAGTGCAAAATTCATGATGAAGAAAAACACAGGGTCACACACTTTAAGCCATTACGCTCTGTCTGCAGAAATGTAATTATAAGAATAGAAAAGAGCCACTTGAGTTGTTTTTTATTCATGTTGGAGATTTTCGCCTCACAGTCAAGAATTTTTCTTTTTTGTTCTCAAGGACGAATTTAACAAAATATCCTCAGTACTACTGGCAGTGGTGAAAAGGCCTGGTGTCCTACAAGACATAGGTCACTGTAAACAAACATCTTAACAGCGTTTTAACATATTTCCGCGTTTTGTAAAGGCTCACCCTTTCACCAGCTCTACCACTATGAAGTCATTGCCGTCTCCCCTGTTGAAGAGAATCAAGCCGTCCGGTGATGTCGTCTTGAACTGCATGAAGAGATGCATGGAGTAGTACGCCTGAAGGGTGGGCAACGTGACAAAGCTGGAGCGTGACCGGAAGGTGACGGGGTCGGCCACGATGCTCTTATAGCCGATGACGGCGTTAAGCTCGCAGTAGTCGATGTCGCCGTTCTTGCACAGGTCGATGTAAGGCATGCCGTTCAGCGTCAGGCCTTGAAGGTGGCCGATGAAATTGGAGGGCACGGCTGGCATAAAGCGTTTCTCCGTCACGATGCCCGTCTCTACATTGTGGAACTCCAGCTGGGTGTGGTCGCCCGCCATCTGACCTGGTGGTGTGGGGTAAACTTCAGAGATGAGAGCTACGGAAAGTGGAGTTTAAGTGGGACTTTTTTGATACTAGAACAAATATTAATCCTATTGCAAATTAAAACACGACAGAGAAAATCAAACTGACACTTGAGCTAGTTTAAAAAAGAAACAATCCCCTTAAAGTTGGTTTTATAGCATCAAATTAAAAATAACTTAACCAGCAGTCATGCGTCATCTTATGACGCACTGTGAACAAAAACAGACTTCACAAACACACAATTCAAGGATCTGAGTTGAGTGTTTCAAGGTTAAAAATGGTGTAGAAGCACGGGTAATGCTGCTGTGGTTACCTTCAACAGGCTGCAGGTCGTCCACTGTGAGTTTAAGGCCCTTGCCACGCCGGACAACCCTCACCGTGTGCCACTCATTATCATTGAGACCCGACCCCGCAAAGATGGTCTCTGGGCCTTTACCTACACATAGCCCAGAGCACCGTTAACACAATGCACAGAGAGGTGGAGAGAGACAGATATAAAGAGAGACAGATGTAGAGAGGGAGATCCAGAGACAGAAAGAAGAAGTAGAAGAAGAAGAAGAAGAAGAAGCCAGGCAGGTTGATTTTCAATTCAAGGACAGAAAGGGAGGAAATGGAGGGTCGTAGTGGGAAAGGGAAGGAGGAGGGACCAAACACCTCAGTGTCAACACACACGCTCTCACCACAGATAGACAGACGGGTCTCTCCGCCAGCGAGACAGATGATGTGAAACAGACAGACACACAGACATAAAGATTAACATAAATGGATGCCATGGGCGCCTAAGATGGAGACTGTGAGTCACAACAAGCCCACGCTGAGACAATCCATCTGTGGACAGATCACACTGCCATGATGACCACCTTCTACCCACACATGCACAGACAGCACATCGCACCCCCTTGACTCCTTAAACCGCCCCCACAACCCTCCAACCTGCGCACATTTAAATGTCTGGATCTTCACTTCTTCAATTTTCAAAAGAGCGCAATACCACGGCGGGCCTCATGGTGGCAGTAGACACACAGCGGTACGTCGGAGGAGCTCTCCAAGGTGCTGATGTGCAGCAGAATGAAAGAAGCTGAGCTGTCCTCTCATGATGTCTCTCTCTCTGCCAATCTACCCGCTCACATCTCCGCATAGTTGACTGCACACATCTGACAGGCCGACTGTTCCCAAAACCTCAGTGTCCCCTTCCTGCAACTCGCTACAAGCACCCCACCAACCCCCGGAAAACAACAACCTACTATCCCACACCTCTCTCTCTCTCTCTTTTACACACACACACACACACTCACTCCATCTTCCTCCTCCGAGCCCTGTTGGTCTGAGCAGCCTGAGTGAGTCTGCAAACAGTGACCTATAGGAGGTAATGATGGGGGAGGTGAGAGGGAAACTGACCCGAACGGATTCTGCTGCAGAAAATGTCAAGCATGCCGACATCACTCATGGAGGCACGCAGGCAGCCACACGCACACAAACACGCAGACACACACAGGTAGAAAGGTAGAAGAGAGGGAGACGTACCAGCATGCTGAGAGTCAAATATAATTAAAGTAATATGAGGAGTCAATCAAAATGGATTAAAAACCTCTTTCTCTTTCTCTGTGTGTGTGTGTGTGTGTGTGTGTGTTTTCAGAGCTAAAGGAGTGTGTTTAGTGTTCAGAGAGGACACAGGGTTCCCCTGAGGAGACTCAGCTGTGCTCTGGGCATGAGCATCTCATCCTGTTACCATGGATCACTGCCTAACACTGAGTGAAGGAGAGAATATGTGCATGTATGTGTGAGTCCATGAGTGAGTTTGTATTTATAACCAAATCGTCAAAGAGCAGATTGACGCGAGTGAGAGGCAGTGATCTGTGTCAACCTGGGAACAGGGAGAGGCAGGAAACCACGGTAATAAACAGCCAGACAGACTCGAACACACACACACACAGACAGACACACACACATGAGCACCTATTTTGGGTCAGTGCTAACAGTGCGCTCAGCAGCATGGTGAGCTCCAAAGGGTCAGCTGACAGTCGGCGGTCTGCGCTGTTAAACTGAGAGACAACAAGGCGAGACAATCCAAACAGACAGACAGAGAAGAAAGGAGACGGAGAAAACAATTCAAATCACATGACATAAGCGACTGCAGATTATAAAAAGCAGGATAATGAAAACAAAATGACAAAAAGCGTTTCATATTTCATTAGCTCCAAATAACAAATGGCTTTTCTGCCGGATAAGCCTCAATCTCTCCCCTGCCGAGGCTTTTTATTCCACTGCTGAGTGGACTGTTTCAGTGGCGCCTCGCTGTTAAATACTTTTTTTTTTTTCTCTTCTCTCTCTCCAATATAAGATGTATAATTTATTGTATGCACACGGTGTGCCAGAAAAGTGGCTGCCTACTGAAATGTTCATTGAAACAACTGGTCTAAAATTGGCCATGAGGCATGCGGGATAGCAACAGAGCTATGTGGCTAGTAGGGTTTCTATGGCAACTGCAGTCGTCCATTTCAGCACCTCTTTGCCGTCACAGAGCATTCGTCTCCCTCTCTCCCTCCCTCCTTCTCTCTCTCTCTTTTTCTCTCGTTTCCTCAGTGGTCGTGACAGAGAGAAACTCCACGTGAGGGAATTAAACTTCATCAGGGATTCAGCTCCACTCACAGCGGCATGAACAGAAGCGCACACACACATACACACTCTTTTTTTTTCACACAGGCGACACATCCACACAGAGCACACAGATGAGCAATGAAAAGAATGCAGAGTGCACAATATACACGCTGAATGAAACGCCGCCTGAAAAATCCCTCATGTACAGTTGAGAGAGAAACAACAAGCAAACAAAGAAAGCAGCCAGACAGGCATCCGGATGAAGGTGCGACGAAGGGGAACAGAGGGGATAACTCGTCTTTTGTCCAGGCATGAAGGAGAAGTAATTACCCTGCAGCCTTTCCTCACATTCATCCACCAGTTACTACTCTTTACAGCTAATTTTACCTGAACGCTTTAAACTCTGATTTGTCCTCCTTCTTCTCCCTTTTTCTCTTTCCCTCCTCCTCTCTTCAACCCCCACCATCCTCTCTTCTGTCTATCCTTCTCCGCTAAAATGGCCGACCTGGAAAACCCTGGCCCTCAGCAAAAATCGCACCACTCCTGTGGCGAAAGCTGAACACGCCGACACAACCGCACATATGCACCTCTCGCGCGCACTCTCTCAAACACACATATATGCACACGGACACATGATACGGAGATATGTTGGATAAGGGGTAACTATCAGACAGGCTGACAAGACAGAGAGAGTGAAAAATAGTCAGATACACACATTTAAGCACACACACACACACACGCTCTGAGGAAGAGGAGGAGGAGGAGGGGGGAAGGGTTAGGTGAGATGGAGGATCACTTACTGGCTGTACAGTTTATCCTGATACAGTCTGGAGGGAGAGCAGAGCAGAGGGTTAATGCTGCAAACACACACATACTCTCCACGCCCTGGGGACGCACACATCGACACACCCTGCGCACGTCTATTTACAAACACACACTGCTGAGAAAACACACACTCTCCTCCAGGCTGAACAGTGTATTATCCTGCAATAGTGTGCAATTTCTGTGACGTTGATTTCGAGCCAATAAAAGACCCGGATCCGGGGTGAAAGCTGGTGTATGTTTGATTTTTTAACAGTTACATGTTAATGAGAGTGGTGTTTTGCACAGCGTGAGCGGTGTGTGTGCTTATTGGCTGCTCTGGACTGAGCGACAGTTTTCAGCCACCAATCAAAACCATCAGGAGACTGAGATGGGTAATGTGTGTCGGTTTTGTCTGATGACAGCGAACACATCCCATGTATTTGTCGCCCATCCAGAGCGCAAATCTCCACAAGCTGTTGGAAGATTTGGCCGCATTTTTATACATAAACATGTATACGTTTTTTTTTTTTTTTTTTTACCCATGATGCTTTGGTGTGTCGTGTGGCGTCAACCGCAGAAAAGACGTGGCTGCAGACAACCAGAGACCAACACATGCACCCCTTATATGTGTTTTTGTATCATCTATGTGATCTTGTGTTAATGTGTAAAAGTGTGTTAACATTTCCTTTGTGTGTTTTTTTCTGCAGTTATGTGTTAGATTGAACTATTTGTGTGTTTTTGTGTATCGATGAAAGTGTTGGGGATGCACAGGTCCACTGGGAGTGAGCAGAGAATGCAGCTTTAGGCTTGACCCTCTGTTCAACATTGACAGTTTCAACAGTCCTTTGTGTTTGTGTGAGAGTATAAACCTGACATTAAGTCCACCCAAATATGTTCAAATACCTTCAAAAGTCTGTAAAATCAAATATCTGAGACATTTAAATGGTCTAATATGTTTCTGTTTCATTAACTAAGACACAGGATTATTTTTAAGTCATCATATTTGACTGTTTACTGTATGTCTTTACGGGTGTAAAGTTGGATTATATTTGATTTACAACCGTTAACCGTTTGATGTCTTACTTTTATGCGCCCTCAAAGGATTATTTTGTTGTTTGATTGGATTTGTTAGGAACCAGGGGCGTGCCCAGATCTTCACTTGACAGGAGGGACAGGGAAAAAGCTTGGGCACTAACTAACGCAGGGGTAGCATAAGTATGTACACCATACTGTGTATAATAAAATGGACATTAACTTTGAATCATCATGTCCCTTTAAAATCACTAATACTGAGTCTTTTCTGGAAATCCCTAAGCTCCATCGTGTCGTAGTTTTCTCTGGATCGCTGCTGCAGACGTTCTGCTGATGTGGACCTGCCTGCTTTCTAGCTGCTTCAACTCACCTTTGTCCATCTCCCTCTATCCCCTCTTCTAACCCAAAGTAGTAGCAGCAGATGGCTGTCTATCATAAGTCTGGTTCTGCTTGAGGTTTCTGCCTGTTAAAGGAAGTTTTCCCTTTCCACTGTAACTTGTGCTACACTCACGCGGTTGAAGATGGGATGGGAGTGAGTCAGATCTTACAAGATGGAGATCAATCTTATCCTATCTTCACATTGGGTCTTTGTTAATAGAGTCTGGTCTAGGCCTGCTTTTTCTCTTGAGGTGACACTTTTTGTGAATTGGTGCCGTTTAAATAAAGATTGATTACTTGCTGATTACTGTTAAGTAAAAAGATTTAAAGCTCTTCCAACTGACTGGCTGCAGTGCAGGTCATCAACACTGACTCATTCTGTTAAGAGATGGGACAAACTACAAGATTAACCTACACTTCATACAAATACTCAAAGTTATAACAGTTAGCGCTGAATTATGTACAAGGGGTTGTTTTTTCCTGACAAGTTTATCGATTAGTTATTGAAACGACAGCTTTGGTGACAAACGCAGACTCCTGCAGCCTTCTGCACTGGGCTGGCAGAGTACAGAAGAAATGGTGTTAGGGAACACAACACAAATTAACACAAGAGTCATTGAGCTCCACCAGCCAGATCGTGTCTGTGCGTGCCTTGGCTTCACTGTCATATGATGCCAGCGCCCATCAAGATGGGTCTTTTGGCTTCATATCTCACAATAGGCTGAAATGACAACATTGGTGCACGGATATGAATGAAACGCATGAATTTACCTTTTACATATCCGTTTATCATAGCCACCAAATTTAGTCACGCCTGGTTTAAATATATATTGTATATTTTTCTATCTTAAACAACAAAATAACAACATATTTGTAATTTAATCCAAGAAGATGTGTCTTTAAAAAGTCCAAATTTAAGGAATGAAGGAGTAAAAATGTCTTAATGATCGGTTCTGAACCTAGGGTCTGGGTTTCTCAAGGCTTTGCTTGCTCTGAGGTTGCTAATATTAGGGTTATAGTTGACATTAACCTAAATCTGATGAAGAACGATCAAAATTCATAGGTGACACTAGAGGTGGCCAATCCGAGCAGGGGGAATGCCACCCCCAGACACCCTTCTGGACACGCCCCTGGCAGGGACTTGGGAAGGAATAGTTGTTATTGCAGTAATAACTAAGAGGGGATCCAGTGTTAATAGATAAACACATCTAGCAGAGTTATCAGAGTTAACTTTATAGCGGTGATATATTATTTATCAACATTTAATGACATTCCGACGCAAGAAACAGCCAAGAGGCCATAATGAGCTGCATTCCCCTGACATGTAATTAAAACAACGCTTGGGAACCTCCATGTTTGCGTGCTTGTGTGTACCTAAGTTGACAGTGAGTCGGACACGGCCCCCATCCAGCTCTAGACGAAGGGTGTCTGCGGAGTTACGAGATGTGGTTGCCATGAGAACGCCATAGGCCCGCTGGGAGCGAAAGCGTAGCGAGACGTCCTCCGCCTCAGTGTGCATCGCCACAGGCAACTGCACCTTCATAAACTTACTGCCGTCGTACGACAGGATGGTTGCATCTGTAGAGGAAGATGGAGGAGATAAGACAGAGAGAGAGAATGAGAGAGGGAAGACAGAACAGAGAGAGAGAGAGAGAGAGAAAGAGAGAGGGTAGGGAAAGAAACAAAAGTAATTTGATGTATAGTGAATCAGATTTGGAATATAACAGTGCATATTACAGCAGGCTACGCTCCCTCGTGTCCCTGCCACGTCATGCTCAAACTCTGCTTCCTACAAAATTAGCCCACCATTTAGCACCTTTAATTCATCATCACACCTCTCCAAAGAGCGAGCAACAATAGCTGCAGCTGGTTGGCCGCCCCATTATCCGGTTAAATCAGAATGCACGGTCGTGAGTGTGTTAGCCACCAGTCGCTGACACCTCAGACCCTGAAGTCATAATGTAACAAGCTCAGGTGATCCTGCTTTAATGTCTTTTGCATACTCATTTACATATTCATAATCTTCTCTCCCTGCTACCTGCTGGGGCCAATCCCCGACCACTAAACTGTTTACCTCCAAGGACCCTGTTTTTTATTGGCCAATTACATCCACAGCTAAACACACTCTTCATGTCTCCCTGCCTTTATCTCTCGCTCTTCTTCACTTCTTCCTCCCCCTCTTCTTCTTTCTATATCTCTCTTCTCCATTCCTCCATTCGCTTTCTGTCCCTGTTTCTGTGGGAGACGGTCGGGGCGAGTCAGAAAAAAAAACAAAAAAAAAAGAAAAAGAAAAAAAAACAAGAGAACAGGAAGAGAGGGAGGCCTCATGAATACTGATGAGCTGAGAAGGAGGGAAAGAGAGAGATAGAGTGTGTGAGTGTGTGTATGTGTGCGTGCATGTCAGAATAAGTGAGTGAATTTAAGTGTGAACAGAGGAGGGTTTAGTAAAGTGAGAGCAAGGAACGGGGGGGAGAGAAAATAGGGACAGAGCAAGACAGAGAGAAAGAGGGGAAGGAGAAGGAGGGGGGAAAGAGGGGAGAAAAGCTTCTGGCTAAAATGCAAATGAACCCTCATTAACTTGAGGAAAAAAGGAGGTGGTTGGCCTGTTATATCACAGATAACATAACTAACAGCCACACATACACTCAAACCAAGCACGCTCAACACACACACACACACACACACATACGTGCACAAATTTCTGATAAGGGAGACAGCTGACTAAATTTTCCTTGCCACGGCACCTGACTCACTAAGAGGCGAGCAGAGGAGGGGGGAGAGTATGGAAGCCTGTTTTTGCCAATGCAATGCTCACTGGTGGTGTCGTATCACGTATCACACGTGTCATACAAACAGAGTAACAAGTTCAGGGAGAAGACTCGAGTTTTTTTCCTTAATTTCATCTTTGTTTATGATACAGTGTGAAGACCAGATGTTACTCTGTCTCTGCGTGTTTGCTACTTCCTGTCTTATCTGTGGCACCCAGTTGGATGCCAATTGATTATACTAAAAGCTACAATTCTGTAAAATAGGTCAGAAAATACACTTGTATTTGTAAAAAAAGTGACATTAATTTTCTATAACAGCTGGTCCTGTTTTGTCAGAACCTGGTGGACTAATAGCAGCAGGAGGGAGCAACAATTTATTATTATTTTGAGTTTTTTTTAAACTTTAAAGTAGGGATGCACCGATCTGATATATGGATCAAATATTGGCTCCGATATTGACAAATTAACTGGATTGGATATCTGATGAATGACGACAATCAATTTCTTTTAATTCATATCATACACAGCAACACAGCGATTCTGTTCGCTCCATATTCTATGTCTGTTTATCCTTTTGCACTAAATGTTGACATGAAAGTCTTACTTCTTTTTGCTGTGTCCGTTACCTTTTTCTAACAAGGCTAATGACAAGCCTGATGCCTTCACTCACAGGGCAAAGTATACAGTTCATTTATTCCACAGTCATATTGGATTGGTATCAGATATCGGCCGCTACGCTCAGCCCAGGTATTGGTATTGGATTGGATCGGAAAAATAGATCAGTGCAGCTCTAATTTAAAGCAACAAACTTAAAGCTCCTGAGGTTTGTGAACACTATGGACAAAGCATTCGCTCTTTTCTTTTGGCTTGTAGGAAATCTTTGCCTTTTGAACAAGTTAAAAAAAGGCTGCTTTGGCAGTATGCAGTAAATCACCTTGTCTGTTACCTACCCCTTGGCAGCAGTTTCAGACATTACAAATAGTCTAATAAAGATAGTCAATCTTTACGCTGAGGGTCTTATTTTTTAGATTTTAGGACCAAATTTTGGTTTAAAAAAAAAACAAAAAACAACGTATTTGAAAATAAAAATAGTGTTAGGGCCACATTACGAAAAGAAAAAATTTTACACCTTGGAATTACTAAAGACTAAAAGTGGTAATAAAGTAATTACTTATGAGAATAAAGTCGTGATAAAATCATTTCTTACGAGAATAAAGTTGTAATAAAATCATTATGTACAAGAATAATAGCTAATAGCTAATAGCTATTCTAACCTGTTGTTAGTTGTTTAACCAAGTAATTATTTACGACTTATTATACTACGACTTTATTCTTTTAAGTAATTCAGAGGTCTAAAATTTTTTCCTCTCTTAATGTGGCCCTAATGCTCCAGCGTAAAAAGCTCCCGTGAGGTTTTTTTTTTTTACTTTTTTTGATATGCAAAAGCATACAAGATCATTAATACAAGATTGTCAACATTTATATTGTAGTTTTTAATGCCTAAATTATACATTTGACTGTCAAAAGTTGGCAGGATGAGGTCGTTTTTAATCAAAAGACAATTATAAAGTAAATAGAGGACAAGAGACAACAGCTGTTTAATGCCACTACTGCACTGATAACAATTATCTTTAAAGCTGGTATCAAATCGCTGCCTCAATGGTGGACTTCCCCTTTCTTTGTGCCTCTTTGTTCTGAACCATCACTGTGTCTCTCCATCAATCATCCTCCTGCCGCTCTAGTTGTGAGTAATGGCTGCTCTCAGTCATAATGAGTACACCTGAATCATAATAAGTAGGGCTGTCCGCTAATGTGAAGGATATTGGCATTTAAAAGCCTGGACCCTGAATATCAGTCGGTAACACTTATGCAGATGTTTTTCAGGGAACAATAAAACCATATCTTATATTTGAGTGAGATAGTTATGTGTGATTCATTATTAAACATTGTTTTTATTATTTGAATTTATAGCTATTAATTATCTTGTTTAAGCTTCTTATCAATCTGAATCAACAGGAAGGCTAAAGTTGTAGTGGCTGGAGCGGCAGCTGAAGTAGACAAATTAATGTGGGAGGAGGTGAGCAGCTTGTGAAGTAGTTATTGTCCGTTTATCGTTATCGAGGTGAACTGCTCAATATATCGTGATATTGATTTGAGGCCATATCGTCTAGCCCTAGAAAGCAAAGTCAAATTTGTAAATATAAGTAATAGTTCAGCTATTATAGCCAGTTGTTATTGAAGATGGTACAGGCCAACTTAGATATAAGAGAGGGTTAAGCATCTTCTTTGACTGATCAGTTCAAAGTAGGGGCTTAAAAAAAGGATTTATGTTTCTTGAATTGAAAATTCTTCTCTGTCAATAAGTTGAGATGATTTTATGGTGTTTGAATCTATTTTTATTTATCTGGCAGGGATGAGCTACCGAGGAGAAACCAGGACACCGAGCAAAGAACCCTCCAGTGTGAACAGCAGCGAGCGAGCATCAGCAAAGTGTTAGGAGACGTGCAAGTGTGTCACAAGAAATATGTGTGCCACCGCTCCTTAGAAAATAAAAATTCATCTTGGAGCTGGAGCGTGACGACCATCTTTGTTCATTAAAGAAGAGAGAGAGAGAGGGGGGAACAAAGGAGAGAGCAAGAGAATGAGGGAGGAGAAGAAAAAGGGAGGGAGAAAAACCGCAGGTAGAAGGCGTAAACATGGCCAATCACTCTCTCCATCTGCTTCTCCATCTGTGCTTCCTTTAATCCACTGAAGCACCAGTTAGTGACCCCTCAATGCACACAGAGAGGGATGAACGAAGATATAGAGGAGAGGAAGACAGCGCCGAGAGAAGAAGAGAGAAAGACGGAGGGTACATTGGTATGATAAACATACACTGCGGATGTTTGTCCGCTGAAATAAAATTCTTATATCAACGGCTTTCAGAAAGTGTATGTGCGTGTGTGTCAGTATCTCCTGTTAGATGATAGTACAATCATCACTTGAGACGCGTCAGCAGTTGTGGCACAAACAAAATTTCTTCTCTTCTCCTTGTCTGACTCCATCTCGCCTCTTTCAACAGGCCTGTATCAGTCCCCCTGCCAATCTCTTTACCTACTTTCCATTTCTCTATCTCGGCCTGAATACCTTTTTTCCCTCATAACTCTCTCCCTCTCTCTCCCTCTCTGTCAGATTTTCTACTCTCGTCTCCCATTCCTCCTCATCTCCTCACCTGCTGTCATACGGCGGTTCCAGCCTAGTGGTTCCACCCTCCTCTGTCACAGCTCCTGCTCCCTGCTTTCTGCACATTTCCTCCCCCATCGATTCCCGGTTTCTACATCCAGAACAGTCCGATAGTCCTGTCTGCGGCTCGGCTTCCTCCCACCTCTTCTCTTTCACCTTCGTTTGATCCTCTCTTTTTCCCAGCCTCCATCTTAACACTCATACTCTTTCTCTCAAGGCTGGGAATTGGTCTTATTTTCTTGAATTAAAATAGATGCAGCCAGAGTTAGAAATGCTGCACTATTATTATATCTCGTTGTTGTGCAAGCTGTCTGATTTTGGCTTGTTTTTATTTGCGTTTTTATGTCCACATACCATTACTTTGCCTTCTTTCCAGCTTCTTACTCCTCGTCATTTATGTAGCTAAACTTACCTGAACTCAATTTACATTTCCCTTTTACTTTAGATACACTTTTATCCACTATAAATCTTTATGAGTGTACTTTTTAGTGCGCATTAGAAAAAGTACTTCAAACTGATCTGTTAGGTTAGGCGTCAACGGGAAAAAAAAGCACGTCTTAAAGGTAAAATGGATAAAATTTTATTGCTCAATATAACTGATGATCATAATATATTTTCACGAGTTATTTCTGACTTTAAAACCACAGACTCTCCAGCCCTTACCATCTGTCTTCTGTCATTCATCCCTTTGGCAAAACTCAATGTTCTGAAGCCAAAAAGCAAATGACAAAGCTGTCAGAGTGACTGTTTTCTGCATCACAGCATATTATTAATTTCTCAGAAAATGTGCCTGTTTAGTGACTGTAATTAGCCAGCTCCCTAATCTCTATTGTTAAAATGTGCATCGAGCATCTCAGCCAATTACCGAACAAGCTGTTAGGCGTCAACTTGAGGTGTTATCCTCTCTGACCTCCCACCGCATCAGTCTTACCTCTTTCGCAGGAGCGTCCCAGGTAACCCGTCCCCGAGCAGTCGCACACGTAGCGGTTCCAGCCCTCTCTGCAGATGCCGTTGTGCTGGCAGGGGTTGGACAGGCACTGTTTGGGAGGCTCTCTGGAGCACGAAGGCTTCACTCCCACCGCCCGCTGAGCCTCAGCCAGACGCCGGATGTCTTTGCTCTGCCCGTCCACAAACAGGTCTCTGATGCAGCCCACGTAGCCGTAGTTCAACAGAGCCGTCCACACCTGAGGAAGAGATCGCCTGTGTTTTTAGTGGTTTCACTGGCAGGAGATGGATCACATTATGCAGCATTTGGCGCTTAAGTCTGAACCAAATCTGGGAGCTCACAGTGAAGCTGGAGATGGCAGCTATTTTGGATTTAAAAGGAAAAAAAGTCTTTTTTTCAGCTTGAGCTAAGCTCAAAACTTGAGAACAGAATAACTCAGGAGGAAATTACCGACTTCGCTCAATGGTAACTTCTTTCTCAAACACCACAGGTCTTTTTTTAACAGCTGAAATGTTGAAAAACAAGCCATCTGTCTCTAATGCATATACATGTTTTTTAGCTGTTTTTCTGTGTAAGGTCAACAACAAAATTGATCGAGTAGGATTGCTGTTCTCCTGTTTTTCCTCTCACTTTATATTTCAATTATTTTTCCTTGAAAAATATAACAAATAAAGCTGTCAGCCAATGATTATTTTGTCTGTCAAACTCCAAATCTCACACATATTCTTCCTGCTTTAATAAAGAAAGGGAAAAATCTCACGTAAAATCCCCTGAAAAATGATTTCAACGATCAATCGAGACAGCTCCCAGGTATCTCAGATAATGTGGTTTGAACGGAAAGATGTGATTTGATGGTTCATAGACAGAGAACCGATCTAACATGGAGGGCAAGACTTATTCAATACTGACAGCATATCAAGCATGGCTGCAGCTAATTCATTATTGATTAATATGGCAATTATAAAACCATTGAAGATGATGAAAAATGCTTCTTTGCTTTTTTGAAGGTGATTCAATTTAATTTTTTCCAACATCAACACTCCCAAAACAACAAAACACTACAATTATTTAGTGTAAGATCATGGAAAGCAGATATTCAAACATAGAAAGAGTTGAACCATCAGATGTTTGGATTGAACTCATTATCAGATATATCACATTTGTAGGTCATACTGTAGGCACACAAACCTCTGTGGGGAAGATGAGCCCAGCGCGATCTTCAGGTAGTCCTCCTAGGTACAAAGTGTCATCAAGGTCCAGGATCTCACTGTCTCCTGGCGCCGTGTACGCCGTTCTCACACTGTTCACTGAGATGGTTCCTGCATTAAAAACCAGCCATTAGAACAGCCTCAGAAAAGCTGTAAGGTGCGACCTTCACTGTGAACATCCTCATCAAAGTTATGAGTATAATCAACATCATCGTCGTCATCCCTCCCACGCTTTCAATTCCTAATTCTCACCATCTTCATCACCTCCTCTTCTCACTTCTATTATCAGAAATAATGCAAATCCCTCACAGTCATTTAAGAGTGTTACTAATTATAATAATTTATATTTTGGGGCGTTCTTGCAGTTTAACAAGAATCATGTCATGCTTGTATCAGGGAGAAAAGGTTACTGTATATATGGCTGCACAAGCTGTATATACTGTTAACCATTTGCATGTGCAAGCATGTGACCCAGGGCATGTTCAGTTTTCATGATTAATCTACAAGAAAAGTCTGTCTGCCGGCATGTCATTGCAGCCCTTCACCAGATCATACAGGGATCTGACCACTGTGCAGGCAGAGTGTATGTGTCACATGACTGTAAACAAGCACTGAATGTTCTACTGCCATCATAAATAATGGCAGCTGGATGCTCAAGGCAGGCTTTCAATTACCAATGGGTGGCTTTTTAATGCATGCTTGTGCCTGTTACCAACAGCACTGTGTCCTGGTGTAGTAGTAGTTAATTTGAAGGGATGTAAAGGTGTAAAAGTACATGTATTTGCACTAGACTGGTTCAGTATGGTGCAATTGGGTTTGGCACTAAGTTGGATTGGCGCAATACCAAAGGTAATTCAAATCCAAGGACTCCGCACAGAGTGGAAAATGGAGGTACGCAGCAAGGCCACTGAAACGCTGGTTTCTGATCAGTGATTTTCTCAACAAATCACCCAAAAACAGACAGAGTTATCATGGCTGTGTGTCCAGTATAGTAATAAGGGAGAGGGAGGGGCATAGGTGATTATTTTGGTACAAATATTTACCTGTGTCAAATAATGCTTGGCACTTAGCAGGAGCTTGTTTTTACAACGGAGTATTAAGGCCACATGAAGAAAAAAAAATTAGACTTCAAGATTATAGTTGTTAATTTACTGGAATAAAATCATTACTAACGAGAATAAAGTCGTAATAAGGTTATTACTTACGAGAATAAAGTCGTAATAGAGTCATTACGTACTTACGAGAATAAAGTCGTAACAAAATCGTCATATACTTAAGATAATGGGGTGCTGATGTGCCAAAAACTTGAGTATCTCCTTGTTTGAGAAACATATATTAAAGTACATTTTCACAAAATGTTCCATGGCTCTCATTTCAACGATTTTATAATGACTCTATTCTCGTAAGTAATTATTTTATTACGACTTTATTCTCATAAGTAATTACTTTATTCCCATAAATTAACGACTTTAATCTTGAAGTCTTTTTTTTTTTTTTCTTAATGTGGCCCTAATAGTCCGTCGTAAATTTTGGACCCTGTATTTTTCTATTTTTTAAATTCTATTTTATTCTTTCTAATGTTAATTTCTCTTATCATGTTTTTATGAAAATATCATAGAAAAATGTAGCGTAGGCCTACACCCTGAATTGTTGATTTTCCACTTAAGACGATGTGTTTAAGATCTTTAAGTTCCTAATAAAGGAAAATGAATGTTCCACATCATATTTGTTTCCCTCACTGTTCCAAAAATGTACAAAACCAAGACTCTAAAAACTAAGAACCACACCAAATCAAAATCCTCCAATACCTGCATACCTCTGTTAAAAACGTGGCTGTAAAAGTGGGCTATTAACTCAACAGATGTGCCTCCAGTCAGTGTTCACTTTGAACGGCTACACCTACAGCCAACATACCGTTCAGTGATGTAAAAGCGAAAGACGCAGAGCTTTCCTCGTGATAAGTTTCAGTCACAAGCTGTACACATTAATTAACGTACAATCAAACGCCGCGTGAAGGGGTGAGATCAATAACACAACTGTGGCATACACTTCTATTTGTAGAGCCCCACTGCTCTCTCTCTCTCTCAGTGCTTGTGTCAAAGCTGCTGTGACTTTGAGTCTACAGTAATGAGATCATAACTGCTAAATATGAATTTCATGAATTTAACTAGTCTGACATATTAAACTGATATATTCTAATTGCAATATACACTGCAAAAAAAGATTTCTTCGTATCATTTCTACCAACATTGGAGCTTTGTTTGGAGTCATCTGACAGGTGATGAGGGCTCTTCATTTAAATTCACACATATAATGTAAATGAAAAGACAACAAAGGGAACAGTGTGGGTCTGTTCTATGTGTCCACACAGAAAGCATAAGTTTAATGGGTAATGTTGCTTTAAGTACAGCAGCGTGGAAAAAGAGGCAACAAAATGCTTTAACCACCAGATTCAATGACCCTAGTTTGAATGAAATACAGACAGCAGGCAGAAAGCAGTCAAACGGCCTCGCTTTGATGGTGCTCACTATAAAATGCTGAAGTACGATCTCGCCTACTCATTACACTCCACCTTCTCCTTATCAACCTCTGTGGTCAAGGTTAGCATCGGTGTGGAGAGAGCTGTGAGAGTACCTGAGCGCCCGTCCCTCTGGAAGTCCACATGATACCATTCCCCATCATTGACCTTTCTGTCGATAGCCTTGGTCTTGGTGGTTCCTGAGCCCATGTCCAGCAGCAAGTACAAGTGCCCGTCCAGCATCTCAATGGCGAAAAAATCTACCTGTAAATCAAACGGGGGACATCATCAGTATTCTGAGAAAAGCAGGGTCATGGCTGGCAATAAAAATGCTAATTATAGCAACAAGTTACAATGAGCTGACTGGGCTCCAGATCTATTATCTTGTCTGTTGTGATATGTTGTCGCCTTTTAGTGGAGCCTGCCAAACAAAGACTTTTTCATCAAATTCAAGAACTTCCTGGGGATCCGAATTTACATGATCAACCAGGTAATCGATGTTCCACAGGAGGATAGCATTACAAGCATCATTTGTGACTTAATCACTCGTGTTTCAAAACGTCACACGCTTTCCTTCACAAAATTCAACAGGAACAATAAAAAGCGCATTTTTGATGGGATGATTTCAAGAGGATGCACCCAAAGATGGCTTACCCTCACAATAAGGACACTATAAGGATTAAATTTGGGGTTTGTTGGACATATTGCCATGAGACAAACACACCGTTGACACAAAAGTATGTGCAAAAAAAATTGCACTGTTTTCTACTCCAGCTAAATTGCAAAAGCTAACAACCTAACACCCAAAACGAAATTGATAAACAAGCTTAGCAGTAAACCTTTATAGCATGTTAGCATTCTCATTTGGATTTAGCTTCAAGTTTTGTATAAAAATAGCTTTTCAAACCTATTTTTCCAGCTCTAAAGTTCTTGTAAATATAAAAAAATCAAAGTACCTTGACTGTAGGAGGCGTTCTCGGGTCCTTGCGTTGCAGCTGTCTGGGTTTTCCATGACTGAAAAGCATCAACCCGTTCGGCTCTGTCGTCCTGAAGTCAAAGGAGATTGATCCCGCCTTCTTCGCTGTCCACTTGTTCAGCGCGACAAAAGACTCGGGGGTGTCAAAGGTCACCGGGTCCAGCGTGGCTACACTCTCACATTTAAAGGACACCACGCCGCTCACCTAAGAAAAAGAAGAATAAACGGGTCTTTAGGCTGATGTCCGGTGAAAATCAAGAGAGAAAAATGCTTCCTTTGTAGTCTGGGAGTGAATTAAAGCCAGTTACTCCCAGCTGTGAACTGCCGAAAAGACAAAAGCTTCTGGCTACATCTCAAATATATAATCCCATTTACTTAAAATTCCTACAGCATAAGCCTCGCAGAGCCTGACAGGAGGTTATGATACAAAACAATGCCTGCGTTCTGTGCATAAGAGGATAATGTGTTGTCTGGCTCAAATTGTACATGCTGTTTAAAGTGCATACCTTCATCTTTGGGTCTCCCTGTTTCGCCAGTCTAGACAGCTCCAACCGAACGTCATTGTTCTTGTACACCACCTTGGGAGGGGAAACATTAACGTCGGGTTAATCAAATCTACATCGCTTAACTTCTACTTTATATTCGGTGCAGAAAAGAAACACAATTTGATTAACATTTCATACATTAAGAAAAAAAGAGTGCACTTATAGGTAGGGCAAAACACTCAAGAAATCACACAATATGTCTTTCAGCTGAGGATTTCTTATTATATACAAGTGTTTGGTACTTTTTAAATGAAAGTGACAGCCTTCCTCCAGACTCATCTTTTGATAACTCCCCGTTTGTCCCTGCCACTTGCATGATCGCTTTTACTCCGCTCTTCTTTTCTGTTTCTCTCGTCCCTCTCCCTGACACAGTACGCTCTCTGACTGAGCAGCGTGAGTGTAAAGAGCCTGCTTGTGCTGAGCATTCTGATGTCGAGAGGGGCGAGCACACACAGGCTCTGCTTTATTAATACAGACCTCTTTCTTTGACCTGTGAGCTACTTAGCAACTATAAAAAAATCTCCTTTTTTTTCTGTCATGCGCTTTGATGTGTGTGTGTGTGTAGGGCAATGAGGGTGATAATTGAATAAAAAGAGCTGCAAATGTACAAAACGGGGTTAGTGTGTGTGTGTGAAAGTACGCCTGCGCTGCATCAAATGCACCAAATTGTTACAGCCGTGATCGTTCATGCGCGTGATTCAACGCATACATCTTAATTTGCTCACGCGGATTATCACATCATCGTATTAAATATGTAAATGTGCCAGTGGATGGGGTTCACTCTGACAGCGGCAGCCTCGTTTAAACACCATCAGTCTTAATGAAGCAACACAGAGCGCATTCACCGCTGATACAGATAGCTCTCTGTTTGGCACATCATCTGTCGGCTTGTTTGGTTGTTTGTTTATGTCTCTGTGTGAGCCCGTGTGAATGGAAGTCAGACATCATGTGTATGTAAAGAGCGTAAGGGTGTGTTTGGGAGTTTCTTGTGTATCCATATCTATGTTAATTCTGTTTGAAATTTCAAGTCCAGGTGTCTTTTATTTGGTTTGTTTTAGCTGCCATCTCAAATATCCTCTGACATACATCTGTGTGTACATTTTAAGCTCTTGTGTGTGTGTGTAAGCACATGTCTTACTGTGTTTTCATGTGTGTGTGTCATGTCATTTTTTTTTTTGTTTTGCAGTGTTGTGGCCCATTTCGAGCACAGCGGATGGATGGAGCATCTCTGTGGCGTAGCTAATTAGCATGTTAGTGCCTAGTGCTGTATCTACTCCCTCAACGACACTCATCACTGATTCTCTCTGATGCTGTGGAGGGTGTGTGTGTGTGTCTGGGACTGTTTGTGCGAGTCTGCCAAATGGAAGCATTTCCCTGTGTGTGTGTGTGAGCGTGCGCGCTTGATAAAGTAATGCGTGTGAAATGTTTGCGTGATGCGTGTCGGAAAGCGGAAAGAGGCAGAGAGAAAGAATAAAAAGGAGGTGATAAAAATAGAAAAAAAAGGATTTCTTGAAACCTAAAAGTCCACAAAAATCTGCACAGTAAAAGAGCAAGAACCAGGTTATTGTAATAAGCCGGATTGTTTGGTGAAAGAGTTCTACGTGGAGACAACATCTGAGGTTTAGTCAATTTAGAGTCTGTCAAAGTTAATAACTCTGAAGATTTTGTGCTGAAAAAAGAACAAAATTACAGAGGGTGATCTACAAGTGTGCAGAGTTTTATTTGATACAATACAGTACATAAATATTTGTATATCTAACCTGGAAAAACACCTCTCGACAACATCAACATTTAAACTCTATTATGGAGACATTTTAGTGTTTATTTTATTTTTATAGTCAGGCGTGTATCCCACCTCTTTAAGACATCCCATGAAGTTATTGCTGACAGGAGAGCCAGGCAGGTCGGCCGTACTTGGACTTCCTCCCACGTAGAAGAAGTCGTCAGAGCCCAGCATGGTGTAGTCCTCCTGGGTGTAGCCCGTGGTGGTCAGGATGCCGTCCACAGAGATGGTCACCTACACAACAAAGCACAGGGAAAGGACACGCTATATACTCACACCAAAGGCAGCGCTAAGCGCTAGCTAGGCGCTGACCAGCCAAATTAGCCCCCGTTACTCAGGTAACCAATGTGTATGTATTGTGTTGGGGAGAAGGCCTGATTGGTTTGGGGAATTGGCTAGTTGTGCTGTTTGTTTGCAGTCTGTTTTGGTGTGTTTGGATCATTGTTTAGTGTGTAGTGTAAAGGAAATGTTGCTATAAACTGTAAAATGCCACTCGCCTCATCTGCCTACAGTCTGTGGCCGGATCTCTCTCTCTAGCTGGAATCAGACTATGTGGTCTGCCTGTCGACAGCAGTAAGTCTATTGTACAGAATAACAACTAGATCCTGTGTGTGTGATTAATAAAGATTCACTGATACCGAAAAAGCTGCAGGGCCACCACTGCTGGATTGAAACTCTGCACTCCCAGACTCCAAAGTCTGATCCTCCTGTCACTGCGGTGTACCGACTACAAAACCAACACAACTTCTGCATTAAGGCTAGCCTTGTCTTCTGAGTGCGCTAGTTCAACTTTCATATAAAAGTTCTCCTCCTTGTGCCTCTGCCAAAGTCTCTTAGCTGCTTTATCTTTAAAATAGAAAGTGACAACAAAACTAACAACGAGTTTCCTTAATGCGCTACCTCAGGTGGCTCTGATGCCGGTGTTCTTCTAATTTAAACAGCCCATTCTGCTGTATAACAGCCCATATGGGGGCTTTTAAGTTGCACTGGTTGCAGACCCTGTCACACGTAATTCACAGTTAGTGGTATTTTATCACCCTGATATCCTACAGAACAATGCTAACAATAAAGGCTGTGAGCTCTGTACTCTCTCTACAATCTCTCGCCGGTGGTTTTGCCGAGCGAAACTCGCCCAGCCAAGAAGGCAGGTGTTAGTAAAAGTCTCCGCAGGCTTCTTCGTGCTCTACAGTACGTGTTAGTACTATCCAGTTGTTAGTAGTTGTTAGTTGTTGCATTGCTGGCAGCCACAGTCATGTTTCTGGTGTCAGGCCAAGCTGTGTTGGGTTACTGAGGTTAGGGTTCATGATTTCAATGCTGTTAGTATGTGTGATGATGTTATGTTGCTGTGTTGTTAGAGGTGATTTGTGATGATGGTGTTAGTTTGTTAGTTAGTTTGTGGTCTGGGGGGATTTGTTAGATCATTGAGTCTGAATGAGATGACACATGGACCGAAATACACACACTGATGTACACACACGCACAGGTGTTAGATGGGTCACGGCTCATTCCACACATACACATTAATATATAAACATGCAGCCTGCTCCTCTCTGGGCATGCAACCACTGGCAAAGAGGACGCAGTAGATGGGGTTCGAGAAATGCACGACATGATGAACTGGAGGCACCATGGAGCGCATGCAGTGGCAAGAGTGGAGGACAATCAAAAAGAAAAGAATTAAGTAGGGGGGGAAGGAGGGACCTCTCTATCCATTTAATGGACCAGTCAGAGAGGGGGTTTTTGAGTCACGCCATGCAGGAAAGGGAGGCTCGCTTTTGCGTGCAGGTGAGGGATGAGCCAATCAGTACACGCCTACATGTCACAGAGAGATGGGGTGAAAAAAACGGTAGAGAAAGGGGGGAAGGGGGGACTTTAAAGAAAAAAAGTGGTTGGCAAGGAGAGGTGGGACGGGGCTTTTTAAGCGTAAAAGATTACCAACCGCATTTATCCTGTTATTGGTTTAGTTTTGATGTCTATGGCTCAAAAGGAAATAGACACGGGGCAAACCCAAACTAAGAAACAATTAGAATGATATCTACCGAACAATGGAGTTTGTTTACCATAGCGTGTCCAATGCCTGAGTGCTTTGTAGGAGAGGGGGAGAAAGGAAAGCAAAAAAACTGTGAACAGAACAACTTCGGGAACCAAAAAAAGGAAAGCTAGAAGGCCTCTGGTGAGGTTAGTAGGTTGGTTGGTTGGTTGGTTGGTTGGAGTGGTCTCGCTAGGAGAAGGGCACAGGTTAGGTTAGTAGTATGAATCATTCCATGGATGAAGGTTAGTTTCACTAGCAGGTTAGTAAAGTTAGTAGTCAAGTTAGTAGTACAAACAGGCAAACGGTAGAAGGTAGGGCACAGGTGGGTTACAAGCACCTGAGTGCTAGTGACCTCCTCGATGTTCTCCAGTTCCATCACCCTCTCATTCACCCACTCACACACACAATTAAAAGAGCACTCACCTAGAGCTGAGAGCAGGGCTGGTCTGGTGGTTAACCCACTGTAAACTAAGACCAAACCTCAGGTATTCTCTTCCTACCACAGCTTCACTGCAGTCGGACAACAGACCACTGACCGTAGCCTCTACATTGATTAGTGTCTTGCTGCGGACTAAAGTCTTTTCCTGCAGCCCACTGCCCCCTGAAACACCTGCAACGGTCACTGTGGTTTACCAGAGTCAAACACACATTTATCTATTTAACAGGGACTAAAAATCTTCTTTATTTTATGTTTTAATTTTTCAAAAAATAAATCATTAAATCTATAAAAATCAAAGTAAAAGTATAGAATAAATATTAAACATTTAAAAACAGTCAAAAATGCTGATTGTTGCTTCTGAAAATGACCAAATCTGAAATCTGTGCAATAAAAATTAACTAATAATACCCTCGTAAAAAAGCAGAGGGCACTGTTTTCCTTCGACTTCTTTGGCTATATTTATTTATGCGCCTGATGTCTGATACCAAACAAAGCAAACAAACAGGATGGCAGCGGAGACCTCCTTTTTTTTTTCAGAGAGGATGCACTGCCGGCATTTCCCACACATAGACGATACCATGGAGGACAGCCAAAGTGCATTTACTGACAATTTCACCATTTTCTTTCCTTTTCCTCATATGATCACAAATCCACTAATGATAAACCCGTGAAAGATCTCTCACTGTCTTTCTACTCCACATGCACACATCACGAGTAGCGTCTCCGAACCTGCTCTGCAGGCAACAAAGAGAGAAAGAGACGTAACAGACAATGCTGACAACGTGATGCCTCTCTAGGGGGTGAGGAGTATACACTGAGGAGATCTAAAAGCATTTGCGTTGATCCTTTATTCTGTTTAGCTGGTTTAATTTACACATATTACTAAAAAATGAAAGTCGTACCTTTTGTATCCTTCAAAAGAATCTATCTTGGCAGCAAACAAAGTAACCCTAAACATGGAGTGTTAAAAGGCAAAACAAAAACGAGTCTGCTGAATCTGTTCTGTAAAACTGGGTCACTTATACCCTTAATTGAGCACGAGAATATCCTGCTGTGTCTGATCATATTGTGATATCCCTGAAGAATAATGTGTATATTTCAAGAGCCTTGTTTAGGTCCAATCTCCAAACAACCTGATAGAGAAACGGAGGAAAGTGGAAACCCTCCGTTTTTACATGCTGAAAGAGATTAGTTGTTTTAGTTGAAAGTAGAAAGAAGATTTAGTTGTTGAGTTTTTAAGAAGAAAGTAAAAAAGTTTCATGTTTAGCTTATTTCTGTTTGTTGATTGCTAATATCATCTTATTTAAAAACCTACCTCTCACTGTCTGTAAACTAGGTTTTATGATATCTTAACAAACTTTACTTCTTCTTCTCTCCTGTTTGCTTGGTTGCTCACTCCTCCATCCCCTGTTTTCTTGTTACCTGTCTCAGGTTGCGGGTGACCTTGACGTCGTGCCAGGCGTTGTCGTTGAACTTGCCGTTGACAGGCTCCACCAAGGCCTCGAAGGCCCCGGAGCCCAGATTGATGACGAGCGACACGGCACCGTTCTTCAGTGCCAGGTTGACGTAGTCGGCTGACTTGCCGGTGTGCAGCATGAGGCCGTTGCGCTGCAGCGTCTTGAAGGAGAGTGTGATTTCATCGCTGCTGGACTGGATAGGGTTGGGCGACAAGTCGTAGCAGAAGTACTCGGAGCCCTTGAAGGTGGCGACATACTCCTCACGAGCTGAGATAGACGAGGGAGAGAAGAGAGGAGGAGGAAGAACAAAGAAGTGTGGTGTCATTTTTCACTTGTTTGACATTATCATAATGATTAGTACAACCCAAACTATGTTGCAGCTTCCCACACTTCTCTTCACAATATGCTCAAAGATGATAAAATGGTGGGTGTTCATCAGAGCCAGGCGAGTAAAACAAAGCTTTACTCGGCGTGGTTAAATTTGATTCGGATGTGCTGCACAAAACATATTGTTTAAGATGCTGCAAATGTTGTTACTGTCAAGCAAAGCCTCACTGATGCCAGCACTGGGAAGAAACACTTCCTTCCATACCTCTAATCGTACCATGAAGTGGTGTGTAAACAAGCTTTGATCACTCATGTGGGTTGCAGATTAAACAGTGTGGATGCAAAAGAGAGAGAGAGAGAGAGAGAGAGACGGTCGTGAGTCTGTAGCTTTCCAAACTGGTTATGAAACCTGCCATCCTCTCTTTTGAGAGAACATCTGTGCTGGCAGTCTGAAGTGATGTGGTCTTGTTTGACAACATGGCTCATTTCGTGATGTTCGTCCAATGCCAGAATATATATATATATATGTGTGTGTTTGTGAGTGTGTGCGAGTTTGTTTGTGCAGTAAGAGTACAGGTGAGGAAGGGTTTTTCAGGAAGGATGAAGATGAAGATGAAGAACAGCACCTTGGGAACATCATGGCAGTTAAAGCAGGCAGGATCGGCCAATTAGAATTCAGAATTACAGGCAGACAGCCAATGGCGACTTACCTTGCGCACCCTGAGTGACCCCCAAGGACACTAGACCAAGGTTTCGCAATCCATCATCCTTAAGCTCGCGCTCTCTTATCTACTCTACTCTTAGAGAAGCGAGCAGCCGCATACGCAAGCCGGCGCTGGAACAAATATGCACACCTACACACATCTGCCCGCAAAAAAAGCGATCATAGTATTGTGCTGGCAAGCAGGGGTGACATTATCTGTCTCCTTCGCACCCATCCCCCTAAAGCATCACCCTTCCTCCGCTCTGCATCCGCCCTCCTCACCACCATCCCTACACCTCTCACACCTCCTCTACAAGCTTCACGCCACCGTTCCTCTCCCTGCACATCTCATTGGCCTCCTTTTTCTTTTGCCCTGTGGAGCCTTTGGCACAACCACCGGCTTGTAGTTCACGATAATGAGGAGAACAGAGGGGAATTTAACACGCGCTGGGTCAGGCTGGAGCAAGGCAGACACTTGGTGAGGAACCGCTGGAGAGGATGGATGGATGGATGGATGGATGGATGGAGGGAGGGGTGGTGGATGATTGCCACGTAATGAGTAGACTGAAGTGTAATAGCTTATTAAAGTAGTGAGAAGCAGGGAGAAGAGCGTCGAAATGGAGTTGGCCGCACTCGAGTGAATATAACACGGAGAGAATAATGAGAAGTGAGAATATATCACAACTCAAATAGCAATTGTGGCAAATTGTCTTTCTTTGCGTCTGCAGTAAGAAGAAAAAAAAAACAAAGTGTGAATGCCAATATATGAGTGAGAAACAACAAGTTGTTTGCCAGCATGTGTGTGAGCTCCCCGAGTGTGTTTCTTCCCTCCCAGCATGTTAATTAAGAGCGTGTGAGTGTGTCTGCGCAAGTTTGCGCTCGAGAAGTGTGTATGCGCGCACGGACAAGCAGTATATGCTTTTTATGTGTGCATGAAATGTGTGCGGGGGTGTGGGTGGGTGCTGGTCTCTGTAAATATTGGTGTATTGCTGTCAGAAAAGCTATTACCAACTCAGGGCCCCGGGCTAGTCTTTACTGAGAAGGAGCGAGAGCGAAAAAAGGAGGAGGAGGAGGAGGAGACGAACAAAAAAGGACACACACAGAAGGAAAGAAAGAAAGACTGGAAAAAAAAAAGGAAAAAGAACGGCCACAAATGCTCGCACAATCACACTGGCACACACAAGCAGACATGCAGACAAATGTAGATGAGGTGGCGGAGGGAAGGAGAGAGGGAGGGGGTGAGTTGTTCACAATGAGAACACACACAGCCGTCCAGCAGCATTCTAGCGGTAATTTACAGAGGTGCCATTAGGTTTCAGTGCGCTGCTCCACCATTCTGTTACTAATTTACAGACATGTCATTAGAGCAGACAGGAGCACATAAAGCATCTCTGCATCGATCTGGGAGCCCTGGCCCGCAACAACAACAGGCGTATACGCACACAAATCAGGCAGGAAAATGCATATTGGGTGACACAAACACAATGAAGGACACGTGTCCTGCATGCCTGTATTCGGCAAACACACACACACACCTATAAAACACGCACACAAGGATGGAGAAGCACACACGCGCTCTCAAGTGGGCAGGTTGGAGTGGATCTGTTGTAGCTCAGATTAATGGAGTGAGTCAGTATTAGCTCAGAGTAAACAGTGAGACAGACACTGACATACACACCACATGTCACACTTCATCCTGTGGAGAGCTCTGTCGATCAACGCAAGCGAGCGGGAAGAGGAGAAATGGATGCAGAGAAGAAGAAGAAGAAGGGGGGAAAACGCAAATGCAAGAAGAGAGGTTCAAAAACTCTGCTTCTTACTCCTTTTTTAGTCGTTTGATTTCTCGTACGGTTTATAGTAAAGTGGGTTCCGTGTAATGACACACTCGCAAACGCACTTTTTCCATGATTTTTAAAAGGAGTGAGTGACCCAGTTTATGTTCAAGTTTTACTTGTGATGCTTTTAATTTGCTTTTCTACCACCTTAACATCTAACCTGCTGCTGCTGTACTGCCTGTTTTGATGCCAAACACGCTTTTATTTTGAAAAAGATATGTCGACTAGACAACTATCAAAGAAGTGAAGAAAAACAGATTAAAGAACAACTATCTTAAAACCAGGTATCGACTCTCTCTTGGCGCCATTTTGCTCACCTCTAATCAGCCGTGGACAACCGAGACGGATGACGTCAGACCAGAGAAGTCAAACTGAGAGATAGTTCATTTCTCATCTCATCGCTGCATCCATCATGTAAATCTATGACTGTTTTATTACTCTCAGGGTCTTCAATATAAAAAGTGATGAAATCAGAAGCACATTAAATAAAGTTAGTAAGTTATGTTAAGTTAAAATAAATCTCTGCTGCTCATTTATTTAATTTCCTGTGCTGTGTTCGTTTATTACTCTAGTCGTTGTTTCCTGATTACATCTTGTTGTAACCTGATTGTTCGCTTTTATTTTCTATAATAGCAATTATTGTTTTTACACGCTGGCCTTTTCTGCACTAGAAAGAGCCCTGTCTGTAGTCCTAGAATGATAAATTGATTAAATAGCGGGTGATTTGACAGAAAATTAATTGGCACTCAGTCCCGAACACAAACTTTTCCTTTGTTCAAAACTCGCTTTTATAAAAAAAAGGGGGTCTTTTAAGCATGCGAGCGAGATCACCTCATTAAAAAGAGAGGGAAAAAATGTACAAATCTCAAATTACTACTGGAATACTTCCTCCGCTCTGGTGATGGCGAAGCTTCACCATCAGATTTTATGATTCAGTAAAGCTTCTGTTGTTTTAGAGCCACATATGCGTAAATCCGTCTTCTTTCTAGCTGTGCTGGATGTGTCGTTATAGGTAAGGTTCAACTGAATGATTCACAGAGTATCGATTGATTCCCAACACCACCAAGTTAATCAATGAAAAGTAATTTTTCAAACCAAAATGCCAAACGTTTATTGGCTTGTGCCTCTTAAAAAGATGGATTTGCTGCTTTCAATGGATTTGTACGATCATAAAAGAATCACTTTAAGATTTCGAACCATTAGTTTGACAAAAAAAATCCACTTAAAGATGTCATTTTTGGTTCTGGAGTATCTATAGACTAAACAATTACTGGACCACTTGAGAGAAAATTATGATATTGATAATCTTAGTTGCAGGCAGATCTGACAAAAAAACTCTCTTTCTTTCTTTCTCTCTCTCTTTCCGTTGAAAAAAGATCCTCATCATTTAATCACATCAGATTTAATTAAGTTACTGAAGAAGGGAATAAGAGAAAGAGAGATAGATAGAGAGAGAGAGAGTGGAGGAATTGGTAAGATATAAGCAGAAAAAAAAATCATGATATTAAGTATTGGCATGAGAAAGAGGAGAGGAATTAATAAGTAAGGGGGAATATGGGAAAATGTAAAGACGGAGGGTGATTGGCATCAGACTTTGAAGGCTATCATTAAACTACTTCGCCTAATGAATAAAGCAGTCTGTAGGGAAGCAGCAGAGAGAGAAAGAGAGAGAGAGAGGGAGAGAGAGAGATCTGATGGTTGATGCTACTGGGACCAGCTGCAACCGTACCGCCTCTCCGATGATCAAACACCCATCACATGGATTTTTTTTGTGTGTGAGCACATGTGGTGTGTGTGTACATGTCTCGTATGGCTTTGTCTCTTCCCATGGGTCTCCTCCTAAACATTTTCACACACTAATTTCTCATTTCCATGGCAACCCAGCAATCCAGCAGTCGTTACAGCAAATATGTGCGTTTGGGCATGTGTGCGTTTCGAGAAGGGGGGGCAGGAAGGAGGGCGAGAGAGAGAGAGAGAGAAGGGGGGAAGAGTGATTGAGTGAACAGTACATTATCATGGACAGCTGTACTGAATCAAAATGGCGGATGGAGGCTGGGAGCACATCAGGGGAGCCTACATTATACAGCACCTGATAGAGGGAGCAAGGGGGGAGGAAGAGGAAGAAAGAAAGAAAGAAAGGGGGGAAGAAAGAGGGGAAATGGAGGGGCTCATTCAGATGGGTGACACAAAATGGAAGTTAAAAAGAGGCGGATGGATAGAAAGAGAGACAAGGGAAGAAGGGAGTGGTAAAAAGCGAGGGATGGAGGAGGTAAAAGAGAAAAATGCTGGGGTATCTAAATCCTAGTGTAGCAAGCCTCAATCATGGCAGCCCTGTCATTCTGGAGATAGCACACTGCAATTCCACTGCACCTCGTTTTTAGCCCACCATGCAGTTCTGCTATCAGCTCCTCTCAGACTGTCCACACACACATACACACACACACGCACATAGACAGACACACACACACACATACAGCCTAAACTCAAACACCAAGCATGAAGGCATCCCTCCTTAATAACAGACAGGTGGATTAACTATGCACTCGTACAGTATACAGATAGATGACCAGTGTGGGAAATATATGTAAATGTATGCTAACATATGCATAGTCTCTATATTAAGTTAAAGTGTGAAAATCCATACAGACAAGTTCACTAAAAGGCACTCAGACTGCCGTTTCCATCTCTATTCAGTGATATACAGCATCTGGCTCTGAAAGCGATTTCACTATCACATCACTGCCAAGGGAGCAATAGTGTAGAGGAGGATATTACTGTCAGGACACAAGTGACAGATCGGTGGTCGGCAATGTAGAGCTCTTATTCCTCTTTTTGTTGTTGTTAAATTGAAGGCATTCATTCCCCACACAAGATATATGCTTTAAAACATTCAAGACGAGCTCTTGGCAAGGGCGGAGCGGGTCGAAAAGTTTCACCTGTGCGGAAATACTGAATCGATCGAGATCTTCTGAAAAATAACGAATGATTTGGATGAATCAATAACGGTGCTCACTTTATTGTTTTATCTTTTCATTTTGCAGAAGTGGGATTCTGAAGATATGTCACTAACTTATGTTATCGCACAGATCAGTCACAAGTGAGTTATTCGATTGGCTTTTAGGCTAAAATGACAGTTATTTTCATAATCTATTGATCTGTAGATTGAGGTCCCTGTTTATTTCTGTTCATCCAATTTTTTTAAGCTAAAAGATGACACAAAATCCAAAGGTAATGTCATAAAATGTCTTGTTTTGGTGTACAACAATTTAAAAAACAAATAAATATTGATTTTTACAATAAGGCGAAGAAAAATATGGAGTTTGGGCTCTATATTTGGAGGCTTAAACCTCCAAAGTTTGATAATTTTACAAAAGAGATACCAAATGAAGCAGTTTTTTTTTGTACTTATCAAGGTATTTAATGGAGTTAGTCTAACGTGCATATTGAAATTTATGTTTCCATGTGTTTTGTTGTTAATCCTATTGTTTTAATACAATTATTCTACAGTTAAGGCAGCTGAATGTGCACAAGCACTAAAATCTGGGGCGAGTTACCCTATAACAGAGGAAACTATATCATAACGTCTAATATCATTAAGGATTGTATCGTATGGTACCACATTATATCACAGGGTGTCATATCATACTGTTTTGTAACACATCATAATGTATTAGAAAAAATCTTATCATATGATATGATACAATACGATACAATATAATACAATACAATACAACATAATATGATACGATACAATATGATATGATATGATACGATACAATACAATACGATACAATATGATACGATTATGATACACTTTATTGTCTCTGGGAAATGTGTCTTGGACCCTAAGAGCTACACAGATAAAGCTGCCGACAGATCGTACTACACTGTATCATAACATAATGTATTAGTGTATCTCAATGTGTTGTTTCATATCGTAATGTGCGGTATCATGATGCTTTGGAGTAAAGTCTCTTTAAATTAAATTGTAACATTGTAGGATTATATTGTCATGTATTATATTATATTGTAACATGTTGTATTAAACTGTATGGTGCTGTATCTTAATGTATTGTATCTTCATTTATCATATTGTATTGAAATAGCCTACATCAGTTGCAGCAATAATCAGCAAATGGATAATCAGCCTGAACCAAATCAATAAACTATTTAGGCGACATAAAATGAGAAAAAAAAAAAAGTCAATCAGCATGTTTCATGCCTTGTCTATTCAGCATAGTCAGAACAATCTGTCATGTCTCAGTAAACAATAATAATGATGACAAAGTTAGGATTGTTTAAAGCAAATAGAGGGACGCAATCAGAGTTTAACAAAATAATCTCTAACATTGTTAATCCCGTTAAATTAAGACTAAACAATGGCCAGAACACGTCCTGCCTTTGTGCTTAATCTTTTATTTCTTGTCCCTTTTTTGTCTCTTTTATCTGTGCTCATCTCTCCCTCTCTGTCTGTCTCTAGCTTGAATTTGGCCTTCTCTCTGGTACCCAGGGAAACCGGCTTGTTTCCATGACAATGTCTGCGGGCAGAACAGTGTATTTGTCTTAAGCTGGATAAGATCAGAGTCAGTTTCATCCGTGTTAAAACACACACGCGCGCGCACACACAGATACACGCTGGCGTACACACAAACACATATACTTACACCATGGCACATATGCACAGAGGGCAGCAAGACACAGTCACTGGAAAATGTGAATTTGAGCATACATAAAGCCAAACTGTTGTGAAACAATGAGGTTAAATATAACCACGCAGACTAATTACAAGGCTCAGATTTGCATAGATGTTGTTCATACACACACCGCAGCGTGACACACATGCACAACTAATAAAAGCCCTTACAGCAGGTTGTTAACAAATAACAGGATCATAAAGGCCTCTTTTCATAAAGGTAATGAAATGGGCTTTTAATGAAAGCTGTGGCTATTTCAGTTGTCGGAGTATTGCCAGGCAAGTACCACAAATAATTAAATGTTCCTGCACAATACCTGCGACTGAGAGTGTGTGTAAGTGTGTGTTCACGTGTTTGTTCATGTTCTGGCAAACAGCAAAGAAATGAACTTCAAATGCCAGATGGGGTACTGGAGTGAGACGCCAATTGGGCCACTACCCTGAGCCCCAACGCAGGCACAAAGGAAATTGCTAGAACTGGTGAAAGACAATTGCATTCTCAACAAGATTGTTTCTTTCTAAAAAAGAAAAAAAAAAGGTGTGTGTTTGTGTGTACGTGTGTATTCTGGATGAGGCATCTGCATCTCTGATGAATACCATCCCGGTTGATGCGAGACTGTGTCATGTCGGGGAGCCCAAGGAGAGATGCAGTGCTCCTGCTGAGAAAACGCTGCAGTCTTATCTCCCTCCTTGTCTCCCTCTGCGTCTCCGACCTTCTCTTTCCAAACCTCTTTGGCATTCCCACTTTCTGAAGGCGCTCCTATCTTTCCTCACCATCACTTTTCTACACTCCTTTACCCCTATCCTGCCCACCCCCTCCTCCTTCCCTCCCCGCTCCCTCACGCAGCAAGCCTCCACTCTATCTTCTCCCTTCATCCTCTGTAAATGGGGAGTCCGTTTGATGTCTTTATTTTCGAGGCGATTACGGGGTGCATCAGCTTTGTGTGTTCCTATTAGCGCTTCTGTGAATGTGCAAAAATGCTAATGTGTACACTTGCTAACGGGATGGTAATTGCATACAATTACCAATAAATGTATACATTTACTTGTGGGATTGCGAAACATTTCCCATGGAGAGTTCGGTAACAGAGCATCTCCCTGATAATGCAGGGTAGGGCTCTGTATGTAAGGCTGTGACTTTCATTACAAGAGCTGCATGGGTGTTAAGCATTAATGAGTGCTGTTTTACAGCGTTATAATGGCTGTTAGTAGCTGAGAGAAGAGGCAGAATAAGACCCATTACGGAAAAAGGTTTATCTATAAAAATGGAGCGTTTTGCAAGAAAAACTTTGTTGGAATCACTGCTGATGGCCACAACAAGCACAACTTAGTTTTAACAGTTTGTTTTTTCCCTTTCAGCTCCAGATTTGATGCTCAGAAGCCAAAATTCATGGCAGTCAGTCGGCAGGCGGCCAATCAGCAGACACATGCCTCTTAACACCAAGCAGCTCTCTCTCACCTCGAGTTGGGTGATGCTCACTTGCCTGTTTGCTAGATTATGTCATTTTTAAAACATGTGCTAATGATGATGTGTGTGTGGAAAATATTTATGTATATTGTTGACATATTCAACATGAGGTAAAGAACTATAACAAAGCTTGTGTTTTGCTAACGGAAGTTGGTTATATTAGTTTATATTTTCTGAAGAATACAAAGACAAAATCAAACAAAATATCCTTTGAAAGAAGGAGCATAAAAATATCACAGTCTACTGATTTATGTCTATAAATCTGTAAATCTTAGTCTTACTCAAATTTTAACACCAGACAAACACATCCAAACTAAAGTTTTGTATTTACAATCCTGGCACTGCAGAGATTCGTCTATTTATCAACAGAAAGTCTGTCAACAACCATTTTGATTACCGAATGTTCGTCTCTGGTATCAGTGTCTCAAATCTGAGTATTCTATTTATTTGTTTCGACAATTTATTTCTTCAGGTGTGGAGACAGATATTTTTGACTAGGGTGGCCAAACTGGGGCTCTAAGGGTACACAAAAATTTTAACATCCAAGTGTAAATTTTGTCTAAACTTTGGAAATCTTTAAAGCTGCTGTCGGGAGTCTGTTGTCGTTAATGAAGTAGTCATTACTGAAATTCATACTGATTTCTTCTCATGACACCCAAAACCAAGCAAGACCAGCGATGACAAGACTGAAGATTTTTATATCCTAACTTTAAATGCCTGAATTGTTGGGAGGGGTCAGCCTTACAGTTTTTTTTAAACAATCTACACATGAAACATTCACAATTAATGATCCATTTCACTGTCATAAGTCAGCATTATGAGATATCGTCAGTCAAAACCCAGTACGAAAACAAGCAGAGGACAAGATAAGCAAGGCCTTCCTTGTCCACAGGGGGTGCTAAAATTGACCCAAACCAAAAGGTACTCATAGGAGCTTTGAGGACCAGAAAAGCTGGTCATCTTAAGTCACAATTTGAAGGTACAGTGTGTAGAAATGGGAGAATCTAGTGATTTGATCTGGTTGAAATAATGCTCACTCTCCTAATCAATTTAATAACATTGGTCTTTTAAGACAAGAAGCTCCAGTCATGCATGATAAATAATGTTACTCCACTGTCAAGTTTCACCACCTGAAATGTCTATCAACACAAATGATTTGACAAACAACAACCGCTCTCTTGTTTCTCTTCTTTGTCCTACAACTGATGCACGACCACAAACATGCACATGTTACTAAGTTGTCGGCTGTGTGCTACTGTCCCTCACTGTCCATTTATTAAAACCCATCTAAAAACCTACTTTTACTCCTTAGCTTTTGACCCAGCATGAGACGACATTTGTTTTATTGCTTTTTTATTATATTTTAAAACAACTATTTATTGTTGTTTTATGTTTTTATATTATTATGTAGAGCACTTTGTGTCAGCTTTGGTTGTTTTTAAAGTGCTCTATAAATAAAGTTGAGTTGAGTACAAACATGATGGTGCAAAATGGCAGCCTCCATGCAAGAGAGGCTCATTCTAAGTTATTCTTATATTCAGGTGATTACACACTCATTTAGACTTACTTACAAACATGATATTCATATCAGATACTACCCACTGTACCTTTAATCAAAGTACCATCTTTGATAAATTAAGAGGCAAGTCATTGTTGGGAATTCTGCCCCTACATACATCATAGTTTGGTTTTCAGCTATTGGTGATAAAGTAAATTAAAGACATCCCTTTACTTTTTAGGGCATTTATCACTTTTTACTTTTTCTTCTAAAAATAAGAATTGCTCAAGCAGCTAATCATTAAAACAAACCGGAGTGAAAAAGATCATTACTTGTGACTGTTGTTGATACAAAGCTGGAAAAGCGTCATGTCTTGCCTTTGTACTTAAGAAGAAAGTTAATGAAATCCTTGTTGATTAATTTTCTGAAAAGGCATTATTAATAAACCTAAAATATGTTTCATAATTAGGTCTAAGTGCCAGTTTTTTTTTAATATTTCAGAATAGTCAGCCCCTTGTGTGAAATTTATTATTAGGGCTGTTAGATGATGATGAGTAAGAGGTAGGAGACATGCTGTACTTTGCTGGTACCGACTGGTTCCTCTTGTCTTGGCGTCTGCTACCACTCCCAGCCCCACATATGGTGGAGTCAGCATGGTCCTCTCAGTATGTGTGTGTGAATGTGTGTGTGTGAGAAAAGCACGGACATTTGCACGTAGGGGAGGCAGTGAGAGAGAGAGGTGGAGGAGCAAAAAAACAAAGGGGACAATTTAAAGAGATATTCAAAGAGTGTGACACTGAACATGTGTGAGAGTGTGTGTATACGTGTTTCCTATGTGTGCGTCCATCTGTGTGTGTTTATGCCATAAGACAATGTGTTAAAATGAGCTGCTTTGATTGCCGACGCTTTATGAGTCACAAGTGATGACTCACAATCCACCTCCCCTGAAAAGGCACACACATTTAAACGCACACACACATGCGCACGCACACACACGCACCTCGTTCTCTTTCCTGCTTCATCCACTGACCGTGAAGAATATGTGCAGGCAGCCTTACTCATGCATATTTACACTGAACACACACTCACTCACCTACTCAGCGGCCACTCTCTAAAGGTTATTCTGTGTGAGTGTGTGTGTGTCTGTTTGTCGGTCCGTTCACGTAAGCGCGTGTATGTAAAGGTCACTTCAAGCGAGGCAGGCCACTTGTTTATGCCGTGCACAGATTGTAGGATGGATATCGAGAACACTTGAACATTTAGACAAACAACGGTTATTAGCGGGACAACCTGCCCGAAAGCTAAAAATAAATATCCTAAATGAGCATCGCTGCCAATTACGCACAAGAGCCGCTCCTCGATCCTATTCAGAACCCACAATCACTCATTCACCCAGGACCCTTCACGGTCTATTCTTGGCCAGACACAGAGAAGAGAAAGGGCAAAATCTGCTACTTGGCTTTAAGCACATTTTCCATCCAGATTATTGCTGCTCAATACTTTTCAGGGAGGAAAAAAAGGGAAAAAAAATCCATTTCCCCCTCTTCCTTTGGCTGCTCGATACTTATGAAAATCCAATTTGGCTCCCTCTTTTCTTTCTTCCCTCCACAATTCGTGCATTTTCACCCACTCAAAGTGATTAGTGATCTGCGGGTATCGTTTCCAGAGAGAGTGATAGCTGTGTTTTATGGAGGGGGGGAAAGGTCCAGGGCTCCCCATCAGGGCTGATGTCCCCTGGAGAATGACTGGGCTGGGAGGGCAGACGGGAGCACCGCTGTCCCTTTGCAGATACAGCCAGTTGCTCTACATCACAAGGGAGAAGACGACTCACTTTATCTCTCCCTCGCTTTCCTCCCTACTCCCTCTATCATTCATTCCTTTAGCTCTCCTCTTGCAGGCACACTCGCTTTTTCTCAATTTCTCCGGCACGCACACACACACACACACACGCTGTATATCTTTCTAAGACACCCCTCCCCACAGCCAATCCGCCCCCTCAAAGAAACTCATTTCAGCTTTGCGGGCTCCTCAAAAAGCCTCTTTACGCTGAGCTAACCTAAGCTAGGCTTCGTCTGCACCATTTGACAGCCTTTACATCTTAGTATGCAGAGCAAACACACGCACACGCATGCATGCGCGCACGCACACACACACATCCGCCGTCTTTTCATGCATACAGTTTTGAGAAAAAGACATCAAAGGTTGAAGAAAAATAAAAGGAAAATAACTCAACTACAGCTCTACATTCTACCTATCACAATACAAACATCTGTAATAGCCCGGGCATTCACTATACACAAATACGCCGAGTACATTCTGTTATGGTGCGAGAGACATATGTTAATACATGTCGGTCCTTAAGTAGGTGATTTAAAATGCTGAGCATAAGCCAGATGAAGCAATTAAATTTTCACTGCCACCTGGATGATTCACGGCAGACATTTTAAGGCAGGAACTCGAGCACTAGGAGTGTACTTAGCAATCAAAACATGACAAAAATGCACTGATAGAAATATACTTGTCAGAGTAGAGATGTCTCGCTGTGATAGATGGTTGAAGACATCATTTGCGCTCTATTCAAGATATTTCTATCCGCCGGCTTTTTTCGTTAAATAGCACATTTTCGCTGAATACACGGGGGCCCCGTCACAATGGGAGACAGCCGTCATCATGTCCTCTCTCATCCAATCAAAGAGCACAATAGACGCAGATCAGCGTGTCACGGTCAGGCCTGTCTTCATGTGGGTCAATCAGTGTATTCATCAGCATCATGCAGAGCCGGCTGATTCCGCGGCACCTACCTTCAGATTTTCAAAAGCACTGTCGGCCTAAGCCCCGGATCATTCAGACACATGCTTAAGTATGAGCTCTCTCTCTCTCCCTCTCCCTCTCTCACACACACATGCATGAACAGCTTACCTCGCTAAAAATGACACATTGCAATTTAATGTGAACCACCAAGTCATCAAATACGGCAGCTTGTTCGGAGGCCCAGTAACACAGAATTTGATCCTCTCTTCTGTTGTTTCTGAATGTTTTTATGATGTATGTTAAAGGCCTGAGGAAAATGTGCAATACTATTTGATTTTAGGATAACCTTTGATAAGATAAATAAAAAACTCTACGTTTTGTCAGTAAATCTATTCAGCAAAACTGCTACAACTTACGGTTCCTCTGTTTTTATCATATTTACACAGTACCTGTGTTTGTGAATCCACACATCTCCTGAATCCAAAATAGTACAACAGCTATTCTTTTTGGAGATCTTGATTTTTCTGTCTTTTCTTCCCTTCTCCTAAGTCACAGTGCCAGCTTACTTAGCAACAAGTTCACCTTAACTAATCTAAGGGAAGCTTTAGGCTAGCTCGAGTTTTATCTGATGGGCTAAATGTTGAAAAAGCCTGATCCATGTATCCAGGGCTCCATCTGATAGCTTGCAAACTGAGTGGGCATACAAAAGCATTCGGATGGCTGCCACAGTGTTCATAAAATTTATTTCCTTTATCATTGCATTTCATGCAGTTTTTCCAACAATATGAATAAAATGCAATTCATTATGCAGCCAGCTGGTCCAAACTAACACTGGAATTCATCCAGGACTCTGCAGCTTGATTTGCTCGCAAAATGTTTGCAAAGGCAGTCGATGTTTCAGTCCTTTAAAGGTACAGGACTGTGGTTTAATACAGTGACACAACTTAGGTCCATGAAGACGGTACAAACTGCCTATATCTTCAATTAATCCAAATTGTAATTTTTTCTTGCCTAATTTTTTGTTGCCTAAACCTAACCAAACAGCAGATGTTTGTGGTATATTTGAGAATTTCACAGTTTGGGATCAATAAAGTATATCTATCTATCCTTTTTTAAATAAATGCAGGTCTATAAGTTGTAAGATGTGAATAACTTTTCAGTCAGCTCTTGTAGAAAATCTGGGCAGATGTTTCTTGAGTATGACTGTCTGCCTGGACGCTTTATTTTGAAAGATGTACCTTTAAGACTGCATATTTTTAAAGTATTGCTACAGCGTCAATAGAATTTATAAGATACGGTTGTAGTCCTTGATATGTTACCTTGTGGTATCTTAAGTCCATTTATTGTTATCGAGGTGAACTGCTCAATATATCGTGATATTGATTTGAGGCCATATCGCCCAGCCCTTATCTCAAGACCATCAGTGGAGGGCACTAAAACAGAAATGCTGACTAGTCCTAACTTGCGATCAACATTGACTCAGGCAAAGAAGTGGAAGAACTTAGATGTGCCCTTAATTATGTAAATTTATGTTTTACTCTTGGCCTATTATCCCAATAAATGCATCATGACAAAAATCCTTCATTGTGTGCAGGAATAAATAAACCATATCAGGCTGTAACCATGTTTAATTTTTCTGTTAAGTTAGGCATTTTAACATGAGACCTAATGGGGTTTCCTTGGCTTCTGCAGCCTTTGTCAAGTTGACACTCAAGGAAATGCAGTTTTTGCACTCCCACAATGAGTCATTTTTTAAACTGGACGTTGCTGCTTTGTTGCACTTAAATAAACACATTTTGAAGCTTAGGGCCTAAATCAAGCTGGCATACTCGACGAGTTGTTACATGTATCACAACTCACATGGAACTTGAAGCCAATGAGCTCTAAATAACTGCATCACCATCCATACATACAAGAGCCTCCAACACATTAAAGCTCCAAACCATCCAGAACAGCTCATTAGCCATAAACATGAAAAAATCAGAGGGTACCTCCAAGCTTTCCTAAAATCACAGAGGGTGGTGTCCCAAAACAGCAAGAAAGAGGGCAGGGACAGAGGGAGAGAAGGAAGAAAGAGGGCAAGAAGACAGGGAAGCCAGAGTGAGTTTGTTCACCGGCAAACATTTTGAAACAGGCAGAGCACAGGAGGTGGTGTTTAGGGATGTGTTCAAAAACACCGGGCATCTTGGGGTGTTTAGGTAAACAGCATTGCTCTCATTCACAGAAACATCTGCGCAGATTCACATGTGCTCCCCAAAGCGTGAGCAGGAGTCCATGTGAGGACGAGCCACAGCGAAGCGAGACATGCTGGAAGCCGATGAAAAAAAAAAAGCCAATGTGGATGAGTGTTCCTGTGAAAACTGCCACAGTCATTGATCTGGACCATGATGCAAAAGAAGCACACATGCACACATACCGGTATGATTACAGCGTGCATACACACACTCGAACGCCTCCTGCCCCCTCAATCGAACTCTTACATACAGATGAGAGAAAATGAAATGAGGTGAAAGAGTAAAGACTAAGTCAAACCATCCGAGGAGTTAGTCGGTCAGTCGGCCCTTAGCTCCATTCCCATGACCTGCCAATTCTAAGCCAGCCAAGCGCTGTCAAGCTGCAGCCGCCTACACCCTCCCATTACTCCCTCCCACATCAGCAGTCATGATAATAGGATTTATCACGGCAGAAGTTGCTCTCAGGCTCATCACTCCCTTGGAAAAGTAACCTTAAAGGACGTACTTCATTTGATATTATTTAATTGTTCTACTGCAAAAGCAAGAGTCATCCATTTCAGTTTAAATTAAAACTGAAATTTCTGATGAGACCAAATGGGACCGTTTTAAAATGAAGAAATCTCAATTACAGAGCGAGAAAAAACTGACCTTGGTTCAGTGCCTAGAGAGACAACTTCCTCCTTCGCCAGGTGGTGATGAAGAGGGGGGAGGGATTCAGGGAGTTGTGAGTGTAGGAGTGAGGAGATTGGGGGAAGGGGGGGGAGGGGTGATGGTATAGCAGAGGACAACAGGAAGTGAGGTAAGAGGAGGCCATACCTTGGTCGCCAATCATCAGGTGTGCCAGACCTTAAAGGAAGACAAGAGCACAGTCAGCACAGCAAAGGATCATGGGGTGTGAAGTATGTGCTTGTGCATGTGCATTAATGTGCTTTTAGGTTCTGTCAGTGACATGCTAATGACAGCTCGAGTGCTCTGTGTAAAAGAGTGCACACGTATGTGTTAGTCTTCTACATTACTGCATATTCCTAAAGAGGAAAAACTGGCTTCGGAGAAACTTACTCATCCCAGGATTGCAGCGATCCTATGCACACATAGGTACGAACACAGCGCTATAACTAGATCATGTACAGAACAGAATCTGTGTGTGCTTTTGTCTGTGTTATCTCGAGTCCAGTTCAGATGATTGCACATGGGATGTAAAACTTACCGGCGATCAGCAACCAATCCCCACATACCCACACAGACCCACAAACATTTACACAGGCTACCTTGAACAGTAATTTCCACTATAAAAAGTTAGAAAAAAAAAAGAGCTAGAGAAGAGAATGTAAAGGACAAGACTCGAAAAGATATAAAAGGTGGAGAGGAATGCTGATAAAATGACAGGCTTAGGAAGCACTAAATAGTTCATAAAAAAAAAACAGTATTACAGTGAGGAGAAGAGGGGATTAGATAGAGAGGATGGAAGAGCAGAGAAAGATATCTAAATGCAGACAGACATCTGAGTAGGAGAGTCAGATAGACAGATAGATAGACAGATAGACAGATAGATAGATAGATAGATAGATAGATAGATAGATAGATAGATAGATAGATAGATAGATAGATAGATAGATTGATACAAAGTGCGACCTACCTGGAGTGTAGCTGTGCTCTGGAAAGGTGTCGCGGCCGAGCGAGGAGAGAGAGAGACAGACATTCATTAACATGCATGCTAAGCCCTTGGGTTACCATGGCTACTTACTGTACATGCACACCCGTCCAGTGTTACCAGGGTAACATACATGCAAAATAAATAAATAAATGAATAAAAAAATTCACACAAACGTCACAATGGATACCATGCTGCACTGGTAGCCAGAACTGAGGTTTGTCTATATGTATCTATATTTCTATAGATAGATATATACGCACACTGCAGCAGTATATATTTAAAAAAAAAGTCTCTTTATGACTCCACATGTGTGCATACACATTTACGTAAGCACACACACATTGACACATATCCACCCACACTTTCTATACAAAGGGTGGGGGGTGTGGGGTGAAAATACACGTTCCTACCTGGATGTTTGGATTCAAGAGCCGTTTTACCCCAGAACTTACCTTGCAGCAGCTTCCTCTCCCCAGAGCCCCCCGACAGATAGCATGCAGTACACACACGCACACACTCATACACACACGCATTCAGTCCCACAGTCTTTCTTCCTTTTACACATACAGGCACACATACACTTACATCGACTATGGCAGTAATAATGGTGTGAAATAGCAGGGAAACATGTAGGGATGGATTAGCAGTGCAGGAAAAGGACGAGGGGCATGCATGGTTCAATACTGGGACTGATTGTGTGTCTGCGTGTGTGTGTGTGTTTGTGTGCATATGAAATTGCGCCTGTGTGTACTCTGAGCTTAGTGCGGTTCATCTGAGTGTTCCCATTGCCTCTGCCCTTGTGCTAGTAGCATGGCAGAAACAGGTGGAGCCATTAGCATGCTAACAGCGATTTGCCCTCAAGGACAATGCAAGCCAAGCCAGGCCTAACAAGCCAGGTTCACTCTGTCTTCACTGCAGGGCAGAGCGGCTTAGACAGTAATTACATTTATGCATAACCTGATTCATACTCTGTTGACTTTTTTTTTGCCGGAAAAAAAAATCTCCTTAATAATATTTCCTCTCAAAAAACAGAGGGACTCATGTGTTGAGGAGAAACAACCCTCCTTATGCGGGTCTATCTTTCTGCTTACAGTATACATAACTTCAGAAATGATTCTGGTCACATAAATGTAAGAATATGTTTGTGAATAAAAGTGGATCATCAGTGAGCCTTGAAGATATCCTGTAATTGTAATCGTGTATGGAAAATAACACAGCCAGATTGCATATTTCTGGCTTCAAACACCGTCCTTAGGATCCATTTTTTCCTCCAGCAGAGCACATTCATTCTCTATTAAAGATTCATAACTGAGCTTTTTCTTTTTTTTTTCTAATTTTCAGAGGGTTATAATTTTATCTCTGGGCTTTATTGTGCAGCTTCGGTGAGGTGTCTGAGTTCAAAATAACAATAATTTCAAGGTAAGAAATAAACCTTTATAGCCGAGCCTGCCTGACTCTTGCAGAACAACTGCTGCAGCCTGGACTCACATGGTTGCAAATAATGATCCCCCCATTCACCAAATAGAAAATTACAGCTCCATCAAACACAATCAACATTTCACAAAGCCTTGGGTGCGATTTACACCTTTTTTTCCTTTAACTTCAGGTTTTATCATCTACTCCTTTCTTCTTTCAAGCTAAAAAAAGATCCCCTCTGAGACTCTATAAGGTGATGACTGATGCATGGATACCATCTGATCCATAATCATCTGTTATCTAATAAGAAATGAACAAAAGGGGCCAGTTGTGAGAAATACATTTACCGTGAAACAACAGTAACCACACTCCAAAGACCGTCCTGTTATTCTGAGGAATTTGCATTTGTTTTCAGAACTCCTACAGGTGTATAAGAAGAATCGCATGTCTCCAAGAAAAGCCTCCTTTTAACTGGAAATGCTCTTGACCTTGAGTCTCTTTCCTGAGCTAATAACCGTGGATAACAACAATATCACTACCAGCGAGCTACAGAAAAGGAGACATGAAGTATTTTACAACCCAACATTAAGTTATCCTCACCTTTTTATAGTTATAATCCAAACCCAAACCAGTCCAAAACATTACAACCATACACACAAATCAAAAATGGAAATAAAAACACAGCAAAGGATCTTCGTGTTTCCTGTTTCATGTCACGGCTCGAGAAATCAAGAAAAACTACCGGGTATATTTTATCTTCAGAGTCAGAGATATTACTCCGTCCTTTTTTTTCCATCAAAACATGAATTTGCAAATTGTCTGGCAGTCTCACAAAACAGCTAAAAATCTATTCAGTAATAATGCAATAAGACTATTACTGCTGCTGTGTGGCCCAGCTCAGGTTAGATTCAATTTTTCGCAAACAATACACAGCTAAGAACAGTTTCAATTATCTTTATTTGACAGCCGCTCTTAACTGAAGAATACGATGAAAAATGAAAATACAACATTTGATGCCTCTGAGGTTTTTTAAAACATCTCTATCTTTCCCTGTTCCTTGAAAATAGTCATAACCACATGGATATCTGTCTACGAGAATCAGCTAACGGATGATGTATGGTTAGCCTGTGGTTATGGAAAATAGAAACCAGGTCTCTCGTCACTCTGAGGGGGATTAAATTTCACATAACCACAGCCTAACTATACATTATCCTGCTGATACTTAAACCAGAAACTAACTTTAATTTTAAGATGATTCTACTGATTCGAAAATGACTTTTTTGCACTTGTTTTTACACTGGCTTTCTCTTCAGCTGTCAAACCAGTCCATAGTGAAGTCTAAATATTCGCTTTTTTTCTTGTTGGCATTCTGAACAAATGTAGAGAATAACAGCAGCACCTGCAATGGTTATTCTTCCTTATAACTTTTCTATGAGCCTTCCCTTCTCTTTTAACTGATCCTGTTACACTGCCATGGTCCACACCGTGTTGCACTTTGTGGTTACTTCAGGATTCCTGCACAGTTGGAATTTCCATACCCTACTTTTTAGAATTATTTTTGGAAATACCTAACTTTTCTATTTCAGAAAACAGTGTTTTAAAACTGTGGTAATTGTCTGGAAACATCAATATTTTTCCATACTTCATTTTTCATTTTCCATACTTTTTAAGACCTGGAAATTGATCAAATTTACTTCCATACTTTTCATACATGCGTAGGAATCCTGTTACTTAATATCTGTTTTCTTCACTCAGGTCCTTTGTGTGTTTTTACATCCTTCACTAATTTCTGCACTACTTCACCACCTCTTGTCCTCTTGTAATAAAAAATGTCCTTCATATTGTTCAGTGATATTATCACTTACTCACATTTTTTATCAGATTGGCAGCTAGAAGAGGTGAAATCATACACAGTACACTAGATGCGCTATAACTCATTTCTGAAGCTTGATTTGATCTGCGTGACACGTGTGATCAGGTTGTCCCTAGTGTCGCCTTTGCTATTCAGAATTTATGACTGTTGTCAAGGCGTATCGACCAATCAAAATCAAGTAATTAACACAGCTGGATGATTAGTGAGAAAGTGGGGTAATAACTCATAAAAACCACCAGAGACGGGTAAAAAAAACTGAGTCAATCTAACCTGGAAACAAAAGGAATAACTTGAGAGAGTTTCTGACACTGATATCTGGATTTAAACAACCTCAGTGCAAGACCTGAGCATTATTTATCCTCGTAACTATATATTTACTCATGACAATAATCAAATACATAACTGCTCACCTCATATATATCCATCTAAGTGCACCTCCTAACTGGAACCTTTTTATGAGACAAACACTACTTATATCATCTGCTATTACCATGAGAAAAATAGGGTTAGCACTTGTTCTCCACGGCAACACTTGGCATCACTCACAATTGAGATGTGAGTCTGTCTCTAGGAATATAAAACACCCTCTTAAAAAGGTCTAAGTAGCCTCTTGTTATGCGACAAAGTGCCGGTCCAAAGCAGGTAGTGAACGTGGAGAGAGCCTTGATATAAAATGTCTGCACACCTCCCATTTAGCCTGCACAGCTACACAGCTCGCAGGTACCTCAGTGTTGATGTGACTAATGGTGGTGCTGAAGCCCGCAAGCTGTGTGAATGTTTTCCTCCATGTGCTTGTATGTTTGCGTTAGATGTGTTTTTGTGTTCAGGTGTGCGTGTGTCAGTGCTGTCTGTGTCTCCTACTGTGCTTCTAACCAGCAGCAAAACAGCAGACTGGATTAGACTGGCTTGGCTCACACATAATCTCAGCACAGCAGCACTGGGTTTCTGCAACAAGCTGATCACAGCTTCACCTGTCACTTCCTGAATATACACATACCCCACACACACAGGAGTTACTGATCAATCTGTCAATGATTGAGGTTTGTTTTTGAAAATTTTGGTGCACAGATGACCCAAATATAGTTAAAACTATCTTTAGTTAGTTATTAAAGCACAGTAGGGTCTTCAAACTACTAAAACGGAAAGAAATCTAAGCTAAGAGAGGAGAGATGTTTGGCATTTTGGTTCTCTCAACGAAATTTTGGTTCTCTAAACTAAATAATTTCTTAAAGCTGAAATTAGCCGTGATTTCCAAAATCTATTTATCTTCAGATTATTCACTTGAGTAGTAGTTTTGTCTATAAAACACCTAAAAAATTACACACAAAGATTTGCTCTCAACTTTTAAAGAAAATCAAGAAGAGCAGCATATCCTCACATTTTTGTAAACAGGAAAGCGTTTTGCATTTAAAGATACAGAGAGTAGAAGTTTAAGTATCTTACATCTTCTTCCACCTGGATTGCCGTTTGTAAGACCATGCACTCAATCTAAAAGTACATAGATGTCATCAGTTTGACTGCTCTGTGCTATGGTGGAATCATGTCGTTGCAAAAGATGGCAGCCCACATTAAAGGCAACTTGCTCCAGTTTACATCGTCAATAAAGATTAGAAGATTTTTATATTCAGGTGGTTAAGCACTTATCTAAACATACATATGAATTTCATTTCTACCAAGTCTGTTTTGCTAAATGCTAGATAGCTACAACACACTGTACCTTTTAAGTGTGAGACTAAAACCAAAACAGTAGATTTTATCTGTTTTTTAGACCATTTTCTTAGTTTTCGCTGTCCTTAATCTCCCCAAATTGAAAAAAAAAACCGTCTCTTCTCCCCATCTCAAACTATTTCCCCACCATTGATCAGAAACTCCAGATAGAGAAAGATTGAGCTTTCAAGCGTTCATTAGACGGAAATGTTCTTTATCTGTTTCTTATTAACCACTTTTGAAGATATACAGTTATCTACAGTCTTTCTTGTCATTTCATTTCATTTTGTTTTATCCTAGTCACTGTTGTTTGTGGGTCTCTGTGCTTTATTTGTTAAGTGTCTGTTGTAATTTCAGGATTGTGGGTTCTATAAAGCACTTTCTGATGTTAGTTTTAAGGAAGTGTCATATCAAAATTATAATTATTATATTATAGAAATCCGTAGTTGTCAAAACATTTACTGAATTGCTCTGCCAACCATCTAATCACCTCTCACTTCAGCCTCACAAAAGTTATTCATTAATTCTGGGCAAATTATTTCAGCACACACCATCAGCTACCACCCCCACCTGCTTGGGAAATCAAAACCAGCACCTTAAGGTTAACCATAAAAAAAAAAATACAAACACACTCAACACTTTTAGCATGAAAATACAGAAATCTTTTGGCAGACAGACTGCCTGAAGGTGCTAACAACTGGTTTGAGAAGTGAGCAGCCCAGGAGACCAGGAGGAGGGGGAAGTTGAAGCTGGGGGGGTAGGGAGGAAGAGCGAGGACACAGAAACACTCCTGGCATGAGGTCTCCTTATTAGTCCTGTCTCCATGGTAACCCAGGCCATCCCACTGTCCGCTAAATGCTAGGGTGTGATACGGTGGGTGGCTGAGGGGAGGTGTGATGCTTACAGTGGTGCTGGGTGGGGTGTGAGGTCAACTCGGTGACAAATTGCGGCCACACAACAAGGCCACTCGGCCGGATTTTGCGGATACAAATTTGAGCCATGGAAACATCAATCACCGAGGTATCGCTGAGAGGTATCATGGGTAAAAAATTACACGAGTTGAGAGTGCTATTGATTAAGAATGCAGATTCGCTGCAAATGAACCTAACGACACACACAAGTGAGCAGAGGAAATGAAAGCATTTGCAGTCGTGGCCATAACAAGGTAGCTGAGTTCATTAAGCAGCTGTTTCATTTTGTAATGGCCGTCATTACAATGTCCTGTGCTGTATATGGGCACTTGTATTGACCAAAGGCTTGTTTGACAGGATTGAACGAAGGCAGTTCTGGTAAAGTTTAGATAACAAATCATTTAAGAGCAGCCTTTTCTTTTGCTTCTCAGTTTTAAATTTCTATTTCCTTCTCTGTAGAACAAAAACATCCTCAACATGCTCACACGTACTGTACTCAAAACTGCATCTTAACAAGCTGCAAGCTGTTCAAATAAATGGTAGGCGATAGATTGTACACACTTCATTTCAACACTGTGCATTGTACCTGTGAAGGCCATCTAGAATCAATGCAAATCCATTAACACAGGCAGCCAGATGTCAGCCATGTAACAACCACTGATTTCCAGCCTCTCAGCCAACTTCCAATTAAAGTCTCTCAATGCGAGCCAACAGCCACATCCATAATGGATCTATATGGTTATTGTGTTTTGCCAAACACGCCAACTGAGCCCTACTAGGTTTTTGACGCCGCAGACAGCCAGGTAAAGCGTTTCAATCAGTTCCAGGAATTCGCCTCAAAAATTGTCACGCTCCAAGCCCCTTAATGCTGCTCGAATCAGGATTTTAGCTGCAGTTAATCTAAATTGAATGCACTTTTAACTCCTTGCTCTGGAGGTAAATACTTAATGGCATCCATGAGAAATCAATATCAAACATAATCAGTAAGCATGTCTCGCGCTGTTTGTGAAGGCTGTCGGTCCAAACACATGAGTTGAAGGCAGCTGTGAAGGTGTGAATGGAAAATAGATTCTGGGTCTACACTGCAGCACTTGTGTTGTTGGAATTAAATTTTGCTTCATGTGCTTGTTAGTTTTTACATGTATGGGTGTGGGTGTTAAGGATGAAATGTATATGATGGGTCAGCATGGTTCTGGGCCTTACCTTCGCTGCAGTCATTGCCTTGGAAACCGGTGTCGGAGCAGTCGCAGACGGCCTGGTCGTTGACCACGCTGCACACCCCTCCATTCTGGCACTGGTGGTCCGGCCCACATCCAGCTGTTACCGTGACGCCCTCTGAACTGTCCAGCGTCACCAGGGAGCCGTTGATGCTCACCGCCGTGATCCAGCCACGGAAAGAGGGATGTTCCCTCACAGACGGGGACGTGAGGCGTAGCGGCGAGGAGTGAAGCTCCGGCGTCACCCCGCCCATGAAGGTGTGGCTGAATACTGTCATATCTCTTCTTTTGCTCTTCACTTCCGCCCATCCTTCAAGTCGTCCATCAACCTCCAATGAGGTGTTCCTCCAGTCCCGTTTGACACGCACTGCATGCCAGTGCCCATCGCTCACCGCAACACCTGATTGTAGCTCTGCCGGCTCAGCGCAGAAGATGGAGAACCTCAGTCGGAGATGGCCTTTGAGAAGCAGTAGCTCCAGGAAGTCGCAGAAGCCCTCATCATCCAGGTAGAGCAGCAGGCCCTCCTGGCTGTGAGTCCGCAGGCTGAAGCTCAACACGCTCTCGCAGCAGGCGTTCCACACCGGGAACCTTCCCCACTGGCTGGACACGCCTCCGAACTCCAGAACTTCACCTTGGGCCTGGCCCCCCACACTGCACAGGCACAGCCCCAGGAAGAGCAGGGGGGCTGCCGCCCAAACACACACTGCCATCACACTCATACACACACTCACTCTCACACTCACACACACACACGGGAGGAGATAAAGGCTAGAGCTGAGGTGTTCCCTCTAGCCTACAGCTCATGGTGACAACTGTAGGGCACTTTATTGAACACTTTCTTTGTACCTAAGGTGTACCCTGCTATTCAGGGATTCTCTCCACAACAGGAAGTGACTACTCTGAGTAAAAAGAGGGGCCAAACTGCAGCTCCCTTCCTCCTTCAACGGTTTGGGAAATCTTCTCTTCCTTTGCGTCTTCTTTGAATCTTCTCTGGGATGATTAGCGTTTTTTCTCCATTCAGTCTTTCATTCCTCACTTCTGACATACGAGACTCCAGGTGTGTGTGTTTGTGTGTGTATCTGAGTGAGTGTTAGATACATGACGAATAGGGTGCAAACTCCATCTTTGTGCCCTAGATAGGGCCTTATCCCCCATGAAGGCAACTCCCCACGGAGTACGCGAGTGTGTGTGTGGGTTTGTGGATCACACATTGGTAATGGAGAGAAATGACCCCGTCATAGCTGAATTTTTCTCCCCCGCTTTCCTGTCCTAGCAGGGCAAGACTTAAAGTGTGTGTGGGCCAATATGTGTGTGTTTGTGTGTGTATGTGTGTGCGCAAGTGAGGTGTGTGTCTCTCACTGCCACGTCATCACTCTCTCCAGCGACCTACAGAGAGAACAGAGACGGCACAATCAACCAGGGTCACACACACACACACAACACACATACGTAAACACCAATCCAAAAACTCTCTCACTCACACACACACACACACACACATATACACACACCACAAGCCTCCCATTATTCTCAAATTACTCTCTCTCATGCATTTTGTGCGCACACACACACTTCATGATCACATTTCACATTGAACAGGCCCAAATACAGACTATCTAAGAACAAACTGAATACACACACACAATAAAAAACTAGATCCTTTACTTCCTCACAGCCCACACAAGAATGACTTAAGCTAACTCATACTGTGCAGTGAAGGAACGCGCACATACACAAACAGCACCTCCTCAGTAGGGCTCCCATCATGCCGCAGGAGAATTTTATAAGAAAGGGCTTACCTGCGACTGCCAACATCACGTCGACATTTCTCTATCACTTAATGACAGTTGATTTTATTTTGAAAGGGTAACTTGAACCACCTAGCTGTGTTGTCGTTGTTGCTGTTTAAATTTTCGCTTTTATTTTGTAAATGGAAATTAACGACGGTTGGCAGTTGGCGGTTGGCTCCTCGCGCCACCGTCAAGGATTCTCTTTAGCTTCATCACAAAGAGCGGGAGGAAAGCTCTCGCGCGCTGCGGCGGATGACTCAAACCGCCTCGCTTTATCGAATTAACGGCGGCGAAGATCGTTTTTTCTAATAACTGACCGCATTCAGACTAAAAACACAACACACACCGGCTTCAAACTGTAACACAATCGTGAAAAAAACACACGAACTCTATCTGAGGTAGGATAGTTTCTTCTTTGTGAGTCCAATCTTGGGAAGAAAAGAGGCGACATCATAGTTATTGATAGACAGGGTGAATGACTGCGGTTGAAATATCGATTCTCGATTTGCGGCCATACCTCGTCTCCATTTTTCCTCCTACGCGCCCTTTACTTGGCTACATCACCGGCGCCGTTACTACACTTTACGGTAATTACTTTTCTTTTCCATCACTCTGTAACCGCTTCGGTTGTCAACACAACCTGTAACGGTGATGTGACAGCCTCTCCCAGGCAAATTAAACACAAAACCGGTGGCGTTTTTTCCTTTTCTTTTTTTCCTCCACCTCACACACAGCTTAGAAAACCGACCTACCTCGAGCACATCCTGTGGTTCCGTGGCAACAGTGCGGCGCGCGACTCATCGATTTCCCTTCCCATTTGAGGAGAACCTGGAAACCCGCGAGAGAGGAGACAAGCACCCGCGCACCTGGTGGTAGATAGAGCCGGTCTACCGGACAGGGACAAAATTATCACAGGCTCCCCTCCAGGCGACAAGGTGCTATTGGTCTCCCCCTCGCCCGCGCGCTCACTCTCCCTTCCTCTCTCTGTCTGACTCGGTGTCTCTCTCTCTTTCTCTCTCTCTCTCCCCCTTCGTTCTCTTGAGGAGGAAAAGGTGCAGTCTGATGCTCTCTGCGAGACTCGGCAGAGGGAGAGTCACGTGGTCGCACGAGAGAGCGAAAAAGCGTGTGTGTGTGTGTGTATGTGTGTGTGTAAGTGAGAGAGATGGAGAGAGGATGGGCGGGGCCGCGCGCTGCTGCAGCACCTTGGACAGCGCGCACTCACCGCCCGCACGAAACAGAAACGCAATTACCGGAGGCAGAAAATAAGGCGAGAAAACCGGGCTGGATCTGAATGATTAAATCCGTGAGTGACGGTGAAGATGGCCTTTACCTCACTTGTGTTTCAAGAACGAGTGTAAGGGAGAAAACAATTTCGGTGAACTGTGGGGGGAAGGAGACAGAAAGGCCGTCTCAATTTACAAATCTCTTTTACTCTGTTTGTTTCTCTTACTCACAGTTACAGACACACACACACAGCATAAAACACACACACTCAATTTACCTGAACATACACACGACTTTTTATGGCAATACAGGCCAAAGGGGCTATATGAACACAGTTTAAAGGGATATTCCAGCGTAAAATTGAGTTAGGGTCCAACACACCACAACACCAAGTTAGACACAACCTTGAGAGATGAATGTCGCCAACCGCTTGCTTCTCTAGTTATACCAACTTTAGTAACGACCACACGATAGCAATATGGCGAGCCACACGCTCAACCAAAACGCCACTCTATAGCCACAAATAACGCACAGAGCAGCATCTAACTTCATCAACAGTATATATAGGGTCCCAGCCATAGCACTAGACACCAAACATCTTTTTAACTTTGCCTAATTTCTTTAGCAAAGAAACTAAACACAACTCACCTACTCTCTTCCAGCAGCCACTTGTTTGTTGCAAGACCTCGGGCCAGTCCATAACTACAGCGGGGTGACGCAGCTCAAGGAAGAACATTTACGATCATTTCTTCATGGAAATGCAATCAGACCAAGACGCTACGGTAGAAGAACTACCGTGTCTGCAATGCAAAATGACTAATATGGTGATTATTACTTATAGGAAATAATAAAGAAATGATCATAAATGTTCTTCCTTGAGCTGCATCACCCCGCTGTAGTCCGTAATGGACAAGCGGCTGCTGGAAGAGAGTAGGTGAGTTGTGCTTAGTCTCTTTGCTACAGAAATTAGACAAAGTTAAAAAGATGTTTGGTGGCTAGTACTATGGCTGGGACCCTATTTGTACTGTTGATGAAGTTAGGTGCTGTTCTGAGCATTATTTGTGGGTATGGAGTGGCTTTTTGGTTGAAGTTATTACTAAAGTTGGTTTAACTAGAGAAGCAAGCGGTCAGGAACATTCATCTCTCGAGGGCAGTACAGTGTAATTTTATGCCGAAATATCCCTTTAAACCTATTTTAATTATGGTTTTGATCACATTTACTTGCAGCTCTCTCCTTTATAGTTTGACAGTATAAATCTCTATTTTGTTTAAATGTCTTAATAATTTCCCCTTTTTTTTCCGCTTCTATCACATAAATTACAAACCTTAACTAGAAAAATTAAAGAAGAAGCCCTGAGAAGTAGGACATACTACACTTCAGTGCTGTGATCTTACATCAATGTTACAGGATTTCCAGCAGCACAAAGTTATCCTGCAATCAATGCTAAGAGGCACCATGGTTTATGATGTTCTGATAATTCAACTCTTTCTGGTAATATTCCCGAGAGGCACACTGTGGGAATCTTAATCAAGTTTTCAGCCTGTTTTAATGGTCCAGCTCCTCACTTCAAATCTAAAACAAGCGACATAATAGGCCGACAACAAACACCTATATTTTATTCAAGACAATTATGGGCTTTTTAATTACAACCATTAAATGGAGACACTTTCTTGTTAAAATGCCACAGTGCCCTGAAAATCAAGTCCGCAGGAAAATTTACCCAGTTTGGTGAGAGGCCTTAAAGGGAATTTCTTTTGCTATGTTTCACTTTGTCAGACAGAAATGCTTCCCCAGGTTGTGTGTATTATTTCCAGAATATCTCTGCTGGAAAAAAAACACTCACACAATGAAGAGTCCTTCTTTCTCATAGATATTGTATATTGTTGATTTAGCTAATTAATATTCAGGCAGTGATAATGGTAAATACTAAGCTACAATAACCTCCTACTCAGCCAAACCAGTGGACAATACAGTGAATCACTGTCCTTAAAGTGATAGTCACATACTTTTTCAAATTTGACTAATAATCATTGAGTTAAAATGTGTCATTACGAAACGTGACCAAAGTTTCAAATTGTGAGGCAAACACGTGTTCGATGAATCCAAGGATGACACTGCAGGCTGCTCTGAACAGCTTGTTCAAAAAAGTCACATGAAAATCTGTGAATAAACATAAAAGAGCATAATAAATGTAATACTAACCACACAGAAATGTCCTGGTCCAGCCTTCGTTGCTGGATTTTCCAGTTGTTTTCCTGATGTTGCCTTTCCAAAACAACTTTGCAGCATGACAACAACGGAGGAGGTTTCTTGAGTGCTGGGGGGAGAAATGAAGGATTTTAAAGACAGCAGCCTGAGACTTTCTTGACAAGTAAGCCATGCCCAGCTTCAGGAATTATGCAGGGGTTATTACAAACCATTGTGGTGGAAAGGTGGTTGACCCAAAAGGGCAAGTTTTTGATTCACCAGGTGATCTACTTTCCGACCTTCAACCTAAACGTGACCAAACTGCAGGCTGCTCTGAACAGCTTGTTCAAAAAGTGGCACTAGAATCTGTGAATTACCATAAAAAAAGCATAATAAATGTAATACTTACCACACAGAAATGTCGTACTCCAGTCTTTGTTGCTGGATTTTCCAGTTGTTTTCCTGATGTTCCCTTTCCGAAACAACTTTGGAGCATGACAACAATGGAGGAGGTTTCTTGAGTGCTGGGGGCAGAATTGAGGGATTTTAAAGACAGCAGCCTGAGACTTTCTTGACCAGTAAACCATGCCTAGCTTCAGGAATTATGCAGGGGTTATTACGAACCATTGTGTTGGAAAGATGGCTGACCCAAAAGGTGATCTACTTTTCAACCTTTGACCTCGGTAATACATTTTGTTTTAAGGCTTGAACCAGAGGGAATTCATTTCAGCCCCTTAGATCTGCAATCAACGTCTTTTGAAGGTAAGAAGCCTGGACATCTTGATGGAGCTTTGAGTAGATCTGCTGCTCCTTCTCATTGAAAAGGTGCTAGTTCAGGTGGCTCAGATATCTGATTAGGAAGCATCCTAGGCTACAGAGGAGACCCCAGGGTAAACTCAGAGGTCGCTGGAGGGATTATATATCCCATCTGGCAGGGAACGCCACCGGATCCCCCAGGAAGAGGTGGAAAAATGTTGCTAGGAAGAGACACATCTGAGGAAACTTGCCTAGCTGGCTTTCAATATTGCTGGAGAGACAGATATGAGAAGGAAATGAATGAATGGACAGAGAAATATCACAAATGTCCAAGCGCCTTTACACAATTGGCCAAATAGTGAACAAGATCCTGGTACGCCGGTGTATCAACTTCATCAATCAATTAATCAATTTTGTTAATACAGTACCAAATCACAACATGAGCTCTCCTATGATACTTCACACAGAGAACAGGTAAGGTAGACTGTACCCTGTCATATTCCAACCCAACCATGATCCACTAGCAAGCACTGCAGTACAATAGCAAGGGGGAAAAAATCCACAGACTAAAGCAGATTTATTGGTGGACAGCCATCTGTGGTCTTGTGTTGCTTCAGGCTGTACAATCCATTCACTGTCCATTGATATAGTCAGGGCACTCCCCCCCTGCTGGGAGCAGTGAAGCCAAAATGGTTGATGTGTGGTGGAAACCAAGGCATGCACAAAAGCTATCAGGCTGCTGGAGCCAGGGGATTGATGTCACACCCCTACGGTCACCCAATAACCCAAACGCACATTTAACGTGACATCAAAGATTTCCCCAGATTGGTTAAGTCCACAGCAGAACACTTTCTTGTGATGATTTGAAGCAAACATTTATGGCTGTGAAAAGTTCAACTCGTGTCAGGTTCTGTTTTCTTTCACTGTTCCTTCTCGAATCTGCAAAACCAACTAGAAATGCTTCAGGGGCTTCTGCATTGGCCAGCAGAGCAGTTTTTTTTGACATCACATAACTGATTTAAACTACAATAATAATAAAAATGAACAGTTGCACATAAATTTTACTACTTTGAACAAAAGCACACTTAAGAAAAAAATCATCTGACATGCAGTTTAATTTTTGGATGTTTTATACAGTCTGATACAGGTTGTTTTTATATGTCACAACTTACCAGTCTCATTTTTAGGGTGAAACCAAAAGGGGAAGGACTCAAGTGCAGAACCAAAAATTATTTATTCAAAAATAACGAAATTTAAAACAACAAAAACTTACTTCCAGAAATGTCAAAAAAAAAAAATCCAAAAGGGCAAAAACCACAAGGAGACACTGGAGACATTCGCACAGCTTGACAAACACACACATTCACAATGAACGAACAAGGAAACAAGGGAAGACAAGGACTGGGAGATGAGCAACTAGAGGCAGGTGAGACGCTGAGACGCAGGTGCAGACAATTACAGAGGAGGGAAAACTGAGGAAGTAAAACCAGACTAGAAACACAGGGAATAGAATTACTACTACAAAATAAAACAGGAAACACAGAAAACTGATGTAAAGAATAAAACACTGAGAACATAAGGGAAACAGGGTTAGACACAAACTGAAAACTCACAAGACAGGACTACAGGGGAGCAGGAACAATAGGAAACAGAAACACTATGGAAAATTGAAAAGTGTTTCAGAGTTTAGTTTAAATTAGTTATCTGTCTTCAGCAAACAAGAAGATAACCAGAGAGAGATAACACAAACACTGACACCAGAGTCATTAGAGTTCCCACAGCCAAGGATCTCTGCTCCAAATCTACACAAGGATCTGTTCTGCTGTGGACTGTACCTACTTAAGGGATCCCTAACCTTTTTATCTGTGACTTAAATGTGTCCTTTGGTTAGCAGGAGGGGTGTAACTTCATTTTCTTGGCTCCAGTAAGTAACAAGGTATCGT